GAAGAGAAATAGAAACAGATATGAGGAGAATGAACAACAACTGGGTAGAGCTAGAAAGGAAGGCCTAGGACAGAGTGAGTTGGAGAATGCTGCTCGGGGGTCTATTCTCCATTGGGAGTAACACGCGTAAGCAAGCAAGCAAGTATCCTTTGCAATTATAATTGACTATCATAGCATCATTCTAAATGTTTATACCAATAACCGGTTTCAATCTGTATGCTTTTACATAAATCTACATGTATTTATCCGAGTGCGCTAAAAGTTTTTTTAAATGTTGGTTTACTTCAGTTGTCGATATTCATTACACCATTGTTGTCATAGTTGGACCCTTTCACTAGGTGTTCATTTTTTATCTTCTTTTTTCGTCTGAATAAATAAACTCGCAATAGAACCTTTCTGGATCCGCCGTACCAAATTTAACCTTCTTTTTACCTACTGACTTATTCACAGTACTTCTTACTCTTCGGTGTCCACTTCTATGATATCATCCCACAATATGCGCAATAAGGTGATCACTTTTCACTCTTTTTTTCTATTTAAATAAATACTGTCCTCACGATTACGAAGTTTGTAATTAAGGCAATAATTTGTGTTACGTTTAAATCAACTTCTCAGACTCGTTTTATCTACACCATGCACCTACGACTCATATCCTCTGCACTTAATTGAGACTCACAAAATCGCTCCAAACTATGACTGCACAAACACTTATTGTAACGTCATATCTTACCTGAACAATAAGTTATTTTCTTATTAATTTATTTTGTTGTATTTTATTTTTATTACTCATTTGGCGACACATACGTAGTCGTTTACTCTTGTTCTGGGTTCATAAACACGCTTATTAAACTATTTATGTATTTCACGTCTCCTTTATATTTATTTCCTTAGTTTCTTCCTTTTCCTCCTTAAAATCAATCTGGTATTCTTCCTAATCACTCAGAACCCGATTTATTATTATTCGATTGGTAATATTTTCTTTCTTTTCTCTTTTCTTAAATATGGCAAATATATTGCTAACATTATTGAAACTTGAGTATTATAGCATTTTTGAAGAAAGCAAAAATGGTTTCTTCAAAACCCTTATGTACCCATTAGATGATTGCGAATAATTAGGCTTTTAAAGACAAAAAACCAAGGCAAAATGCAGTAAAGTAACTTGCTCTTTTACCGGAACCATTTGCAGCTATTAAAAGTAATAATTAGGCGAATACACCTCCAAGTTAAAAGGTTTCCTTGATATCAAGAATATTGCATTCAGTCATTAGAATTAGATAGAGTTAATACTGTTGAGTGTTCATATAGATGATTATTATAACAGTTTCGAACAAATAAATCCAACTAGCACGGCGACTCAATAGTAATATGGTACTACTATGTAATAATTGTATCCATAAAAACAGATATGCCTTTCCTAAATAGTTTTTGAAGAGTCTACACAGATTCATCTGTAATAAAACTGTGTACTATCGAATGGAAAGCAAACTACTTTAAAATCTACGAACTGCACAATTTATCTCTTCTCGTCACAGTTACGTTGTTGCCCAGAAGAGAAAGGTTCTTCTTCTAAGGTGATAAACAAGTACGATTCGCTTCGACGAAAAACAAGACTACTAAATTCGGCAAAAGACTAGCTGTGATCAAAGAAACGACCAAAATTCGAAAGCTAGGACCAAACAATGGTGATTTCAGAATTAACCGTAAAGCGAATGTAATACCAATCAAACAGTTGAAGAAATAGCGCTGTGTGTGGTCAGAAACGGAGACGTACGTTATGTAGCACTCAAAATTATGTAGCTAGAATCGTGACAACCCTCCAGTGAAGCTCTGAATACTCTTTTTCCACGGGTAAAACTAAAGCAGAGTGATTGGGCTGGATATAATTCTAATTATAGAGATTTTAATTGTTAATTGAGCAGACCACCTCAGCAAATACCACCTCCGTGACAAAACGTGTTGTGATGGCCTGCGGCTCCGAATGAGCCGAAGAGTTTCCATCCAACTAGAACGTGATGGAGATTTCTGGAATATCAACATGGCATGATACTATTTAACAGTGCCATAACATGCTTCTTTGCAGGTTGTCTGAATTATAATGTTTATATAACAAATTCTAATATCTATAAATACCCATGATTTTCTGCACATTTCGATTCTTACCCAAGAAGCACTTCTCAAGTCTTCCTCTGTCTTCTGATTTGTGACTAAGGGGGTTCTATACGTACGAGTGCCGTAGTTACATGCCGTACATTGCTCTGATCAAGTAGCGAATTTAACGAAAAGCTCAAGGATGTTTTCGGAAAATATAATTAAAAGCAAACGAAATAATTCAAGTGCATTTTGAAGGGATTCAAATTATTTAAATGTAAAGGATCAGACAGTGACCCAGTCTGTCAGAGTATGTTTACAGTGAATATGTCAGTTCAATTCACTAGGAAGATGAGGGATTAAGGTTTACACGGCAACATTCGTTTTTGCTCAACAAAAAACGTTATTTCTATTTTTTAGAGATTATCCAATCGAAGGAAGAGTAGAAATAAAAGATACACTGTTTTGGCGGACACTGAAACCTATTTGCAGAATAAATGGGCATCACGACAGAAAGTTGATAACTTCGAAATAGCAAGAAAAGTATCAAAATATAGTAAGAAATACTGTCGAAGAAATCGTACCAGCTGTTGCAGAAGAACTGAAGACATTTTACTGATTAAAACTCTTATATTGAATATTAATAATTTCGCTGTGTTTTGTAAGTATTTGTTTCACGTAAATTTTGAACTTATTTATTTGCACCATTATTTTAAGATATGATGGTTTCCCTTTGTATTTGGTATGGTATTTGAAAGTTTTCGCTCCGGGAACCTACAAAATTGAATGCGTGTTTTGCAATCATTATAATTATTGGTAAAACGACATTTGGGCCGACTATTTGTAAATTGCGAATCAACTTTGGTGCCTAAATTGGAGCTTGGTTCTATTTTCGATTTAGGGTTGTAAGTTCCAAATAGATCGATATACGGCACTTCAATAACGGAAGAGAGCAAAACTTGTACGTAACATTATTCCCATGCAAACTAAAAAGTTGGTGAATTTACAATCTTAAAGGTATTAGGATTATTAACACTACACTTAAGCGTATATAGAGATTTATGTTCCGTAAACATAAACATGAAGAAATATTTGTACATAGTCACATGTAAACCTTCAAAATGCATTTTGAACTATCAAATTAAGAATCTGCATGGAGATGTCTGTTCACATCTTTATGCACACATATAGAGGTAAAATTTACTGATATAGTCTAATCAGTTACGTGCTAATAATTGAGTTTACTAAGAAGTATTTCGGCGTTTGGAACACCTGAATGACCACGATGATTGCTGAGACAGAAACAACAAATAAACTGTGCATTGTTAAGCTGTTGATTGGGGAATGACAATAAACAACCAGATTCTAATGAACTTTGTGCAACAAGATAGAGGAAATCAGTACCAATAAACAGAACAAATAGAAATCCATAACACCAAATTGCCATTGAATTTAATGACGTGTTATATATGTACTCCACAGCTGCCAAAAATCTGATATTGTTCAGTGCAACGGAATGAAAAGGCTGAAAGTCCCTCTAAAGCATTTCATTGGATAGGATTATTATTTAGTTGTTTCTTCTCCCTGTTTTATATTCTAACCTTCACTCAGATCTCCTTTAGCCACGATGTGTCCTCAGTCATCCTTGTCTGTGATTTTATTAGTTGACTCTAGTGAAGGTTTTAGGTTTCACTATTTAGTCTTACTGTTTCATGTTGCTGGATTATTGAAAATAAGGGGATGCTTAACTAAACTCGAGGTCACAGCGTGGTTTGGTCCGTGGCTGTTGGCCTTCGATTGTTTTCCTGGAAAGATCGCCGGATACCAGTTATCTGATCCCATCTAGTGGAAAATATTTTTAACTGATTATCAGGCATCGAACTCTTATCTACTGACTATTCCTTTTCCTGTTTAGCGATTCTTTTGTTCTACTACGGAAACCTTTGACTGTATTATACAATGTCTACCGTTTTAGGCATTCGGTACTTTTTAGATGATTTTTTCTTGCGTAAGCTAGAACATTTTGAACTGAGCACACTGTTTGTATTTTGATACAATTTATCACGAGTCACTGCTAAACGCTTCGCACACTATACAGAAGAACGTAGTTTGGCGTGATCGAATAAAATCTGTTTCGTTGACTACGCGTTAAACCGAATACTGGGATTTCGACCGTTAAACTCATATGAAGGAGCCCTGTAAATAATATCCACTGTTTCCCCACTCACGCAGGATACGGACCTTCATCTTTCCAGATAGCAAGTATGATAATATAATCTCAGTTCCCCATAGCCCCCTGTTTGAGCATTTTTTTAAAGGTTTTCATCGTGCTTAATATATTCTACGTATCATATCTTGGTTATTTGAGCTCCAAAATGATCTGATCCAGCTACATCAAGTTCGTGTTCACGAAGCTAATGACAAGCGTTTCTGAAGATCCAGCTGATTTATTGTTATGGTTCTTCAAAAAGACAAATTTGGCCAATCCAATCATCATTGAGAATGATTACTGAATAGCATACCTAATGCAGACCATGATATTAATATACATGAAGATTTACACGTAGTAAAAACAACCTAATATAAATGCTGAATTGATGACGAGCTTCCTGTTCACCCAGATTACCTTTAAACAAATACGTTGAACATTATCTTCCTTCAGTTATGAACCCAACCAAAAACATTAAACTTCGATAAAATCCTCTATGAAAAACAGTTTCTTATTGTCTGCTCACGGCGCGGTATAGGGCTAGTTTTAAAAGCGACTCAGAAAAGGTGTATTTACCAATAGATTATCACCTCTCCATTGAACAAACTGTACCTATAGTACATCTTTAAGACAAACGTATACATACTACAAGATTTGCAAAAATTTTTAAAATTAGAGGTTGAGTGGCTCATCAGCCGTCTTTCAGACATTTAAAATGACTTGGATTTTCATCAAAATAGCAAAGAGTGGGAGCACAGAGATAAATCTGTTATTACATGCTAATCACACGAGTAGTAATGATTGAGTTAACATGACCATCCAAGATTATTTAAAGAAAAAACATATTTTCGGCTAACGATTTAGCGTTTGTGCCATCTTTTTGAGGATACAATTAGTGACCTTGTTTTTGTTTCATTATCTCAGTTACATAAATTACACTATTATTTTAGCGTCTAAATCTTTCGAAAACTGCTTTCAACATGCCTTTAAAGTCAAAAGTAGGCACGAACTTTCCCATAATTTAGATATCGTTATTTTATGTTTTTGACTTCAATAAATTTTCCACATCTTTAAAGAACGAATAAATCTATTTTTGTTGCGTCAGTCACAGAAATATACATGTGAAGCTGATAGACACCTTACGCAAGTGAATCTGTTTTACCTCGCTTGTACCGTTGTAGAGACAAAGATGATGAGGTCCGGAAGTGTGAAACTCGTGAGCAGGCTATTTATGAAAATGTTATATAGAACATATGTTCCGTATATACGGAACATAATAAAGAAAATGATGTGTTATTTGAGTAGAAATCCTTCATTTTCTCAGCCCGGTAAAGTTAAATGAGTCTCATTAAACCTTTAATAAGGACCCAAAAACCCGAATCACGTTAAGAAAGATATATTTATCTACAAAAACATAACTCCTACACTAATGAAAAAATTTCACGGGAAAATGCCTCAGATCAGTTCCATTTAGCTATGAGTCTATTAAATATGGGTGAAAATAATTCCCGAAAAACTGATGAATCGGTCAGTTCAACATTTCAAAAAATGTTTTTCCTCGCTTTTCTAAATTCCATTCCGTTAAACGTACTATATCATTTTCAGAATCGTCGGTATGCTTCTAGTTGATTTTTATTAAATTGCCTCACAGTTACATGCGTTGATCAAATTCTAGCGCTGTTCCTGATATTTTTTTCCAGGGGCATTGTATACCATTTTGAAAACATCGCCCCTCCTTGAAATTGAGATAATTGTTTGTTGTGTGGACTAGTCAACCAGTTTTCTTACATTAAATTATCAAAGGATTTCCTTTTGAATGGAGGTACTGCGCGAACGTTTATACAGTACAATACTTTTGTATATTGAATTTTTAGATATTAAGCTGGATGGTATGTCTGAATTTCAAATGATTTTAGGTTTATTTATTTGTTGTTCCACTAAATCTGACTATCGCTTGATTCGAGTGGTTTTTAAATGCCTTCAAGCTTTACAATCATAAACCTTCGAAGAATAACCTATCAAAATCCCTAGATAACCTGAAAATTACCTGTTTGTATTTGAAACAGGTTAGCTTTTAGGTTTTTTGTATTCTTGTTAAACGTTTAAATACCTACTCATGTGAGCTACCGCATTAAATGAAAGAAAAACTCATAAAAATGTTTTCAACGGGTGCATATCTACGTATTTCACAACATTATGTTAATTTCATTGGAAAATTTTCCTATTTTCATTTACAAAATTGATAGAGTTCCAAACTTGCATGACGATTATTTTAAATTATCAATAAATTATGTTTGTCAGATATTTTAGAGATTGCAAGGCATAATTTTTGCATTCTTTGTCATTTAGTCAAATCTCGATGTTCAATAATTTTACTGCTCAGATTTTAGTCAGAAGTAGATATAATAGTTAAATATGAGTGAAAATGTGGAAAATTTTATTTTGTGTACTGAAAAAAATAGTTAGGCTACTAATGAACAAATCATTAGTGATAAAGGTAATGGGATTTTATTTCTGAATTAATTACTGTCCTCACACTCTCGATTAACAATTAACCTTATATTTAGATAACAATTGTAAAGTCCTTACCTACAGCAATCTATAGGAGGTGGCTAGAAATTTATACCATTGGATGTCGGCTCAGTTATCCAGAGGTTGAGGACTTGCATATAAGATTCCAAGCCGTGTTCGGTATCTGGTGCTGTTATTGGTGCGTGTTCCTGAGGAGTCCCTTGCTAAGACGAGATGACTGCCTAGTTCCTTCTGGGTTTTAAGCTAAGATCAACTGGCAAAGCGAACTATAGAATTCTGCCGTCTCACTTATGTCTTTGACCCAAATGGACCAAGGTTCTGGAAATAAAATAGGTTCATTATATTTCGCGGTTTCTCGAATGCTCTAGAAGGCCCAAAACTACGATAAACGATATAGATATCACTCAAAGTTATTATCATATTTTTCCTTGCATTTTGAGCCATATGACGCTACCGAAAAGCTAGTGTACAGGATAAATTCGCTTTATTCTACAAACCTTGTTGTATTCACTTTGAATTGATATGTCGAAGGATCAAGTGATGTTGAAGTCCGAAATATTTGTGAAACCAAGACGCGTAACGTAATTGTCTCGTTAAAGTGTCCTTGGCGCACTGACTCTGAAAAACTCTTCTTCGGTATACTCATGCTAAGATTTAAAACATAAGGGTGGTTGATCACTAATCACAAGCTACACGATTTGCACAGACAAAACACCGACTATTTATTTGAGTTGATAGAAATTACCTTGCAAACTTCCAGTCTTTTACCTATGTTTTATAAAATCTGAATTACTTAATAGAAATGGTGAGAAAAAAGATAGATTGTGAACCGTTTAATACGACAAAAACTTTCGGATTATAAATAGTTCATTTCTTAGTGATAATTTAATTTAAACTATAGACAAAATATCTTGTAAAATTGCCATTATTTTCAAAAGTTTACTAAAAATGAAGATAAAATCCATCGTAAATCTGCATTCTTTTCATAATTTAATTCATGTTTTAATCCATAAAGTTTGACGGAATATAATTCAGTACTTTGAGTAGCTTGTCCTAAATGGTGTACCAAATTTTTTGCAAGAAAATCTGAAAAATTCAGCAGTCTAATTTCATACTTTGATCTAATTTTCATACCAACTGTTTCTTTTGTTTATAAACTATGATGTAACAGACATACATGCATAGAAATATATATGCGACTGATAATGCCTTAAATATTTATTGGATCTGCTTCCTAAATTTTATCCTTGATGGATATGCATCTCAAGGCAAAAAACGTAAAACAATTAATTAATGTGTTAAATGATGTCCAGTATGGTGGATGGAAAATTTTCTATCTAAAAACGTATCCCCAACTAATGAGGGATGCAATCAAGGATAAAGTAAGAATCCGAGTACATACAGTTAGTGGTAAGCCACAAGATTTTGATTTATGGTTATCTACAAATTATTCGAGCATAGAAATTAGAATAAGGTAAGTTTGGTAGCAAAAGTCTGTGGATTATGCCGAATTTGAAAGGATAAAAATATGTTAGCGCACAAAGATAGTTTTACTATTGCATATAAACCAGCAATCTCAGTTGAATGTCTGAGTCAGTTATCTTTTAGATGTGGCTTTAGGGAAGTAAAATATATAATTCAGTAAAGAACGAGATTTAAAATGAACGTTTGAAAGAAAAATACAAGTAAGATCAGCACTTGATTGGTAACTAAAATCATCTAGCACTCCTGCGTACTTCCAAAGTATTTGCACGTAAAGGAAAGCCTTTTTCATTGTCGCAGTTCACCTTAACTTCCTCCTCTTGTTCAACAGAAAATCAAATGGGTTATCAAAGAAGTCTTACTTCCCTAGATCATTTTATGTTTGTGTGTTTTGTTGTTATTTATAATAACACTAAATGGGGAAATGCTAGTGAAGTTTCATTCAAGATTCATATTTTTAATATGGTTTTGAGAATATCAATCTTTTATTTGTTGCGATAAAGATTTTACTGATCTTCGTATATTTAAAAATCATGAATGAACAAGTATGTCGCACTCTAATAAAATAAGGATTATGGCGATTGTCTAAAATAGTCATTTCCCTGGATTGACATCATATGGTAAATTAATGAAAACCATAAAACACTGATCAGCTGTTCTATCCTGGTTTTAACTACACAATAATATGAATTACTGATTCCACATAAGGTGAAACCCAGGACTATCAGGCATCACAACAAGTGCACTAACCAGTTATGTTGACTTGCTAGAACTTGAGGTACTTTTCTCAAATTTAGTCGATATTGAGATGAAGATTTCATTTATTTTATTCGCTCCGTATTATCAAAGAAAGAACTTATCACTGGCTGAGTGGGAAGAAATCGTAAATATCATTTGGAAGTGAATGTCAGTCAATTTCAAACTTAATAAAACAGGAACGATTGTCGTAACAGAATAACATTGATCAAGATATTCTGCAAGCTCTACAAGCAATAATTAACTTGGAAACAGCATTGTGATCCCTCATTAGGCATCCAGAAGTATATTTGTTTTTGACATTTTCAAATCCATTGGAATAGTCGTTTAGCATATAACATTAAATTTATTGAAATGGACCGAAGCTATCACTGTTTGAAGTTTTAAATCGGATTTCTAGATTTTGGAAGGGCTCCATTTTACGTCTCGAATCGTTGTGGTGACTTTGGTTCTCAACATTAGTTGAATTGCATCTTATTCCACAAACCTATAGATAAATTCCTTCTCTTTTTCATCTTTTCCAGTTAATCTGTTTATTCTTTGCTTATTATTACTTATCTCTCAACATAAATTCTCGTTTCTATAAACCTGTTATGGTACGTTATAACGGCTTTTTCATTAATTTCACTTAATTTAACATATGACTATTTAATCATGTGAATAATTCTTATATTTTTACAATTTAACCAATGATCATTTTAAAATACGTTTCTGATAGGATACTATATATATATATATTCCAAATAATTTTTACAATCGTTTCTACGTTGTAAGTAACCGGAGGTATTCTACGATATAAATGAATTCATTAAGTCATGCTACGATGGTTATTCTTTCCTAATTCAAATCTAATTAGATTTACCTTGCTCTTCTGATGACTTCAAAAAAGTATACAACCATATTCCTCAGGGAGATCGCAGTTTATGATAAAGTATATGACACAAATAATAAATAGATATCTATTGCAGTCAAAACGTTTCCTTTGACGATTGACTGCACGATATAAATAGCAGTATTATCAATGCTTGAAACAACAAACAATCACTGAAAATATTTTGAAAGTCTGTTTTTGCTAATTTACTAATATTATTACTATTTTGTGTGTTTAAAAAAGACTAAGCTATGCCTCAGATTTTATTAAATAAAAATCTCGTTTATAAACGAAAAACAAATTATTCTTCACAAATGGCGTAATCATAAATTTTGTGAGTGATTCTGGGCTTACCATCTTTTGAATTCTCTTAAGACACTAACAATGTAATATGACTGTAAAATACATCTTACGATCACATGTACAGTGTTTATGTAACAGTATATATACTATCAGTTTCCATAAATAAACACTTTCACTCTGTAAGAAAAATGTCTCTACTTTCTGATGATTAGAAATATCAATATGCTGTAGCATAGTTCGTTTGAAACATTAAATGTTGGACACATTTAATTTCTTGAGGGTAACTAAACCAATCCCCTAATTTGAGAAATTGAGCTAGGTATACGTAACAATCATCTGATCTGATAGGTTTTTATATTTATTGGTAAACACAAATGATGTTCATTTATACAATATGAAAAAAGTTAATTAAAAACACACGAATTAGTAACATATTTCTGTCAACCCAAAAAACCTATGGTGTTCTTAAAATGAGGCTGTCAAAATAATGTGCATAAAACCAATAAGCAACTATGAAATCAAGTGACTTATTGCGGTGTGTGAATGATCATGTAATTCGTTTATTAGGTACAAGTTGATGTAAAAGGCTGGGAATCAAACTGTTTTTGTTAGGATTAGTAGTTGTATCCAACTGAGAGACTAGAAGCATCTGTTGTGAGCTTCGAACCCGAGATCTAACGATTGAAATCCTAGTGATTCAACCAATAAGCAACCTAGTCAGTATACACTACAAACTTGAAGGTTCAAAATATCGTAGAGAGGTTTATTTAAAAATTTAAAAAAAGATTTTTCAGTGGCAACATAAATGGGGATGCCTTTCTACTGAGAAAACTTAAGGTGGGATTTCAATGTAAGTAATTAAACATCATTAATATCACCAATGAGAAGGATCATTGTTTTATATTGCAAAGTAGGTCCTGGGTTCGAATCTTGCGAAGCGAGATCGTGGATGCGCACTGCTGATGAGTCCCACAATAGGACGAAACGGCCATCCAGTGCTTCCAGGTTTTCTATGGTGGTCTAGCTTCAATCGACTCATAATCTCAACTATATAAAATTTAGTTTCAGGTTTAATATAAATTAAACTCATCACTTTTTTCTACATAAAGGTGGTGAGTATAGTATATATTAGCAAGGTATAAGAAGGAGAATGATAGAATCCATCATCGGTTCCAATCATATTAAAAATTTCATTACCATCTTTTCTGGGAGATAAATTATAAAAAGCAACGAGTTGTTATGGCCACTGAGTAACCTCGCTGTTGACTGTTTATTTTCAAGTTAAAGAAATGATAGCTATTTATTTATAAGGGAATTACTAATGAGAATTTCCAAGATGCTTGCTGAGGTGATATTTTGAGATTAGGGTGGTTTGAAAATATTGTTCAATACACGTTAATATAGATTATCAGACCATAACTTTTATTTGTAGTGCCTATCATTTTTGAAGAACTTATATAAATTACTCCTCTTATGACTTTTATTGATTTTTAGATAATTTCACGAAGACCAACTTTAATACGTACACCCCAAAAAACCTTAAAATTCGTCATTCCACCGCACTCAGGGGAACAAACCTCATTAAATCATTCTACATTAAACCGTGGAAACTTAAGTCCTCAGCCAGCTAAAGATTCGATCACTTCTAAAGCAAATACAGTTAACTTCATCTCCCAACAAACACTAGTTAATGGTGATCAGGATGGTCTTTTGGAAAATGGGAGAGATTGTGACGAAAATCCATCCAACCTGGCCAGCACAGATGATGAAGTTTCAAGTTTAATTTTAGATGTCAATAACACAACGCTACAGCCAACACATTGTGAATTAACTACTTACGATTCTTCTGCTTCACAGAGTATACAAGCTGAAGATATTTATGGTTTCATTTTTACGGAACAAAAAAAAACTAGCCATAAAGATGAGACGATACCACAGCAACAGACTACTTCTGCGGCAAAATATACAAGAAGTATTCTTAAATCAAAACCACTCTCTCCGAAGATATATTTTGATGGTACATATGAATCCTTTCAAGATAAAATGTATTATACGTTACATGGAACACGTGATAGTGTTGACCTCACTACAGTTCGCTTTCAAATCGGTTGTGTTTCACCCTATTTTGGCGATGATAGCAGCTCAAATGAACATGTCGTGAATACATGTTACGTACCTCCTGAAGCTGAAAATATCGAATCACCTAGTACAGCGCGAAAAACCGTACGATTCGCAGACGAAGCAAGGGATTTCATACAAACCTACCCAACATCTATGAATCCTCTATTTTCAAATGCTTTTCCCCTAAGAAATGACCCGGATATCGATGAGATAGCATCAATTTTCGGAAGTGACACACCATCTTCTTTGGAAGAAAACTTAGCAAAAACAACAGAAATAAACAATTGTAATTATAGTAAGTATTTTACAGCGGTCAATTAAGATTATAAGATATATCTGTGAGTTACATATGACTTTCATATTTTCTTTGATCAATGATATTGTCAACATGGTTTGCAAAACCAAGTTATCACACACAGACTGTTCATTCCATAAATCCTCTTCAGACCAATTCCATTTGTTTATCGGCGGGAAAATCAATGCTGTGGTCAATTAAATTTCAAATAACATAGTTTTCTTGTATTTCGTGTATTTCATATTTCAAATCATGCAATAGAAAGTTAGAAAACAAAATATGATAGATAAATGACTAGCTGACAACACAACAAAAAATGTGATTCAAGTGTATCTAGTTAATATATCTTGAATAGGATAGAATCCACATCCAGAATTTTATTGCATCCTGGATCGAACAAGCAACACATAATCTAACCGTTTAATAAAATTCTTGTTTTATAATAAGCATACTAAATTCATAATCATGTACTGGTTAATGTGTACATTTTTTCAAAATAAACTTACATCAGATTAAATTCACTCGGTATTGTTTGTTTGAATCTTTCCATTGATGTTAAAGGACTGTAATTGATCAGTCTCTTAATGGAATAAGTTCATTCTACGAAGATTGCCTCGATATTGCCTTGATTCACAAGCATTATAAGCAAAGATAAATAGTGGCTATTAGTGGAATCCGGTACGGGCGTCTCGCCCATTTGGAACTCATCAGATGAATGTACCTGTATCTCAGAGTTGATATTCACTCTCGGACTCGAACCCAGTACCGTTCGCTTCAAACGTCATCGCGTTATCCACTTAGACACTGAGCACTGATAGCCAATCGGAAGATTCAAGTAAGCAATACCGAGTGAATTTGAACTTCACCGATTGTATAAGAAAGTGGCTATCAGTACTCAGTAGCTATGTGGATAACGCGATGACGATTGAAGTGAACAGTACTGGGTTCGAGTCCCAGAATGAATATCAACTCAGGTACAGGTACATCCATCTGACGAGTCCCAAATAGGACGAGACGTGAGTACCGGATTCCATTGCTAGCCACTATCCATCTTTGCTTATAACAGGTTAATCTATATATTTGTAGGTAATTCTTGATGCGTTTAGCAATTAAATATTTTTTATTTATATGTTTATATTGTATTTACTTATTATCAAATAACATTTTTCATAGTAGTTGTTACTAATACTATTATGTACATTCTTGCTTTAAGGTCCAACAACTTCGGTCGGTTCAAACTTCATATCAATTAGTATCGGAATGATGCCTAATCAACTGCCAAAACCGGTCAATAGAAATTCAACAAACATATATGATACAGAAAAGACAAATTATGCAAAAACTGATGAACCAACCAATTGGAACATAATGCCGAAAAATGAATATACTTTAGAAAGTTCGAATGAGCAGACGAACGAGTATTCAACTCTTGACTATGAATTAATAAAATCAAATGGTAAAATGAACGTTACCTCAATTGATAAAACATATCCTACAACACGAATAAATTCCAGTAGAATAAATAAAGTACAAGGTTATGCTGATCTGTTAATTGGTCGACCTAAACTTCATGATGACTTTTTAATCCCTCGACAACAGTTACTAACAAACAACTTTTCGTTAAATCGTTTATTTATTCATCCATTTAATGGATATCAACGTGAGAACTCAACCACACTAAGTCCTCAGAATACATATCGATTCAACCCGCCATCGAATAACCATAACATATTCCTGTCTGGTCCTCAGAATCATTTACTGTCTAATAAAACTGACACATTGGAAACTAACCGAACACACTATCTTATCCGCAATCTGCATAGTACACGTTTACCAAACAATGAACAGACATATGATTCGGTAAGGCAGTCAGGTATAGAGAACAAAAACAATATTTCATTACATGAGTACCAGAATAATAGTAGCAATATTAATAAAAGTTCTCAAATTCAATATCAGATTACGTATGCTTCGGATTATGAGGGGATAGATTTATCTCTCATGGGAAACGATACCCCAGTAAGTAAGCAGTTGCTGACTTTGAGTTAAAAAGATAATTGACATTTAATTGATGTATATAATACCTGTAGTTATTTTATAAAACCAGAAACTTCTTTCGCATTCTAACTTAGAAACTAGAAGTTGAACTTTTTGAATGTAATTATAATTTAACATAATAATAGTTACTATCAGGGTTTTTCAATCTTACTAGACCTGTACAGTGTGAAACATTACATTATGAGGTAGTTAAGATTATTCATTGTTCTGTTCTTAAAACTAAATTCAATCGATCTATAAACAGCCTCACGTGAGCGGCTTAACTAATCACAGATAAATAGTAGGAATCTTTCAGTAAGAAAAAATTACTCCGTTTTGTGTTTCTATTTTACTCTGGCCAAGTTTTGTGCAGGATATAGTAATGTACAGCCAAATTATATCGAAACAATAGAACTACCTACAAAATTATTGCCCAGTAGATCCTACTAAATAAAAGTAATCCATATATAAATCGGTTGGTAACCGGAAATTCTTGACAAATATAAGTAAGCGTAGAATGATAATAATACATTTAAACATTACTGAACAATTTTTAATGAGGAAGTTGAAAATTATGTTTTGTAAAGTAAATTCATCTTACTTTAAAGTTACTCCCTTAACTTACTTACTTACACCTGTTACTCTTAATGGAGCGTAAGTCGCCGACCAGTATTCTCCAACCCACGCTGTCCTAGGCCTTCCTTTTTAGTTCTATCCCGTTTTTTGTTCATTCTTCTCATGTCTGTCTCCATTTCTCTTCGTAATGTGTTCTTCGGTCTTCCTATTCTTCTTTGGCCTTCAGGATTCCATGTAAGGGCTTGCCTTGTGACTCAGTTGGGTGCTTTCTTCCATGCGTGTCTTGTCCACTTCCAGCGCTTCTTCCTGATTTCTTCATCCACTGGAACCTGATTTTTTCTCTCTCACAGTGGGTTGTTGCTGATAGTGTATAATCAATGGATCTGAATTGTATTGCGTAGACAACCGTTAATAAATACTTGTATCCTATGGATGATAGCTTTCGTGATTCTCCAGGTTTCCACCCCGTACAGTAGAATTGTCTTGCAATTTGTATTGAAAATTATGATCTTGGTGTTGGTTAACAATTGTTTTGACTTCCAGATGTTTTTCATTTGTGATAAAGCGACTCACTATATATATGTACATATATACCGTTTTTAGTGTTTATAAAGTATTGAGGTGGATTCTTTTTAAATTCATTTTTGAGTGTATTGAATAATTAACCTCTTGGTTACTTACTTGGCATTTTTATAATTCTAGATAAATTATTTAGGTGATTAAACGTTCAAATTAATAAATTATTAGTGTAAGTTTACAAATCTAACTTCATATTTCAATGATAAGAACAGATTATTTGTGTGTACATGTTCATGAGAAATATATTGAAACAAACATTTTTTTTGTTACACTATGTTTCTCAATATAATAAACATGCATATACATATTGCATTCAGCGTTCACTTATTTATCTTCCTTTCGTTTTTTTCCCTCTTCATTAAATTAGTACGAATTCTTTCTAAGAACTAATGTCTTTATCTAGTATAAAGGTTGTTGATATTATTTTGAAGTTGAAAATATTATTCTTTGATGAGTTACGTTTAAACTAAACTGATCAGAGACAAGGGATAAATTATTTGGATTTATTTTAGTAAACTTACCACCACTATAGTGTTTTCATCACATGGTATTAGCTAATTTATTTAAAAGAATTTTTGAGTGATTATCGGTTTTATATTGTAGAATAAGAATTTGAACAATACAGTTAGAATTGATTGAAACGATTCCTATTAGTACGACCTTTTCATAAATCCATGAAAGTGATAATTTATTCATTGCCATGTTTTTCTTTGATAAACGATATTGATGGGCAAAAATTACATGAAATAATGGTTTTTTTAATTTCATTATGTTCAGTTAAACCGTTAGGCTTCGACTGTCGTCGCTCATGGTAAATAAGTACATTAAATGTCGTCCAAAACTACAATCACAGATTCGTTAATAAGCCATCCAGCTCACAGAACAAGGCATTAACCAAAATGATCATTCTGAGCTACTACTAAATCTAATGTCCAGATATGTTGGAACGTTTGGTTGACAGCTTCTTCAGCCTTGAATAACAGAACATGAAACATTAGTTCACATTCAAAAACTTAAAAATTCGCTTATTTGCGCCAAGAAGTTGGAGTCTCCAAATTAATAAGTGACGATAAGTTCAAAAATTATTTCCTTGTTTTTCTATTATTCGTCTTCAACCATCTAATATAAAAGGTATCGAACATATCCATGGCAAATAAAACAAATCCTAGAAGTGTTTATGTAGTGACCTGTTAAATGTGCAATTAATTATCGCTTTGAGAGCTACATCCATATTCATTAATTTATTCCACTGTATTTGATATACGATGGTGAATATCCCTGTCGAACAGAGATTTTTCCGACTTTCGTACGATCCTATCTTTGATTTGTTGGAGAGGATAGGTAGCTCAAGTAGATTATTTAGGTGGTATTTTTTTGACTGGAATTTTCTGTTGTTCTTCTGAACACCATCATACGAACTCCAGGTATATATGAGCTATTTGAATTTCCTCTCATTTGAATGACTCGATCTTCATTGGGCATTGTTGACATTTAACTTGTTGTTGATCGTATACTGATTGTCTCCCGCATTTGACCTGATCCTATATTTGTACAGAACTTTTCCAATTATTCGGTTAATAGAGTCGATTTCGATTTGCTAGTTGATTGCTGATTAACTTGAATGACCATTTCAAAAAGATTTTCTGGTATTTTGTATTCGCTGTGCGAAATCTCAACATTTCCCCAATCAAATGTATGTGCATAACTGTCAAAGTGCATTAAATAAGTGAAGATGTATCATGGGGCTTTCTAACTAGTTGATTTCCATTCATACGGAAATGAAGAGTACGCTCACTTTGTTCGATGAAACGTTTTGCTTATTTGAAACAGTATATTTTGTAAATGACATTCAGCTTTTCTTTTTTACCATTTTGTGACGGGTGGTGTCCAAAATTTGGTACTGATACATGGTATGCTACGCGTTAACCCTCCAACTGACTACTTGAGTAGGAAAGTGTGTTGGTCTACCGAATAAAACGCGCAAATACTTATTAATATGTATACCACTCTATCCTTAGGAAACTGACTCATTTACTAACCAATCAATGCACTTGTCCTTTCAGTCATTTCTGGTTGCCATCTATTGATCTTCTCACTGGGCTATTTCTGATTGGCACTCTATATCACATTTCGCCCTTTGATTTTATAATATCTGAGTGAACTTTTGGCTTTTGTACTGCACTTATTTCAAGCAGCTTCGAGAATCTTGTTCTGATTTTCGATGTCCATTTTGTATGGTAGGTTAGTCCGTTCGTTAGTTTCCATGTTCGATTTTATTTTCGGTAATGAGTTTCATGTCTCTTGATGAAATTACGAGGATTGTTGTTCTTCGGAAACATAATCATCAAGTATTTTTCCACTTTCTGTATCTTAAATGTGTTTTCACTCATTTGAATAAAGTTTGAACGTGTTATGGACAGGCTTCCTCTTTGAGCCACATCACCGTGTAACTACAAGCTAATGTGCTATTGTAAAGCGTTCTGTATTGGCCCAAGAAAGCAATAGCATTCTAAACAATTCCCCAGGAATAACCCTGATCATCAATTAAAACGGGAGAGTATGTAAATCAAAATATTTATTTCGGAGCACCATTCACATAACTATCATTTATATCCCATCAAGAATACGCATCCACACAGTCAAGCAAATGAGCATAAAAGGTATACCATTCAGAAACTTGTGGATTACAAAGATTTTATCAGTATAGGACTGTGAAGATTGTTGATTTTTAATTGAGATCATGAACCGATCAATGTTATACTACCCTTGAAAACTAAGAAGCACTGGACAGCCGTTTCGTTCCAGTATGGGACTCCTCAGTAGTACGTATCTACAATCCTGCATGTGGGATTCAAACCCAGGACCTCCAGTCTCGCACGTGAACCCTTAAAATTAACTCCAGTTCGAACTTTGTTTATGAAAGTAGTATGATCAGTCAGTGTATGGCCGTCCAAACATTCTTCTAATTTTTCATACTTGATAATCAATTTCCATTACTCCCTTTTCATATTGCATTTATTATTACTACCTCAAAGTTTTTATTGTCACACTTGCCTCTTCATGTTCACCGAGTCGACATTTATGTCACGTACTTATCACACAAAATTCTTTACATTTTTTATCACCTCTTAGACAGCTAGGTAACGTATCTTTACTGTTGGATTTTTGCTGACACTGTAGTGACATACCGATCTACTTTTTAATTATATTTATTAAACTAATAAACAAATAATTGTACGACTTCAGTAAATATCATATCAGAAACCAGCCAGTCACCAGCTTTATGTTATGGAATCTATTTATTATGTAACTAATTATTTGTTTCGTAGAAATTGAATTCATTTAAATTGAAAAGAGATCAAGATGAAACGCATAAGTGAAGAAGTGTTAATTGTTATACACTTAATGATAAAAAATAAATTGAAACCCGATTAATATTTTAGTCGTGTTTGCTTGATAAACAGGACTTAGCTTAGGTGACTCCAAAGTCAATAATTGGGATTATTTATTCATGTATACAAAAATATCAATCAATGGACACCTTCAGATATTCTAATTAACAAATTTGAGCAGTGTATGATCAGAATTTAAACATAGTTACTGAACCAAAATTTATACTTGTCATAACCTATTTCTTCTAAGTAAAGCTTTCACAAATTAATGAATGTTTACAAACCGATTAATTTCATTAAGATCAATAGTATTAATAGTTTTGATATAATGAACTAAGCGAATAAATACCGATCCCGCCTTAAATAAATACACTAAACGCTTCAATAATAATTAGATTATGGTGTTATTTTGATCATGTGGTACTGATCAATGAATTTAAGTGGTATTTTATTGGTCATAACTATCTCACCCATACCCTCAAAATTTATGCTTATCTAACTTCCAAGTGTGACTTTCGATAAATTACTTTGTAGTCTATCTACTTTTTAGAAATATTTGTTAGTGAAATTTATCTTTTTGCAAAATGGTATTTAGCCTTGAAAATTCTTGCTTTAATGTATTAATGATTTATTAGTTATACCTGCTGTTTCTTTGATTAACTAGTAAAAAATGTAGTTTGAGTTAATATATTAATAATTATTTTAGATGAATGTTTCCCATTACTAATTCACCATTATTCTTTGTGACAATCATAAGAATTAATTTGGTATTCTTTTTTAGAAAAGAGAACTAGATACAGATTACGGAAACTATGATAGATATTTACTATTTCTTTGTTTTCGGTAACTAATCAATTGACTAGTAAATGAGTTTAAATAAGCTTTCATGAATATGTTAACTTAAAAATATTTATTATAGAAGGGGTTTTGTGGAGATTTAGTATTTATCATTGTTGAAAGCGTGAGTCAATTGAAGCTAGACCACCATGGAAACACTGAAAACACGAAACGGCCGTCCAGTGCTTCCAGGTTTTCCATGGTGGTCTAGCTTCAATTGACTCATGATCTCAACTCTATAAATTACTAAAATCTTCACAAAAACCCCTTCTGTTAAAAATATTTATTTAATAATTAGTAATGACCAATTTTTGCCAATATTGGCATCGAATAAAATACTTTTCATATACTTATTAGATTATTGTATAGCTCTTGATAAAGTTGGTCAGATAAAACTGTTTTACTATTTGCTACTATTTGTTTTACTATTTGATAAAATACCTCAATTCACATTTACTGACTTGAAACCAAAAATTGATTTGTTCAAGCTCTAATCCCTATAAAATATATATGAAGGTGATCGGTATTTTATCTCAACTATATACCTTATTAGTAGTAGCTATTACTGATGTTGAATACATTAATGCATAAAACAATCCCCATTACGCCTTTTGTAAAAATAGTGGCATCCATTCACTCCTTTAAATACCTAATTTATGTTCCATGTTAACGACAGTTAACCATTCGTCAGTAAAATGCTTTGCAAACGAACAAATATCTAGCACCAAGCAGACACCAGAAGCGAGCAGTTTTAATTTGTAAGGCTTGTCTTTCAAAAGAATGTTGATTATTTACTATTAACTAGAGACTGTCAGAGTAAAAAAAAGCAAAAATCTATGACATTCATGTTCATTAATCAATGTTCATCCATTGTATTATTCTTGATTTTAGTTGAGGTCTGACAATAAACATTAGTGTTAGATTTTCATATTCGTAAACGCATCATAATATATGCTTACAGTTTACTAATCATTATTAGTAAACAGATACATTAGTAGACTAATATTTGAACGAAGAATATTCTTTTCGATAAATTCTCTTCGGGTTCTATAATTATAGATCCAAATTAATAATCCGAAAAAATGGTCAGGTTAAAGGCAAAGTACATCGTTTAATGTATGTAAATTTAGGATTGTCAAATCAAATAGAATAGAATTGTGAAATGTTGATATGAATCATATAGAATGTTAACTTGAATCTGTACATATGTAAAGTGAAAATTTAAGATCTGTGATCAGAATAAATATGGGTCAGATAGGGTGAGAGAGATATGATAGTGCAATTACAATTCGATCAAGTGGAAGACTAAATGTGTGAAAAATTAGTGAGACGTAATAAGGAGGGATCAATGCGATGTGAATGAATCATGTATAGGAGGGATTAATAATTATATTTAACCAATAATAATAATAATAATACAAAGATTTGTGAATAAAGATAAGAGAGACATTAGATACATTAGTCTACATTTGAACCGTTATGTGAATATATTGCCTTTATTATGTCTTAGATCAGGGTTGATCAAGAAACTGAGTCACTTTTTCAGTAGTCTCGCAATTCATGTAAACGAAAAAATTGGTTATTAATAAGAACCTAAAATGAAAACTAGACAGTCCTTATTACTAACAGATTATAATGACTAGTACTGCATTATTATATGGATCTAACTTGTTTGTAAATTTTAGACAACTCCTTTATCACCGTCGCCATCTTCAACAATAACAACAGTTATAGAAACCGGTCGTCAACGTGATCATGCATCCGACACTGAAAACTGTACTACACTTGTCCCACAACCAACAACCCAGGGTATCACGAAAGAGTCTCTATGGAACAAAGAAGACAATAAGCAAAAAACTGAAAGTTCCAAGTTAATTATCAGCATCCAACAGAAACAGCACTCACAATCCTCTGCACCACTGAATACTACACCTGCCCGACTTCTTCAACGCCGAACACGTGTTTGTGAATCTTCTGCAATAGGTTTGAATTCTTCTGATCCAAGGATGATTAATGTAAGCTACTAAATACTAGTGATGTACTATTCTTGGTGTTTTCTCGGTTTGAATCATTACTAATACGTGTACAAATAAATAGAGATGAGTTTCTCTAATATAGCATTTAGACCTTGGTCTCAATTTTAAGGTTATTTTCATCGGGAGCTGACACCTAAATAATCAGTATTTATTGCTAAACTAATGACTTTCAGATAAAATGTTGATTATTTTTCATCAGAACTCTAAAGTTTTAAGTTTTGAAATTTATCAGAACTTCGTTTTGCTTTCTTTTAGATATATGGCATAATTCTTCTTCCTGTCAAATTGAAGCATTAAAAGACATCGTCTTTTGAAAGTTATAAGAAATGACACTTTCAGTTGTTTAAACCAAACATTTTTATGACTACTTAATAAATAAATGTCTTCTAAATCGTGGGAAATAAAAGGAACCATATGTTCAAGCTCTCGCTGTCACTGTACAATACATGTTTTTAGATCAAATTAGGTAAGATAGGTCTTAAACTTTCTATTCAGTGTTTAGAATCATAATGTTTTGAGCCACTTAGTCATAACATTTGTCCTGTGGAATAGCAGCTCAGTAATTTTGAATCTAGTTATAATCTACATACCAATATTTATCATCGAAATCAAAAGCTTCTAAAGCACAAATTCACTGTACTGGTCAGAAATGCATCACGCTTCTTGAATAATTTATAACCTTCACTTTTATGCTTTCCTATTGTCAGTGTATTTTAATTGTGAAGTGTTGAAATCAAGATTTTATTACTATTGCTACTATTATTGGTTCTCACTTTTAGTCTGCTTATGAATTTGAAACTACACAATCTGAAGTAAATAAACAGGAAGATTTAGTGAAATTTGAGAAAAATTCAATTACTCCTAATCCTATCACAAATCAAAATGTTACTAATAATCCGAAAGCTTGTTGGTTTCGTCTACATAATGGATATTCAGAAGAAACTAAATGTAGTACCAATAAAAGTCCCACGAAAAATCAGTTCAGCATTAATATTAGAAATCAACCAACTGTTTTCAAACAGCCAGATAAACTTGTAAATGATTCTGACAGTTGTGATTATGATAATGTAGCAAATTTATCACCAAAGTGTGTTACACCGTCTACATTTAAACTAGGCACTACTCCAGTTGTTAAAAAATTATTTGGACCTAAATTGCAATCTGCGACATACACACAAATACATGATGTCACACAACGTCTAACTGAATTTCTTCAATCTGAAGGCGATTACCAACACCAACAACAAACAAAATCACCGATAATAGCACAACAATTGTGTCACCAAGGTAACAAGCTCAAAGCCTTATCAACCTTACAACCGATTCCGGTTAAACCAGAAGTGTTTAATCACTCTTCTGTTAATAACAAAAGTAAGAATGTTTAGTTTTTATGATGAAAAAACACTAGAATGAGTTTTATGCTGCACTATCATTCCATCAGTCACTGAATGTTAGATGGTGGTTTAACTATAGTCCCGAAATTTAAAACTAACATTTGTATGACAACTACAAACCATAGATTAAAACACAGAGTATCACTGCCGGAAATCTATTTGGTTTTATTCATTTCTTGTCTTTTCCTAAAACCTGAGTTTAATTTCAGTTTTTCTACTTTGCTTTCCTGATCATATTTGTTCCTTCGGAATTATATTTCTTACGTTTAGACCTCTAATTTAATCGATATCATTGCATTCATGACTTTTTATCTGTATTGTTTAAGTTACTTTTCTTGCTATATTGACGAAAAATATGGTTACACTAACCGATGGACATCAATATCAGGTTCTGTATCGCTTGTGACTGACCCAACAAGTCAATAGGAAAGGATTTAATTAGCATTATTTTCATCTGTTTCTTTGACAAATCGACATGCATGAATAGAAAAGGTTATTTACGATTCTCCTAACAATTTGTGTCATTGATCTTGAACTTGAAATACTAACAGATAAAATCAATTCTAACAAAAATTTTGAGTATACACCAGCGGAATGTCTAAAAGCCCAGAAATTGTTACTCAAAGGGTGAAACATTTTTGGAAAAATCTAATCTTAATAGTGATAAATGAACAATTACATGATTAATCGTTGTTTGACACAATAAAACACAATCTGAGCACAATGTTAATACACTCAAAATAAAGGTATTAGACTACTATACTATACCTTTGGTATCCACATACATAATTTTCAGCGAACACGATTGAAAACTACGTTAAACTAAATAACTTATTGTCACGATTCCAATCAGATCACGCACCGTGAAATCTAGAACAGAATTCATCAACAGATGAGAGTTCACAATATTAATAGTGTCTTTAAATGTAAAAAAATTGACTTCGCTCAATGGCGATCCACAATCTACTATCATACAACATATCACTTAAAAATACGAAAAGCGATTTATTCGAATACAAAAGAACTAACTTAAACTTTGACGAAATCAATTAATTTTAATCTGACCACTTTGTATTGTTTTAGCTGAAACAAATATCAATAGCACATGTTAATTGTAGTGTTATATCACAAATCAACCAAACCCAAAGATACCGACCATTTGATCTCGACTCAGTTTAAATTTATTATAGTCTATGTGATCAGTAAGGGCTAAGGATTTGGTCTCTGCAAAGATGTTTAGTGTGCTTCGTTGAGGTGTCTGAGACCAAAATGAAAGGATTATCCACCGATGATCAGTTTTAAATACTTCACTTTTAATCCCACAAAAATGAATAATCTCCGTTGATTTATGCTCAGTACTCTGTAGTTTCACATTTACGTTACAGAAATTTGACTCATTAAAGGAAAAATTTGTTTATAATATCAAATCCTTAAAAAACACAAATTATTGCGTATATACCGGAGAAACTTTATATATGAAAAAGGAATTACACAAATTCAGAATAATGGAACTCATTGTCAGGGTACTTTCTGAAGTCTCTAAATTCAAACTTTGAAACAAAAGGGATTGAAATTGTATTTGTTCAACTAAGACTGATACCATGATCACTTTAAGTAAAATTATTTATTGTGATTTTCAAGGAATAATTACTTAATCATAACTAAATTCTTGGTAATTTAACTACGAAACTTCTAGCCTAAAACTTTCCATTTTTTTATTATTCATTAATGCATAGTTTCTTAAGGACATTTCTCGGTTAACTTTAGATGAAATGATATGAAATTAAGCTCATTTAGAGAAGTGAATAAAAGACAGAAGATTTGAGAGGTATAATTATATAGACAATAATACCTTAACAACACTATTATAAAATTTATTTCATTCAGCTGAATGTAACATAGGTAGCCAAGTGATGACGTTTAACTGTTACAATATTAATGTAATTTTGATTTCAGTAAATAAATTTATGCATGATTAGTGAATTAAATACAAAACAGTAATGATGACTTTTTATATTAATATCTAGTTACTTTTCTTATGAAACAATTAATGAATTTAAGAAACACAATGACTCGTATGATTTTCTAATCAGAAGGTGAAACAATTTCCTGATGACTTATTGATTAATTAATTAAGATGAAAGGAAATAATGGAATTTACTCAAATCAATATGTCGTTGCATTCCATTAGTGATTTGATAAAATATACATATATAAGGTAGGTACTTTTGGCCTAAATAACAGTTATGCATCAAAACAAAACTCACAATGAAACAATGAGACTATATATTATTAGCTAAAAAAAACCTTAATATTAAATCAAGTAATTTGTAATCAAATAAATTAGGTGACTACATATTATATAAGGTAGAATCGGTTAACTAAGTAAAAGATTACTGTATTATTTATTCGGTGATTAAAGTTTATAGAAATCAAACAGGTTATAGTGAAAATAATTTCAGTAAATAAAAAAAGTAGTCAGTTCATTGGAAGATCATGTTGTATCTCCTTAAAATGCATAACTTACTTAGGTACGAGTTAAGTTCTATCATTTACATATTTTGACGAAGATCTACAGAGTGAGAAATCTATCTTTGTAGCATCTGAAAGTTATATGTGATGAACAAACTATTGGAATAAAAGTAAATAAAATGACTTTTGGTTTCTTAATTATATTAGCGCAATACATTTCGAACAATCTGATCACACATATACTTGTTAAGACATTTTTTATATGAAAATTAAAAGGTCAACTAGACAGGTTAAGGTAAGAAAATAAATAAAGTACACAAAAACAATTGGATGACTACTCTGGATAATAAATAAGCATTACCAGGGTAGGTGATCAGATTGTTCGAAATGTATTGCGCTAATATATCACATAATTCTGATAAACTTCGTCTTCTCATTGCATTATCGAAATTTATCAAAGGGACTAATTTTTATAGAGTTGAGATCATGAGTCAATTGAAGCTAGACTACCATGGAAAACCTGGAAGCACTGGACGGCCGTTTCGTCCTATTATGGGACTCCTCAGCAGTGCGCGTCCACGAACCCACTCTCGCGGGATTCAAACCCAGGACCTACCAGTTTCGAGCCGAAGCCCTTAACCGATAGACCACTGAGCTGGCATCCAACGGTGTTAATTTCTAACTTCAACTGATTCACGAAATTGAGCAACCATTCACCAATGTCATCAGTGAGTTCCTATCTCACAACAGACCTGGTTGAACTCCACCGGTTACTGCTTCTCACTAGAACTCCAGGAAATACCTCAAGGAGTCAGTCACTAGTGAGCACCTGATTATTATCAGAAGGGGTTCGTGGACGCGCACTGCTGAGGAGTCCCATAATAGGACGAAACGGCCGTCCAGTGCTTCCAGGTTTTCCATGGTAGTCTAGCTTCAATTGACTCATGATCTCAACTCAATAAAAATACTAAAATCTCCACAAAACCCCTTCTGATAAAGGGACTAATTGTTTTAAATTCTTAATTATAGTTAGGCATAATTTTATTTTAGTTGAAATTAAATGGAATATTCATGTTATTTATTTTTATTGAATTTTATGTTACCTGGGCTATATATCCGTCACATAGTTCAACTATGATTTAGCTAATAGTAGTACCTAACGACATAGATTCCTATATCTTAGACGAGTAGAATGTCTTCAAACCTTTATGCCAGTTCTATTGGCAAATTTGATTTCATACAATATGATAATCTAACCCTGTCTTTGAATACATTAATATCTTTAATTAATCAGATTTTCAATGTCAGTCATAAACATCGCAGGACGCATTAACATTGACCCAAGTTACCGTATTTTACAGCTTATAGAACACAAAAAACTCATAAGGTGAAAATAAAAAAGTCGAAACCGTAGAATCAGATGTGAAATAAATAAATAAAAAGAATATTGTTCGAAAAGAGCAAACTAAAGGTGGAAACTATTGTTATTATTCAGAGTATAAAGCAAAATGAATGTAAAAATTACTTCTTATGTCATCGATTTTGAGTCATACTATTGAGTGTGTCCGACTACAGATTATGATTGTCTCTAGAACATCGAACAGGAAATCTTCAACTCCAAAGACGTGTTACAATTAACGACTTCGACTGATCCCAAATCTTGGTTTGATAGTACCTGGTGTTCTTCCAACCTACTTAACGTTTTACGTCCAGAGAGGTATTTTCTCCCCGTTTGTTACATCTCCTAACCACCTTATTCAGAACAATATATTCTGATTGCTAAAGAGATATATAAAATTAAACAGTATCACTGAAATTTACACATAAAAATAATTTTTATGTAGTACACAATTGTGTTTTGGCACAAAATTTTTTAAATACATTAGTTTGAACATTTAATTCTAGCAAACGTAATCTATTTTATGTGACTTGGAATACTCGTAACTGGCCAAATAATAACGAAATTTCATCAACTAAATATAGTTATATTATTGACATTAAGTTTTAATTTGGGTCGGCTGATTAATTAACCATATTATGTTGATTTTTAATAGAAATATTAAAAGGCCTCAATTTCCAGGTATCAAATAATTTCAAATTACTCCCAAATGACAAGGAATGTTTTCAGTAACATATTTTGGCCTCTAAGGTTAAATAACATGTTGTTAATATAAATGACATAAAGAGACACACAGTTTAAGTTTGCCGAAGTAAACATTAAAAACATATGAGATCAGATTCATATGATAACACTAAGGTTTAATTGTACATAGGCACGTAATACTAGAAAAGCAAAAATGTTGAACATACTGATCTTCAGTATTGATTAATTTATTTGTCAATTGATTCCATTTTGTTATAAAAATATTGTAAGCAACTTTAAAATAATTGTAAAATAAATGGTACAAGAGGAATTAATAACAGCTTCAATATACTTTAATTGTCAACATTCCTATTAATTACTAACTAGTAACCTCCCCAATGTTAAATGAACATCAAAACAATGATGGTTATCAGTATTTTTTTAAAAAAATTATTTATTGTCTAAGCAAAAGAAAACTGATATGTTGTTAAATTTAGAGATGTCTCAACTTCATACGATGTAGAAGAACACATGTGCGGAATTTTTTAAGAGAATGACCGTAGTGTAAATAATATTTTCCCACGATCTTATGAATAAGCCATCTATTGAAAAGTAATTTATTAAAAGCTTAAAGGCAATAAAGGTTGAAATCACTGATTCCATTTATTTAGGTGTTGCACTTGTAACCATGAGAACTTAGTGAAACAATCATTCTGAAATTTACAGAAAAACCAACATTTTGCATAAGATCTTTATCGAATAGTACTCAGATAATTTAAAGGTGTGAATCAGTCTCGGTACTAACATCCAGGTATTACATATATACAGATTCTCAAAATAACTTATAGATCATAACAAAACTGAATTCGAAAATTGTTTGTTAACCATCTGCCTAAATCACTATTACTTTAAATCCTTTTTTTCTTCATTCGGAAGTATTCACATATCTTCCGCTGAGATAAGAACATTTTGATTACGCCAATATTACGTTATTTCATGTAGTCACTCAATTCCAATAACAACTTAAATAGTAGACCCTTGTGTTAGTTTATATTTTACTACTCTTGTTTATAATCGTAGTGATCTGTGAATTATTAAGACCATTAAAACATACTGTCATATAAACTTTTAAGAAGCGAACGAATGTAGCATGATATAAGTAGGTTCAAATGATGAGTTACTATATTCCGTTATAGATAAGTTTGTTCAGTGTGAACCCACGTACGAAAAAATTATACCTCCGTATATTTACATAATCTTGACTTGTAAAATACACTAAAAATATGAATCTTAACGCAATCAATAGCGAAAAGTGTAAAAAATAGTAGCTGGGATGAAGGGCTGCATAAAACATAAGAAGATGTTGGCGAATTGAAAAAGAGTGAGATATCCTCGTAGTCAATAAACATGTTTTTCTTTATTACTCAGTGTACTTTACTTAATAGTACGCATTTTGTGATGTACATGCATATCTGTTGGTTTGAGCGTCGGCCGATATTCACATCTAACACATCAAAGTATTATTCATTTGAACCTTAATTTACTTCTCTATTCAAAATAAGCTCATTTCTGGATAAAAATTAAGAATGTAAACATCGAGATATTCGATAGTATTTTGGACTACACTTGAATTTTTATGTTTTTTTATCAGAAATATTTTCGTAAAATAATGGATAATTTTATTGCATGTAAGAATTGTTTCTCCTTAAAATTTATCTTGCATGAATAGATACTTACTAAACCTTCAACAAAATACTTTTTCACCATGTCAACATTGACTTCATCTTAACAGTTGAAATCACAAGTCCATCTAAGCTAGACCACCATTAAAAACCAGGAAGCACGGGATGACCGTTTTGTCCTAGTATACGACTTCTCAGCAGTGTGAAGTCACGACCCCATAAGAAGGACTCGAACCCAGGACCTTTGGTCTCGAGCGAGAACCTTTCAACTCTAAACCAATGAGTCTTCATACAACTGTAATAATGTCTAATTTCAATCAACCCATGATCTTGCGTAACCATTTATCCACCGCCTGTAGTGGATTACTGTCTTGAACCCGACATGAATTGGACTCCACTGGTCATGGTTTATCACTAGAAAGCTAGGAGTTACATTTTGAAGCTAGTCAATAGTGAGCTCATGATTGTTATCAGAATGAGGGACTTGTGGTAGTATTTCCACAGTTTATCTGTATAAATCCTTAATTTAAAGTGGATTAAAACTAGACATGATATTCACATCTTATAACTTCTGTAGTATAAGCGTTTCTGATATAACAAGAATGTCATCTAGAATATTTAATGATACGGTATTTTTATCTATATATTTGTCAGTCTCTCATAGTTACACAAGATCATAAATTTTTGACACCATTCAAATTCCAATTCGGTTACTGATTATTTTTTTAACTATTTTTTATTATTTCTTATCAGCTTCTAGACTCTTGACAAATATGCTACGCTTTACTGTGTAAAATCTTAACGGCTATCAAAACGACTGATGAATTTATGACTTCGTTTATGGATATAATCTTGGTTGTTTGAATTAATGTAGAAAACAAATTACTGATATCTTATTGAATACTAGCTATCAACATTACCCATGACATTCCCCCATTTTCATCGATCAACGAAACAAGCATCAATTGTGTGAGAACTGGCAACGTAAAGTTAAATACAATAACTCATGTCATATACGATAAAACGGCGTTTTAGTTGTGACAAACTAGTAACGCATTATAAGATGTGATAACAGTGGGGTTATATGGTGAGAAGTTTATACCGTATTTATACATATTGTAATGAATAAACTGATTGCTGTTGTGTACGATTTTCTTTAACTAAAAAGCTACTACTAGCTATGGAATGATTTAAGAGTCACTGGAAGTGGAAGTCAAGACAGACATATATTTTGTGTTCCGAACTCATGTATTCAAGCTACATTTACATTCCTTTTATGTTTCTTAAAACGCATTGACTCCGATTGATTTAAGCATTACATCCCATCTATTGAGCCTATTACTTCCCATAGTTCATTCCTAATTAATTGATAGTAAGTATCGATAAGGAGGGGTTTTAAGGTTTCGATTGAGTTATTTTGAATAATAATATAACCTCAAACAATTAACATCCCTATGTTGAATTATCAGTGAAAATCGTTGAGAAAGTCTGTTTACAGTTCATTCAAAATATGTAATGAAATACCTAAATATAAATCATAACTATATGAAACCTTTGCTTCACTTTCATCTCTTAATAGTAGTAGAGTTTACTTATGTATTCCCAGTCGATTATTTTAACCGTTGAATATCCGATTCGTTTGTCTAACCATTAAGTAGATTATACTTACTTGCGCCTGCCACCATAATTTAGGAGCATGGGCCCCCACCAGCATTCTCTATATAACTCTGACCTCGGCAATCCTTTCCAGTTGCTATTCATCCTTTCCGTGTCTGCTCCCAATTCTCAACACAGTGTTTTCTTTGGCATTCTTTCTTTTTCAAAGTTGAAAGTGTGAGTCAATTGAAGCTAGGCCACCAGGGAAAACCTGGAAGACCGTTACGTCCTATTGTAGGACTCCTTAGCAGTGCACATCCACGACCTCGCCTCGCGAGACTCGAACCCAGGACCTACCAGTCTCGCGCCAGAGCACTTAACCGATAGACCACTTAGCCAACATTCGATGGTGTTTATGTCTAACTCCAACCAATCCACGAAGTTGAGCAACCATTCACCAATCGTCTTCAGTGAGTTGACATCTCACAGCAGACGTGGTTTGAACTCCACTGGTCACTGCTTCTCACTAGAACTCTTGGATTTACCTCTCGAAGTCAGTCACTAGTGAGCATATGATGATTATTATTATTATTACCAGAAGGGGTTTTGTGGAGATTTAGTATTTTCAAAGTGGACTTCGAGAGGTAAATCCAGGAGTTCTAGTGACCAGTGGAGTTCAAACCACACTTTTAACTTTGAAAATGCTAAATCCCCACAAAAACCGTTCCTTCTTTTTATTTACCTTCAGGATTCCAAGTAAGCACTTGCTTCGTGATGCAATCTGACTATTTCTGCAATGTATGTCCTATCCACTGAAAACGTCTTTTCCTAATTTCCTCCCGGCCAATTGACACTCAGTATCTTGCGTAGACAACTGTTTATAAATACTTGTACACCTATGATGATTGTTGTGATAGTTCTCCACGTTTCAGCTCTGTACAGTAGAACAGTCTTGACGTTCGCATCGAAGATTCTCACTTTGAAGTTGGATGGTAGTTGTTTTGAGTTCCATGTATTCCTCAAGTGTAGGAACGCTGTCCTTGCTTTGTCAATCCTTGCCTTCACATCTGCGTCAGATTCTCCTTGTTCTTCAATAATGATGTCCAGGTACGTGAAAGTCTCCATCTCTTACAGATTTTCTCCATCAAGTGTGATTATGTTGGTGTTCTATGTGTTGTATCCAAGGGTGTTGCTTTTTCCCCTTATGTATGCTGAGGCCCACTGATGAGTAGGCTTCTACTACACTGCTTGTTTTGACCTGCATTTGTCGCTGTATATGGGATAGATAGGATAGTTTATCTGTGTAGTTCAAATAGTTTAGCCGCATCCAAGCTGTACTTTGTATTTCGTGCTTACCGTCAGATATAGAGGTCTTCGTAATCCAGTCAACCACCAGAGGAAAGAGAAATGAGAAGAGTAAGTAGCCTTGTCTGACACTGGTCCTCACTTGAAATGCGTCTGTCAGTTGTCCTCCATGTACGACTTTATAGTGTATTCCGTCGCATGAATTTCGGATGATGTTGATGATTTTCTCAGATACATCATAGTGTCGAAGAAGGCTCCATAAGGTCCTCCTACACCAATTTTGTTGAAGGCACACATTTTTTTCGTGACCACAGTAGAGCAGCATCTCTCCAGAATATAACCTTTTCTGTCTACCTTGGGTCCGATTGCTTTCACTTATTCTGAGAACAGCCAAGTTGTATGCCCTCTTTTGTGCTGCTATTTGACTGGTCCTCCCGTTCTCCCACACTGTACGGACATCCCATATACCTATATTAATTGTTGCTCTGGTTGTTAGGAGGTATACGATCTCGTAACTTTGGAAGAATTTTGGCTCTCACCATGAGGCACTATAATTCTCTTGAGAGAGGATTCTTTAACTCTCACGACAAAATTTAAATGGTTTACAATGTCGATTGTCGTTAGTTTTTTTTAGCAAGGTTGCTTTCTATGGTTTAAGGTTGATGACCCCATGCTCAACCCTTCCCCTTTACTCAGGCTTGGGACCGGCGGTAACACCAGGAGGGGCTCGCTATCGGAGTATATTAAGAACCTTCTAACACTGCCAGATATTTTGAAGTAAATTTGTGACTTATTACAGTTAAGGAGTCAACTTAATAGATATTTAAATTTTTCCTCTTGACATGGAAAATGGAAGAAAACTTTACTCCTAATATCATCTGTATACTTTATACAAACTGTAATTTCGAAGTGATCCTAATTAAAAACACATTCGTTAACTTTTAGATAAAATGATTAGCTGATGGTCAGTAAACAACAACGCTCATTATCAAATGAAAATATTCTCGGAAATAAATAAACAAAGTACTATAGTTTTTATGATTAGTATTTTCTGTTGTAGATTTGTAGACGAGATGGTCATCAAAAGTAATCTGTCTTTGATTATCCACTTTTTAATTAACCTTGATCATCATCAATACCAGGCTTGATTCACCAAAATGGATCTTGCTTTAGGGTCTGAGAAACGTACTACTTATAACAGGTGAGCAGTAATATACAGTAATAGCATAAGAATTCTAGTTTACTGATAACTCCAGTATGGAGCTTTTAGTAAAGTATATTTCATTCAGTTTTACCACACTCCCCGGTGTTTGCTCTGATCTCTTCTTGTACACAGTAAAAATCCGTATTCCTATCTGTTTCTTTTGATGAATAATGACTAAATAATACAGCAAATTGGTAAAGCATTTTTAGCGTGAAAGAGTTAAGTGTTCTGCTCAACTGTCAAAAAGCAAATAACATCTAAAGTTGTATCGCAAATTAGCAGATGAAATCCAGGTAGGAACCTTAATGAGTAACTTACTTTTATGTACATGATAATCGTTTGATTCCTTCTACAGTGAAGTATTGTTTATTAAACTTTCCGTTCGTCTGCTTTCAAGTGTTTCTTGCATAGCACAACCATCTTGTGTTTTTGTAGCATCCTTTTGTTATACTTGAGTATCCTGCCAATGGTTATAGTGCAATGTATAAGCAATCATTTGCGATATTATTCAGCTTTGTTCCCTTCTCAATTATAACTCAATTGAAAAAAGAACTTCAAAAGACAGAGTTCGTCATCTTTTGGAATTATATTTATTTTGAGAACTAACAAACTTAAACATTGATAATGATCTGAAACAGCACATTTGTTTTGTTACACTTTAGGAACCAATGAAAGTCTAGAATTTCATCGCAAAATGAAGACCCTATTATTCAACGGTTAATTTTATAGAAATCAAAATAATCTTTTTAGACTGAAATCCCTACTTCCACAGCTGCATATCCAAAATATTGTTCACCCAATCGAAATAAATAAATTGATATCTACCTAAGCGAACATGCTAATTAAATGTAAACAGTCTCCTCTAAAGAAAATCATCATGTTAACTTGCCTTATTTAAAAAACTTTAGTTCATATTAGCATTTTATAAAGTTTCCCCTGATGTAGCACCTAGAACACCTTTCTCGAATATTTTATTTTAATCTTAAATTTTAAAGGAAGACCTGTAATACCATCAGCATTGTCAATAGAAGAGCAGAGATTAATCAAATCCCTTGAGCGTCTAAACAGGCGATTAAGTGGTAAGATATTTTATATCAGTGCCTTATTTTTGGACTTTTTTGTAAACAAGTTAGCGAATTTACATATACGTTACAGTAGTTATAAAAAACGTAATCAATGAATTAATCGTATTCTACCCGACTAGATTATCCTACAACAAGACCATAAAAAAGAAACTATGGTTAGAGAAACAGTTGGCTATGCTCCTCTCAGTTACTAGTCTAATGTACGGAAACGGAAGCTCGCGTAAAAAGCAAGCAAACTATCATAAATCAATATGACTAATCGTATGGCAACCAACGTTGGAAACCGGGCCACTGTTGTACTTAAGCAGTGGAGTGCCAAGCAGGCTATGTACAGCCAGACAGAAATCGCGAAGATGTAAGAATTTCATATTCTGATAACAACTTCGGATTAATGATCCGGTCTGAGAAAGTGATTTACATTTTACTGGTGAAGCCTTTAAATTCTACAGTCAATACGAATTCTAAGCAAAACTAATACCGCCTAAAAACCCTCATATTTAAATTAAACTCGTCTTATAAAGGATGCTAGTTTAAAAGGAGTATAGTTCAATTGTTGGCTAAAATGAAAATCGTTGCGTAACTGTTCAACAGTATTTTCAACTCCGGAGCTTCAACTGTCAAATTGTATGGTATAACGCGGCATGGGATGCAGATACCGAAGTATGTTCGACAGCGCTCACCGAGTTACGCTTCATGACGTCTAGGATGAGTAGAGATTCCCAATCCGTACCGCATTTATTTAATACAGCATTACATAGTAAGAAAAGATAATTTTAACTATTCGTACGTTTGACGACTGACAATTTGAAAATTGCTTGGACAACTGCAAGCCTACTTTGCTCGAAAAATCAATGCTGGACTATAGTAATATGCAATCTGTCCTTCAGTGCACCGAAATAACAAGCCGTAGTAATACACCTTGTGTTTTTGTATTAATTGAAAAGCACAGCCACTGACTTTACGGGAGCAGCATATTGCTAGGAGGTTCATACATTTTATCGACTGTATATCTCAAAATATGACTTTGCTATACTTATTTGTCTAATAAGTTCAATAACTCATTCTTCATTTTCAGAAATATTTATTCGTCAACAGTGATAACACAATCACGAAGATAATCAAATACGTAGAAAACGGCAGTCCCATTATTCACATTTATTGATTATATATATATATATATATATATCAAAACCTCAGTAGTTATACCAAAACGATTTGAATAATTTTCTTGGAACACAGCCGAAAAGCATCAAGGCGGAATCTATAGGTTAAACAAAAAAGACACGTTCGAGAGAAACGTATATTTCAGTGTAGGCGAATATAGAATAACATGAGACCGTCAGGTTTGGAGTCTATGAGTGCCATTATTTACTAAAACTATGAAACTCATTCTGACCAGTCATCGTGAGAGCACTGAAACCATATTATCATATTTCAAAGTCAAAAAGATATTACCGTTAACTTAAACTATTGAGACTGCTTCAGGTATTTTTCAGGGAAACTGAAGAGAACCATCAAGATTGCAGATGAAATGATATGCCTTATACAAGGATGGTATCGCAATGATTTCTTCTGAAGGGCCGCGCTATACCATCCCCACTATGTCCCAAAGTTGACCTTTGACGTCATTCCGCATTTTCATCTACTATTCAATACCCAGTGTTCTCCCGTCTAACTGTAAACCCACCCAACCTGACGGACGACTTGCGATAAGAGTTCAGTGCTGTTTCATTGTCGCCACAATACTATTTCAATAGAATCGATTTAAAGCTTATACGGTGTCTAACGAAGTGAGGCCATAGCGCAGCAGAAGTCACCAAGAGATTGGAAAATCTTACAGCATCGATAAGCTGTACGGCAATTCAAATAAGGTAGGAACAATTGACTTAGAAATAACATGTAAACAGCCTCAAAATGTTCAGATTAGTTAACAATATGTGCCAAGTAAGAAACCACCCGGCTAATTCAGAAGCCCACACATGATTCAGTGTAAAAATGCTTTGGCGAGTCACATCAAAACGCACAACACCGACAGGCAGTAGATATTTTAACTCATAAACAGTACAAGCGCCTCACACTTAGATAAGTAATGATCAAGTAGCGAAACAATGGATGCACCAGGAATGCCGATAATGGCACTACTTTTGACTCAAGCCAGAAAATCAGTTTGAGCAGATGATGATGTACTGTTTGTATATACTGACTTCTAAGGATATCGATATCAGAAGAGTAATTGGGGAGGCAGACGTATACCAGTAAACAAAAGTGACCGCAATTAGCGTAACAACAGAAATTTCAGTGTTCGGTCTGAACGCTGAACTAACGAACTAAAGAATACTCTATTATGCCAAACTGCATCTCTGTATAGCGTAAGAAGCGTCTTAGTAAGTACTCATGAAGATGAATAGTGATATAACCATTATTTATTGCCCTGAATGCGAATATCAGGTTCCGAAATGCGAAATAACACCAGGCCAGCAGATACGTTTTTGGAATTGATTTTGCGAGAACATACAACCTTACACTATCTAGGGTAGTGAACACCACACTTCGCCATCTAACTCGCTCTTTGTGATAATCAGTGAACATGTAGTGAATGCGACCTCGACTTACTAATGATATAACAAGATGTCGACATCCACCGATGTAAATTTAACTCGATAGTGTGAGATTCGACAAATGACTCGACCAACTTCAGAAAACTGGTATTAGGAACAATAATTATGGATATATTTTAAATAGTGGTAGGGACCGGCTAATGATTGTATTCTCGATGTCACATTTTACCCCAACACCACATATATCATGCGTTTACATTCTAAACGTGCATACCTGAACAATTGTCATATCCTATACATCATAAACTCGTAGTAACGGGGATATGTTGCACGATTATTTTTGTGCACAAGCTTAGTCAGTCCACCGACTGTTATCTTCAAGTATTAATATTTAGGCGCAAGAGAAGACAATGAATTGCGGAAAAATATACAATTTAATTAAAGCTCTGAAAAATGGAGTCAGTCACTGTCGTCGGATGATGATTCTTCAGCTCCCGTATCCTGACTGTAACGGAAAAGAATAAGAGTAAGATTACCAGAGTAGTTGAATACAATCAGAAAGAAATGTCATCAATATAAGCAGACATATGCTTGTTCATCATGAACGCCATTAGTTAAACTCACCCGTCGTGATCGTTCAAATTTTTGCTGAAATGTGAAAAAAAGCACCATTTAGTTCGGATGGATAGAAAACGAAGCAACAATCAGATAAAAGCGTCATCAATTGGAACAGACATATGCTTGATCATCACAGCTATTGGATTCTAAACTTACCTTGCCATTTCATCGTCGCTTGAGTCGGAAGGATTTGGTGCTTTAATTCGCCTTCTATCAAAGATGTCGAAGGTAAGTAGTGAACTTACGTTACAGCCTCCCCAGCTTCACTTGCTTCCATCTTGGTTTTCAATCTGAAGTACGCGTTAACAAACATTGATCACCTACCCAACAGAGTTCGAAGTATTCGTCACACCGTCAGATTTGGAAAACTTTTTAAGTAAACCTTGGGCAACGAGTTTTTTCCTTTCCATGGAAACAGGACCACGACCCCACTGGCGAGGATAGAGATCACGCTCCATTATCACTCTTTTCAGTTTTGCGACTAATCCATGGTCACACGTCGCGATTGTTGCAGTAGTCATTAGTGCAACAGCTTGAAGTTGATGTTAGTCTGAAATGACCTACCAAGAGCTACGGCTTCGCCTTTGGTAGTCATTAGGACTATTTCATCGTTGACATTGATGTCGTTGTCGTAACGGAGTACGCCAGGCAACATAAGTTTCGCACCGAAGCAAATAGCGCACACCTAATCGACACATACTTCTATATGTAACGGAACTTACGGCAGTATCTTTAAGCATAATCCGTTTGTGTTTGATCAGCAGCTTTTCGAGAGGCATAATAACACGACGCAAGTAAGTCTCATCTCGCCTATTGTCATAAAGCCACTTAGCATCTAGTATATCATGCATAGTAACCAGATTGTCCTGCAATATGAAGGACCTTAATTGGACATACCCTTTCAGACATAAAACCAGTTTTAGACCGCCTAAGTTCTTCCATAACACCTCCACAACCTAAAAGCAAACCCAAATGCACACAAAGCGTCCGAACATACGTTCCAGCCTCACAGCGCACCATTATTAGCCCTAAATTTAGTGGAGCAAGATCATAAGACTTACCCAAATTTTTACTTTTTTCGTACTCCAAAAGTTTACACTCGTATATTGTACGAACTCTGAGCTGGCGCTTAACAGCAGCAACTAGCGGGGGTCTCTGGAATAATGCTCCAGTCAGCCCCTCTACAGCCTATAGACGATCAATAAGGGACAAAGGTCAGTCTTGTGTCAACCGCGATACAAAAATTCTAATAAGTTTAGAAACAGCTCACTTTTTGTATCTTTTTGATCTCATCCACGGACTCGTGAAGTCTAAATATGCATACATACTCTTTACCAGCACTTTGCTGAGACTTTACAAGCCTAGTAGCACGATCGATACAGACAATAAGACAACCTGAGGCATTAAGAGCGAAGTTGCCATACCAGAAACTTTGGGGTCTAAAGTGCCACTATGACCGGTTTTGTTGACTCCAAGGGCTCTTTTCACCCACGCAACAACTTCATGAGATGATGGGTTGCATGGCTTGTCGAGGTTGATGACTCCACTCCTTAAAAGTTACAGAGATGGTTCAGACAAACTTAATGTATTCATCCAGAGGCCTGTGTAAAGGTGAGTAGCCTGTTGTGTCAGCCTCGAAATGACACTCGCGTACATTCATAAGATGAACATTCTAGGAGTCTGAAGGGTGGTTATGAGTTACCTACTTTCAACAATAATGGCCATTGACTGCAATCTAAAGTAGGTTTCTTGTCCTCTGAAATTACCGCAAAGGACTCAGCTGCCTGAATAGCCTGAAGTAAGTTGACAATTAAACAGAAACAAAAACTTACTCCCACATCACCAGCTCTAACTTTGTGTTTCTTCATTTCTGGTGTCACGCGGACTGAACAAGCACGCCGTCAAGGTCCACCAGGTTTAGGAGTGCGTATAAACAACCAGTTTCTTCACTATTTAACAGCAAACAACTACTAATTTTCGTCACTCAAAATAAGCTTTTCTTCCATGAATAAATAGATATTCATGCTAAAATCACTACTCGTGTATGTTTGTCTAAGTGATTACTTGATTATGTCATTTGAAGTCATTCTTCTATGTTCTGGTTTCCAAAATGGTTCACTAAGAAAATAAGGGTCACTTAAGACTTCGCCTTTGATCCGCTTCTTTTCTGAGTCAAGTATACATCATGATTCATGTGGACGCTCTTACATCATAAATCGTTCTGCACTCGACGGTCACTTCATTGAGTAGTATTCTTCGTCACAATTTGTACCACCATTCTACAGCTTGTGTTTTAGATATTGGATATTCCAATTCACAAACTATCAGAAGTCTTTTTTGGGGTGTGATAAAAACCTTAAATACGAAATTTTACTATTATTTAGTCAACCTCAAGAAGATTATACTGTCGCGATGTATTCAGAGACGATCGACTAAATCGGTCCTTGGAATCAAACTCTGCACTTTTACTCCTGAAAGCACTTAACAAATACGGATGAACTGAAAAAGTTGAAAGTTGTTAAATAATGAAGCGACTGGCAGAATAATATACCGACGTTATCTATGGTGGCTAAATTCAACCACGAGAAAACACTGTATTTATGGAGATAGTTTTCAGTCAATTTTTCGCCTAGGTTTTCCAGCAATTTCATCAACTATGCCTGCCATATTGCGCAATTGACAGTGCTATACGACTGTGTTGAGAGATCTTTATGTACCATTACTTATCACATTGATTGTACATTAGCTAGTGAGAGATGAGCAATGTTTTGTTAAACGGGGATCAATTTTGATGATCCAGAATATATTCACGGCTACGGATCAAGAGATACTGGTAGTTTAACATTGTTCCACAACAGCGATTTGTACCTAGGTTACTTGGTTATTTTACACAGTAATATTCCACAAAATGCTCATTTGATATTGTTCTGAGCGGTCCCTATCCAGATCAACTTGTTCGACTTACGATAAAATTATAGTCGAGTTATCACATCAGCACCGCTTGGCGACATCACTAAACAGTGATCTTGTTATTACTCATCGTCATCAAGTTGAATCAGCCTAGAAAACTATATTGATGGCATAATAACCAAGTACAAATACACGAGAGAACAGATGTTAGAAGGTAGACCATGATATAAAATGAAGCTAAATGCACGGAAAAGAAATAAGACGCAGAATTAATCCCGGACAAATATCCGGCATGCTTGTTTAGTCCGCGTGACACCAGAAATGAAGAAACACAAAGTTAGAGCTGGTGATGTGGGAGTAAGTTTTTGTTTCTGTTTAATTGTCAACTTACTTCAGGCTATTCAGGCAGCTGAGTCCTTTGCGGTAATTTCAGAGGACAAGAAACCTACTTTAGATTGCAGTCAATGGCCATTATTGTTGAAAGTAGGTAACTCATAACCACCCTTCAGACTCCTAGAATGTTCATCTTATGAATGTACGCGAGTGTCATTTCGAGGCTGACACAACAGGCTACTCACCTTTACACAGGCCTCTGGATGAATACATTAAGTTTGTCTGAACCATCTCTGTAACTTTTAAGGAGTGGAGTCATCAACCTCGACAAGCCATGCAACCCATCATCTCATGAAGTTGTTGCGTGGGTGAAAAGAGCCCTTGGAGTCAACAAAACCGGTCATAGTGGCACTTTAGACCCCAAAGTTTCTGGTATGGCAACTTCGCTCTTAATGCCTCAGGTTGTCTTATTGTCTGTATCGATCGTGCTACTAGGCTTGTAAAGTCTCAGCAAAGTGCTGGTAAAGAGTATGTATGCATATTTAGACTTCACGAGTCCGTGGATGAGATCAAAAAGATACAAAAAGTGAGCTGTTTCTAAACTTATTAGAATTTTTGTATCGCGGTTGACACAAGACTGACCTTTGTCCCTTATTGATCGTCTATAGGCTGTAGAGGGGCTGACTGGAGCATTATTCCAGAGACCCCCGCTAGTTGCTGCTGTTAAGCGCCAGCTCAGAGTTCGTACAATATACGAGTGTAAACTTTTGGAGTACGAAAAAAGTAAAAATTTGGGTAAGTCTTATGATCTTGCTCCACTAAATTTAGGGCTAATAATGGTGCGCTGTGAGGCTGGAACGTATGTTCGGACGCTTTGTGTGCATTTGGGTTTGCTTTTAGGTTGTGGAGGTGTTATGGAAGAACTTAGGCGGTCTAAAACTGGTTTTATGTCTGAAAGGGTATGTCCAATTAAGGTCCTTCATATTGCAGGACAATCTGGTTACTATGCATGATATACTAGATGCTAAGTGGCTTTATGACAATAGGCGAGATGAGACTTACTTGCGTCGTGTTATTATGCCTCTCGAAGGGTGTTGCTTTTTCCCCTTATGTATGCTGAGGCCCACTGATGAGTAGGCTTCTACTACACTGCTTGTTTTGACCTGCATTTGTCGCTGTATATGGGATAGATAGGATAGTTTATCTGTGTAGTTCAAATAGTTTAGCCGCATCCAAGCTGTACTTTGTATTTCGTGCTTACCGTCAGATATAGAGGTCTTCGTAATCCAGTCAACCACCAGAGGAAAGAGAAATGAGAAGAGTAAGTAGCCTTGTCTGACACTGGTCCTCACTTGAAATGCGTCTGTCAGTTGTCCTCCATGTACGACTTTATAGTGTATTCCGTCGCATGAATTTCGGATGATGTTGATGATTTTCTCAGATACATCATAGTGTCGAAGAAGGCTCCATAAGGTCCTCCTACACCAATTTTGTTGAAGGCACACATTTTTTTCGTGACCACAGTAGAGCAGCATCTCTCCAGAATATAACCTTTTCTGTCTACCTTGGGTCCGATTGCTTTCACTTATTCTGAGAACAGCCAAGTTGTATGCCCTCTTTTGTGCTGCTATTTGACTGGTCCTCCCGTTCTCCCACACTGTACGGACATCCCATATACCTATATTAATTGTTGCTCTGGTTGTTAGGAGGTATACGATCTCGTAACTTTGGAAGAATTTTGGCTCTCACCATGAGGCACTATAATTCTCTTGAGAGAGGATTCTTTAACTCTCACGACAAAATTTAAATGGTTTACAATGTCGATTGTCGTTAGTTTTTTTTAGCAAGGTTGCTTTCTATGGTTTAAGGTTGATGACCCCATGCTCAACCCTTCCCCTTTACTCAGGCTTGGGACCGGCGGTAACACCAGGAGGGGCTCGCTATCGGAGTATATTAAGAACCTTCTAACACTGCCAGATATTTTGAAGTAAATTTGTGACTTATTACAGTTAAGGAGTCAACTTAATAGATATTTAAATTTTTCCTCTTGACATGGAAAATGGAAGAAAACTTTACTCCTAATATCATCTGTATACTTTATACAAACTGTAATTTCGAAGTGATCCTAATTAAAAACACATTCGTTAACTTTTAGATAAAATGATTAGCTGATGGTCAGTAAACAACAACGCTCATTATCAAATGAAAATATTCTCGGAAATAAATAAACAAAGTACTATAGTTTTTATGATTAGTATTTTCTGTTGTAGATTTGTAGACGAGATGGTCATCAAAAGTAATCTGTCTTTGATTATCCACTTTTTAATTAACCTTGATCATCATCAATACCAGGCTTGATTCACCAAAATGGATCTTGCTTTAGGGTCTGAGAAACGTACTACTTATAACAGGTGAGCAGTAATATACAGTAATAGCATAAGAATTCTAGTTTACTGATAACTCCAGTATGGAGCTTTTAGTAAAGTATATTTCATTCAGTTTTACCACACTCCCCGGTGTTTGCTCTGATCTCTTCTTGTACACAGTAAAAATCCGTATTCCTATCTGTTTCTTTTGATGAATAATGACTAAATAATACAGCAAATTGGTAAAGCATTTTTAGCGTGAAAGAGTTAAGTGTTCTGCTCAACTGTCAAAAAGCAAATAACATCTAAAGTTGTATCGCAAATTAGCAGATGAAATCCAGGTAGGAACCTTAATGAGTAACTTACTTTTATGTACATGATAATCGTTTGATTCCTTCTACAGTGAAGTATTGTTTATTAAACTTTCCGTTCGTCTGCTTTCAAGTGTTTCTTGCATAGCACAACCATCTTGTGTTTTTGTAGCATCCTTTTGTTATACTTGAGTATCCTGCCAATGGTTATAGTGCAATGTATAAGCAATCATTTGCGATATTATTCAGCTTTGTTCCCTTCTCAATTATAACTCAATTGAAAAAAGAACTTCAAAAGACAGAGTTCGTCATCTTTTGGAATTATATTTATTTTGAGAACTAACAAACTTAAACATTGATAATGATCTGAAACAGCACATTTGTTTTGTTACACTTTAGGAACCAATGAAAGTCTAGAATTTCATCGCAAAATGAAGACCCTATTATTCAACGGTTAATTTTATAGAAATCAAAATAATCTTTTTAGACTGAAATCCCTACTTCCACAGCTGCATATCCAAAATATTGTTCACCCAATCGAAATAAATAAATTGATATCTACCTAAGCGAACATGCTAATTAAATGTAAACAGTCTCCTCTAAAGAAAATCATCATGTTAACTTGCCTTATTTAAAAAACTTTAGTTCATATTAGCATTTTATAAAGTTTCCCCTGATGTAGCACCTAGAACACCTTTCTCGAATATTTTATTTTAATCTTAAATTTTAAAGGAAGACCTGTAATACCATCAGCATTGTCAATAGAAGAGCAGAGATTAATCAAATCCCTTGAGCGTCTAAACAGGCGATTAAGTGGTAAGATATTTTATATCAGTGCCTTATTTTTGGACTTTTTTGTAAACAAGTTAGCGAATTTACATATACGTTACAGTAGTTATAAAAAACGTAATCAATGAATTAATCGTATTCTACCCGACTAGATTATCCTACAACAAGACCATAAAAAAGAAACTATGGTTAGAGAAACAGTTGGCTATGCTCCTCTCAGTTACTAGTCTAATGTACGGAAACGGAAGCTCGCGTAAAAAGCAAGCAAACTATCATAAATCAATATGACTAATCGTATGGCAACCAACGTTGGAAACCGGGCCACTGTTGTACTTAAGCAGTGGAGTGCCAAGCAGGCTATGTACAGCCAGACAGAAATCGCGAAGATGTAAGAATTTCATATTCTGATAACAACTTCGGATTAATGATCCGGTCTGAGAAAGTGATTTACATTTTACTGGTGAAGCCTTTAAATTCTACAGTCAATACGAATTCTAAGCAAAACTAATACCGCCTAAAAACCCTCATATTTAAATTAAACTCGTCTTATAAAGGATGCTAGTTTAAAAGGAGTATAGTTCAATTGTTGGCTAAAATGAAAATCGTTGCGTAACTGTTCAACAGTATTTTCAACTCCGGAGCTTCAACTGTCAAATTGTATGGTATAACGCGGCATGGGATGCAGATACCGAAGTATGTTCGACAGCGCTCACCGAGTTACGCTTCATGACGTCTAGGATGAGTAGAGATTCCCAATCCGTACCGCATTTATTTAATACAGCATTACATAGTAAGAAAAGATAATTTTAACTATTCGTACGTTTGACGACTGACAATTTGAAAATTGCTTGGACAACTGCAAGCCTACTTTGCTCGAAAAATCAATGCTGGACTATAGTAATATGCAATCTGTCCTTCAGTGCACCGAAATAACAAGCCGTAGTAATACACCTTGTGTTTTTGTATTAATTGAAAAGCACAGCCACTGACTTTACGGGAGCAGCATATTGCTAGGAGGTTCATACATTTTATCGACTGTATATCTCAAAATATGACTTTGCTATACTTATTTGTCTAATAAGTTCAATAACTCATTCTTCATTTTCAGAAATATTTATTCGTCAACAGTGATAACACAATCACGAAGATAATCAAATACGTAGAAAACGGCAGTCCCATTATTCACATTTATTGATTATATATATATATATATATCAAAACCTCAGTAGTTATACCAAAACGATTTGAATAATTTTCTTGGAACACAGCCGAAAAGCATCAAGGCGGAATCTATAGGTTAAACAAAAAAGACACGTTCGAGAGAAACGTATATTTCAGTGTAGGCGAATATAGAATAACATGAGACCGTCAGGTTTGGAGTCTATGAGTGCCATTATTTACTAAAACTATGAAACTCATTCTGACCAGTCATCGTGAGAGCACTGAAACCATATTATCATATTTCAAAGTCAAAAAGATATTACCGTTAACTTAAACTATTGAGACTGCTTCAGGTATTTTTCAGGGAAACTGAAGAGAACCATCAAGATTGCAGATGAAATGATATGCCTTATACAAGGATGGTATCGCAATGATTTCTTCTGAAGGGCCGCGCTATACCATCCCCACTATGTCCCAAAGTTGACCTTTGACGTCATTCCGCATTTTCATCTACTATTCAATACCCAGTGTTCTCCCGTCTAACTGTAAACCCACCCAACCTGACGGACGACTTGCGATAAGAGTTCAGTGCTGTTTCATTGTCGCCACAATACTATTTCAATAGAATCGATTTAAAGCTTATACGGTGTCTAACGAAGTGAGGCCATAGCGCAGCAGAAGTCACCAAGAGATTGGAAAATCTTACAGCATCGATAAGCTGTACGGCAATTCAAATAAGGTAGGAACAATTGACTTAGAAATAACATGTAAACAGCCTCAAAATGTTCAGATTAGTTAACAATATGTGCCAAGTAAGAAACCACCCGGCTAATTCAGAAGCCCACACATGATTCAGTGTAAAAATGCTTTGGCGAGTCACATCAAAACGCACAACACCGACAGGCAGTAGATATTTTAACTCATAAACAGTACAAGCGCCTCACACTTAGATAAGTAATGATCAAGTAGCGAAACAATGGATGCACCAGGAATGCCGATAATGGCACTACTTTTGACTCAAGCCAGAAAATCAGTTTGAGCAGATGATGATGTACTGTTTGTATATACTGACTTCTAAGGATATCGATATCAGAAGAGTAATTGGGGAGGCAGACGTATACCAGTAAACAAAAGTGACCGCAATTAGCGTAACAACAGAAATTTCAGTGTTCGGTCTGAACGCTGAACTAACGAACTAAAGAATACTCTATTATGCCAAACTGCATCTCTGTATAGCGTAAGAAGCGTCTTAGTAAGTACTCATGAAGATGAATAGTGATATAACCATTATTTATTGCCCTGAATGCGAATATCAGGTTCCGAAATGCGAAATAACACCAGGCCAGCAGATACGTTTTTGGAATTGATTTTGCGAGAACATACAACCTTACACTATCTAGGGTAGTGAACACCACACTTCGCCATCTAACTCGCTCTTTGTGATAATCAGTGAACATGTAGTGAATGCGACCTCGACTTACTAATGATATAACAAGATGTCGACATCCACCGATGTAAATTTAACTCGATAGTGTGAGATTCGACAAATGACTCGACCAACTTCAGAAAACTGGTATTAGGAACAATAATTATGGATATATTTTAAATAGTGGTAGGGACCGGCTAATGATTGTATTCTCGATGTCACATTTTACCCCAACACCACATATATCATGCGTTTACATTCTAAACGTGCATACCTGAACAATTGTCATATCCTATACATCATAAACTCGTAGTAACGGGGATATGTTGCACGATTATTTTTGTGCACAAGCTTAGTCAGTCCACCGACTGTTATCTTCAAGTATTAATATTTAGGCGCAAGAGAAGACAATGAATTGCGGAAAAATATACAATTTAATTAAAGCTCTGAAAAATGGAGTCAGTCACTGTCGTCGGATGATGATTCTTCAGCTCCCGTATCCTGACTGTAACGGAAAAGAATAAGAGTAAGATTACCAGAGTAGTTGAATACAATCAGAAAGAAATGTCATCAATATAAGCAGACATATGCTTGTTCATCATGAACGCCATTAGTTAAACTCACCCGTCGTGATCGTTCAAATTTTTGCTGAAATGTGAAAAAAAGCACCATTTAGTTCGGATGGATAGAAAACGAAGCAACAATCAGATAAAAGCGTCATCAATTGGAACAGACATATGCTTGATCATCACAGCTATTGGATTCTAAACTTACCTTGCCATTTCATCGTCGCTTGAGTCGGAAGGATTTGGTGCTTTAATTCGCCTTCTATCAAAGATGTCGAAGGTAAGTAGTGAACTTACGTTACAGCCTCCCCAGCTTCACTTGCTTCCATCTTGGTTTTCAATCTGAAGTACGCGTTAACAAACATTGATCACCTACCCAACAGAGTTCGAAGTATTCGTCACACCGTCAGATTTGGAAAACTTTTTAAGTAAACCTTGGGCAACGAGTTTTTTCCTTTCCATGGAAACAGGACCACGACCCCACTGGCGAGGATAGAGATCACGCTCCATTATCACTCTTTTCAGTTTTGCGACTAATCCATGGTCACACGTCGCGATTGTTGCAGTAGTCATTAGTGCAACAGCTTGAAGTTGATGTTAGTCTGAAATGACCTACCAAGAGCTACGGCTTCGCCTTTGGTAGTCATTAGGACTATTTCATCGTTGACATTGATGTCGTTGTCGTAACGGAGTACGCCAGGCAACATAAGTTTCGCACCGAAGCAAATAGCGCACACCTAATCGACACATACTTCTATATGTAACGGAACTTACGGCAGTATCTTTAAGCATAATCCGTTTGTGTTTGATCAGCAGCTTTTCGAGAGGCATAATAACACGACGCAAGTAAGTCTCATCTCGCCTATTGTCATAAAGCCACTTAGCATCTAGTATATCATGCATAGTAACCAGATTGTCCTGCAATATGAAGGACCTTAATTGGACATACCCTTTCAGACATAAAACCAGTTTTAGACCGCCTAAGTTCTTCCATAACACCTCCACAACCTAAAAGCAAACCCAAATGCACACAAAGCGTCCGAACATACGTTCCAGCCTCACAGCGCACCATTATTAGCCCTAAATTTAGTGGAGCAAGATCATAAGACTTACCCAAATTTTTACTTTTTTCGTACTCCAAAAGTTTACACTCGTATATTGTACGAACTCTGAGCTGGCGCTTAACAGCAGCAACTAGCGGGGGTCTCTGGAATAATGCTCCAGTCAGCCCCTCTACAGCCTATAGACGATCAATAAGGGACAAAGGTCAGTCTTGTGTCAACCGCGATACAAAAATTCTAATAAGTTTAGAAACAGCTCACTTTTTGTATCTTTTTGATCTCATCCACGGACTCGTGAAGTCTAAATATGCATACATACTCTTTACCAGCACTTTGCTGAGACTTTACAAGCCTAGTAGCACGATCGATACAGACAATAAGACAACCTGAGGCATTAAGAGCGAAGTTGCCATACCAGAAACTTTGGGGTCTAAAGTGCCACTATGACCGGTTTTGTTGACTCCAAGGGCTCTTTTCACCCACGCAACAACTTCATGAGATGATGGGTTGCATGGCTTGTCGAGGTTGATGACTCCACTCCTTAAAAGTTACAGAGATGGTTCAGACAAACTTAATGTATTCATCCAGAGGTCTGTGTAAAGGTGAGTAGCCTGTTGTGTCAGCCTCGAAATGACACTCGCGTACATTCATAAGATGAACATTCTAGGAGTCTGAAGGGTGGTTATAAGTTACCTACTTTCAACAATAATGGCCATTGACTGCAATCTAAAGTAGGTTTCTTGTCCTCTGAAATTACCGCAAAGGACTCAGCTGCCTGAATAGCCTGAAGTAAGTTGACAATTAAACAGAAACAAAAACTTACTCCCACATCACCAGCTCTAACTTTGTGTTTCTTCATTTCTGGTGTCACGCGGACTGAACAAGCACGCCGTCAAGGTCCACCAGGTTTAGGAGTGCGTATAAACAACCAGTTTCTTCACTATTTAACAGCAAACAACTACTAATTTTCGTCACTCAAAATAAGCTTTTCTTCCATGAATAAATAGATATTCATGCTAAAATCACTACTCGTGTATGTTTGTCTAAGTGATTACTTGATTATGTCATTTGAAGTCATTCTTCTATGTTCTGGTTTCCAAAATGGTTCACTAAGAAAATAAGGGTCACTTAAGACTTCGCCTTTGATCCGCTTCTTTTCTGAGTCAAGTATACATCATGATTCATGTGGACGCTCTTACATCATAAATCGTTCTGCACTCGACGGTCACTTCATTGAGTAGTATTCTTCGTCACAATTTGTACCACCATTCTACAGCTTGTGTTTTAGATATTGGATATTCCAATTCACAAACTATCAGAAGTCTTTTTTGGGGTGTGATAAAAACCTTAAATACGAAATTTTACTATTATTTAGTCAACCTCAAGAAGATTATACTGTCGCGATGTATTCAGAGACGATCGACTAAATCGGTCCTTGGAATCAAACTCTGCACTTTTACTCCTGAAAGCACTTAACAAATACGGATGAACTGAAAAAGTTGAAAGTTGTTAAATAATGAAGCGACTGGCAGAATAATATACCGACGTTATCTATGGTGGCTAAATTCAACCACGAGAAAACACTGTATTTATGGAGATAGTTTTCAGTCAATTTTTCGCCTAGGTTTTCCAGCAATTTCATCAACTATGCCTGCCATATTGCGCAATTGACAGTGCTATACGACTGTGTTGAGAGATCTTTATGTACCATTACTTATCACATTGATTGTACATTAGCTAGTGAGAGATGAGCAATGTTTTGTTAAACGGGGATCAATTTTGATGATCCAGAATATATTCACGTCTACGGATCAAGAGATACTGGTAGTTTAACATTGTTCCACAACAGCGATTCGTACCTAGGTTACTTGGTTATTTTACACAGTAATATTCCACAAAAGGCTCATTTGATATTGTTCTGAGCGGTCCCTATCCAGATCAACTTGTTCGACTTACGATAAAATTATAGTCGAGTTATCACATCAGCACCGCTTGGCGACATCACTAAACAGTGATCTTGTTATTACTCATCGTCATCAAGTTGAATCAGCCTAGAAAACTATATTGATGGCATAATAACCAAGTACAAATACACGAGAGAACAGATGTTAGAAGGTAGACCATGATATAAAATGAAGCTAAATGCACGGAAAAGAAATAAGACGCAGAATTAATCCCGGACAAATATCCGGCATGCTTGTTTAGTCCGCGTGACACCAGAAATGAAGAAACACAAAGTTAGAGCTGGTGATGTGGGAGTAAGTTTTTGTTTCTGTTTAATTGTCAACTTACTTCAGGCTATTCAGGCAGCTGAGTCCTTTGCGGTAATTTCAGAGGACAAGAAACCTACTTTAGATTGCAGTCAATGGCCATTATTGTTGAAAGTAGGTAACTCATAACCACCCTTCAGACTCCTAGAATGTTCATCTTATGAATGTACGCGAGTGTCATTTCGAGGCTGACACAACAGGCTACTCACCTTTACACAGGCCTCTGGATGAATACATTAAGTTTGTCTGAACCATCTCTGTAACTTTTAAGGAGTGGAGTCATCAACCTCGACAAGCCATGCAACCCATCATCTCATGAAGTTGTTGCGTGGGTGAAAAGAGCCCTTGGAGTCAACAAAACCGGTCATAGTGGCACTTTAGACCCCAAAGTTTCTGGTATGGCAACTTCGCTCTTAATGCCTCAGGTTGTCTTATTGTCTGTATCGATCGTGCTACTAGGCTTGTAAAGTCTCAGCAAAGTGCTGGTAAAGAGTATGTATGCATATTTAGACTTCACGAGTCCGTGGATGAGATCAAAAAGATACAAAAAGTGAGCTGTTTCTAAACTTATTAGAATTTTTGTATCGCGGTTGACACAAGACTGACCTTTGTCCCTTATTGATCGTCTATAGGCTGTAGAGGGGCTGACTGGAGCATTATTCCAGAGACCCCCGCTAGTTGCTGCTGTTAAGCGCCAGCTCAGAGTTCGTACAATATACGAGTGTAAACTTTTGGAGTACGAAAAAAGTAAAAATTTGGGTAAGTCTTATGATCTTGCTCCACTAAATTTAGGGCTAATAATGGTGCGCTGTGAGGCTGGAACGTATGTTCGGACGCTTTGTGTGCATTTGGGTTTGCTTTTAGGTTGTGGAGGTGTTATGGAAGAACTTAGGCGGTCTAAAACTGGTTTTATGTCTGAAAGGGTATGTCCAATTAAGGTCCTTCATATTGCAGGACAATCTGGTTACTATGCATGATATACTAGATGCTAAGTGGCTTTATGACAATAGGCGAGATGAGACTTACTTGCGTCGTGTTATTATGCCTCTCGAAAAGCTGCTGATCAAACACAAACGGATTATGCTTAAAGATACTGCCGTAAGTTCCGTTACATATAGAAGTATGTGTCGATTAGGTGTGCGCTATTTGCTTCGGTGCGAAACTTATGTTGCCTGGCGTACTCCGTTACGACAACGACATCAATGTCAACGATGAAATAGTCCTAATGACTACCAAAGGCGAAGCCGTAGCTCTTGGTAGGTCATTTCAGACTAACATCAACTTCAAGCTGTTGCACTAATGACTACTGCAACAATCGCGACGTGTGACCATGGATTAGTCGCAAAACTGAAAAGAGTGATAATGGAGCGTGATCTCTATCCTCGCCAGTGGGGTCGTGGTCCTGTTTCCATGGAAAGGAAAAAACTCGTTGCCCAAGGTTTACTTAAAAAGTTTTCCAAATCTGACGGTGTGACGAATACTTCGAACTCTGTTGGGTAGGTGATCAATGTTTGTTAACGCGTACTTCAGATTGAAAACCAAGATGGAAGCAAGTGAAGCTGGGGAGGCTGTAACGTAAGTTCACTACTTACCTTCGACATCTTTGATAGAAGGCGAATTAAAGCACCAAATCCTTCCGACTCAAGCGACGATGAAATGGCAAGGTAAGTTTAGAATCCAATAGCTGTGATGATCAAGCATATGTCTGTTCCAATTGATGACGCTTTTATCTGATTGTTGCTTCGTTTTCTATCCATCCGAACTAAATGGTGCTTTTTTTCACATTTCAGCAAAAATTTGAACGATCACGACGGGTGAGTTTAACTAATGGCGTTCATGATGAACAAGCATATGTCTGCTTATATTGATGACATTTCTTTCTGATTGTATTCAACTACTCTGGTAATCTTACTCTTATTCTTTTCCGTTACAGTCAGGATACGGGAGCTGAAGAATCATCATCCGACGACAGTGACTGACTCCATTTTTCAGAGCTTTAATTAAATTGTATATTTTTCCGCAATTCATTGTCTTCTCTTGCGCCTAAATATTAATACTTGAAGATAACAGTCGGTGGACTGACTAAGCTTGTGCACAAAAATAATCGTGCAACATATCCCCGTTACTACGAGTTTATGATGTATAGGATATGACAATTGTTCAGGTATGCACGTTTAGAATGTAAACGCATGATATATGTGGTGTTGGGGTAAAATGTGACATCGAGAATACAATCATTAGCCGGTCCCTACCACTATTTAAAATATATCCATAATTATTGTTCCTAATACCAGTTTTCTGAAGTTGGTCGAGTCATTTGTCGAATCTCACACTATCGAGTTAAATTTACATCGGTGGATGTCGACATCTTGTTATATCATTAGTAAGTCGAGGTCGCATTCACTACATGTTCACTGATTATCACAAAGAGCGAGTTAGATGGCGAAGTGTGGTGTTCACTACCCTAGATAGTGTAAGGTTGTATGTTCTCGCAAAATCAATTCCAAAAACGTATCTGCTGGCCTGGTGTTATTTCGCATTTCGGAACCTGATATTCGCATTCAGGGCAATAAATAATGGTTATATCACTATTCATCTTCATGAGTACTTACTAAGACGCTTCTTACGCTATACAGAGATGCAGTTTGGCATAATAGAGTATTCTTTAGTTCGTTAGTTCAGCGTTCAGACCGAACACTGAAATTTCTGTTGTTACGCTAATTGCGGTCACTTTTGTTTACTGGTATACGTCTGCCTCCCCAATTACTCTTCTGATATCGATATCCTTAGAAGTCAGTATATACAAACAGTACATCATCATCTGCTCAAACTGATTTTCTGGCTTGAGTCAAAAGTAGTGCCATTATCGGCATTCCTGGTGCATCCATTGTTTCGCTACTTGATCATTACTTATCTAAGTGTGAGGCGCTTGTACTGTTTATGAGTTAAAATATCTACTGCCTGTCGGTGTTGTGCGTTTTGATGTGACTCGCCAAAGCATTTTTACACTGAATCATGTGTGGGCTTCTGAATTAGCCGGGTGGTTTCTTACTTGGCACATATTGTTAACTAATCTGAACATTTTGAGGCTGTTTACATGTTATTTCTAAGTCAATTGTTCCTACCTTATTTGAATTGCCGTACAGCTTATCGATGCTGTAAGATTTTCCAATCTCTTGGTGACTTCTGCTGCGCTATGGCCTCACTTCGTTAGACACCGTATAAGCTTTAAATCGATTCTATTGAAATAGTATTGTGGCGACAATGAAACAGCACTGAACTCTTATCGCAAGTCGTCCGTCAGGTTGGGTGGGTTTACAGTTAGACGGGAGAACACTGGGTATTGAATAGTAGATGAAAATGCGGAATGACGTCAAAGGTCAACTTTGGGACATAGTGGGGATGGTATAGCGCGGCCCTTCAGAAGAAATCATTGCGATACCATCCTTGTATAAGGCATATCATTTCATCTGCAATCTTGATGGTTCTCTTCAGTTTCCCTGAAAAATACCTGAAGCAGTCTCAATAGTTTAAGTTAACGGTAATATCTTTTTGACTTTGAAATATGATAATATGGTTTCAGTGCTCTCACGATGACTGGTCAGAATGAGTTTCATAGTTTTAGTAAATAATGGCACTCATAGACTCCAAACCTGACGGTCTCATGTTATTCTATATTCGCCTACACTGAAATATACGTTTCTCTCGAACGTGTCTTTTTTGTTTAACCAAAAGTTACCGTCTCATGAGAAGTTTTCGTGTAGTACCATAAAACATAGTATAGGTATATTAATCGATATCAGGCCATGAAACACCTACTTTGCCGTATGTTTTATCGTCTGACTAAAACAACCTAACAATGGAAGCACAAACTGGAGAGGCTTACGTTCCGGGATTTTGTGAAGACATTAGGGGTTTTCATGTAATTCTCAGCATCGTTATCCGCTACCTTGGATTGGAATTTGACCGTTTGATGGGGATTTTTCAATGTGTATCATTTGCATTCAGACTTTAGGGAGACCACTTTTGTCGCTTCCCAGTAATTTGGGTCAGTCTTCCGAGGGCTTTAAATTTACATTACTCACGTTTGTAGAACACAAACGTAGGTAATATATATTGATGAATGGAGCTTTTCTGGATTGTAAGGCAATGGTGCAGCCTAGATTTCATCGAAATCACACTTCTTGGTTGATAACCTTTCGTCATATTGGAGCACTATGATTACTTTGATGACCGTACCACTCAAACAACGTTATAACGGAAGTGTACTGGCAAGATTAGGTATAAGAAACAGAATGTGACCACTGGTGCATGGGCCGGCCCATGGCGTGAAACCGACTGACGCGTGTCAGTTGTCCTTAATCTCCACAAGGATCGGAACACTATTCGACATTCAGTGACCTGACGTTCGGGTGATTTGGATGGAGACCAATGAAATTGCTCCAACCCTAAATATGTGCTAACTCAATTAAACGGTGAACAATGAAAAATAAACTGTTAATCAGGCTTTCGAGCCAATATCGTTCAACGTTTGCCCAAACAATAGCTCCTAGGAACTAAACAATTCACAAATATGTTTCTTTTTGACAATGAATACTGATTATTGGCAGTCATTCAGTGAGTGCTGAACGATGCAGCTCTGAGATAAATTGTCATTAAAGGATTTACTGTTTTCCCGTGAACGTCTTCAGGGGAAGATACTTTTTATAAACAGCCCTATGTCTCCTGAAAACTGATATACTAATATTGGTGGACTTTTATTTTGAAAACAGCATCCCAACTGTTCATATAAGTGAGGCCTAGTTAAGAAGTGTGCTAGTTTTTGTCGAGAATTACCATTACTATACTATTAATGATTGAATCATGAATGGTACAGCCAAATTATGAAAACGACACACAAAATGTTGTGTTCTTTGTATGAAATATCAGCAAGGTTTTCAATCATGTCAATAATAGACAGTTTGAATATCGGCTACTCAATAAGGAAAAATATTGCGAGACCGAAAATTGAGAGATCGATCGGCTTGTTGCTTGTAATTTGTACTGCTATCCTGGGCGGTTAAAAATATGTAAACTGTTGCAAAGAACTGCAGAATAAACAGCATTATTTATCATCAGGTCATTGATTGTAACTAGACATGATCAGTTATCCCCTCACTAGGTTATAGTATCGGTTGTTATATTAAGCCCATATACTTTATTCTAGTTACTGGCCAAGCCGATTCGCTTGTCATGAGTCATATTATGATCTTGTTAATTATTCGCTTATTAACCTTGACTATATTTTTATATGAGCGTATATGTGTACCATTCGTATCTTACTCATCATATTTCTGTCATTTATTTTTGCCTGATTATAAATATTGAGTAATCCTTGCTCATAGCGAGTTGTCTTATCAGCCATCTCCACTGCATGTCATTTTCGCTTCGTTTGCTTTTATTCGCTTCATCACATCCCTGGCCAGATCAATGATTGTAGAAATTATGTGTATCCTAAATCCATTCTCGTATTTGACTTATTTAACTCCGTTATTCACTAACGCGGATAAAGTTATTTATTACATACGAGGATAGACAGTGTGTATATTTGGACAACAAACAATCATTCATACGATCAAAAAGGAATCAGATTTAGGCCACTACAAGATCAGTTAAGTAAGGTAAAACAAGATGTCTTTGCCCTTCCCATTTACACTACCTAACCTACCCATTTGAACGAGAGCAACAACCTGTGGCTCCTGTTATCTGTCGATAGAGCCAAGCACGTATACATTTGCAGTCAGCGAAAACCGAAGTAAGTAGCTGTAAAAGGAAAACAGTTTATGAAAGAACCGCACAAGTGGATATCCATTAAGTTATTATGCCCTAAATGATTCTAGCACATTCACAGTTTTGAGGCTATAAGGCAGCAGCCTACACGTGTAACGTTTTGTTGAGACCTCTAACTAATAATGTTTTCATAAAACTTAGTAAAAACGAAGGCGTTTAACTATGTCATTGGTGCCGTTTGAGTCCGACAAGCAAGTTAACAGAAACTATTTCCACTGGACGTGCTCAGAAGTGAAAAAATGGAGCAAAATGACATTTTTCATCACATTTCGACCACTAGTCTATAATCTATAGCATGCTGCACTAAATTGCGCCATATGAAGTCGTGTATCTTAATGTGATCTAGATAAACTGAATCCTTGAGTGGTTACAGCAGATATTGGTACAAAATTGTATACAAGTAAAAGGAACTGGAAATTGGGCTTCGCCACCTATCGAAAATATCTGTTAAGTATCATCTCCTCAAACAGTTCCGGCACTTGTATCTTGTGACAGAAAATGAATTCTAACTTGGTGATTAAAGATTAATTCACAATAATCTTGAATAGTCTATTTGACTGCAGTAGCGAAGCTGTCAGCAAATCAGCATATTTGTCGCCCATATGTTTGCCTTTATGTGCCACCTGTAAATCATGTTTGCTTCGGTTAGAAAAGGACATAGTTTCATTTGTGGAAAGAGAGAATACGTGTTATCTAATGAACGAAAAACCAATGCTCCACAAGCAATTGGATGTGCCCATAAATGCTTGTTGACGTGAATAAGCACGAGATCTATTTCATCACTAATGTCTACACTTAGATGGGGATTTGAACTTTTGATGAGTTGTTAATGATTTCCCTTCTTTAAGTCTGAGTGGGCAAAGCCAGTACGCCATGCCACCTAACATATAACAAACCCTAAACTTTTAAAATATAGAATCCCTACCTCAAACAGTCACTCAGGGTCTTTGTAACTGAAAAGGGTATATTTGACCCGAAACCGACTTCTCGCCTGTTATATGAGATGAATGGGATTTCATGTTCACAAAGCGAAGCAGCCTTTTGGCTGTCGAATTCACTAAATAGTGTCAAAGCAATTAAAACAAAATGAAAGCGTAACATGATGTAGAAACATCAGCTAATGGAATTCAGCCGACCTAGTTTATCACATCAGTAATGAAGTATACACAAAGTATTCTACTCAAAGGCTTTTTCTGGTATATTTGTTGTGAAAATAACTTATAAACCTCACTGGGGATTGTACATGAATAATGGACGTGTCTAAGCAGACTTTCAGGTGTTTAGCATTACGGACTAGGTTTAAGACCAAAATGTCGGCTTAGAATGGCTTATATGAGTCGCAGCCCACAACTATAACCTGAATTCTTACTCCCGATCTTAATCATAAGTCATACCATCAATCTAAACATAAATGCCAACTCCTCAATTCATCCTAAGAACTAAACATATACCCTGATCACAAACATAACTATGAACAGTATATCAGTCTCAAACTTCAAATATGATCCCTTCCTAACCCTAACAAACATTTCAGAGAAACATTACCGCATATTTTGTTTCATAAACTCACATACAATCATCCGACCCCCTTGCTCTCAAATAATTGTTTTTAACAATATGGGGCTTTTTAAATTTTGAACTTTTTATTTAACGAAACTGATGACGAAACTGCTGACAGACAATGTGCAATTTGGTATTCTCCCTGTGATCTTATCGGCAGTATTCTTTTAGCTCATCTTAATGTCACATATTCGAAGACAGCTACATGTAACTGCGCACTCACAGAATCGTCTTTGAAAGTTGAGAGAGTTACTCATAATATAATAGTAGTTGTGCTGGACTTGATACACATAATAATTTTAAATGACGTTTCTAATTTTTCGGCGTTTCAGGACAATCATATTTTCTGTTTCAATGTTTTTATGCTGTCTTATAACATACTATAGATATATGATTAAATATCAAACAGAGACAAAAATATTCAATTACTGTAGGGAGTCTGCTTGTATAGACTGGGAGAACCACTCCTTTTCCTTTCATGAAAGAATGAGACAAGGGCCTGGAGAAAACGGTCTACCAGTTAGATTATCAAATTCACAAAAAGCTTTGTCCAAAAAAACCCTTAACTTCAATGGTTTCAATATATTTGTAAGCGAAAAAATCAAAACAGACAGGTCAGTAAAAGATATCCGATATCCAAATTGCAAGGGAGCGTTATACTCTAAACAACTTCCTCTTGTGTCTGTAATTATACCAGTTTACGAAGAACATTGGGAAACACTTATTCGCACTGTTGTATCTGTTTTAAATCGATCACCATTAGAGCTTATAAAAGAAGTTATTTTGGTTGATGATGGTAGCTCACGGCGGTATTTAAAAGAGCGACTTGATAATTATCTCTCAAGGACCTATCCTGGTGGTCTTGTTTGGGTGATTCACTTGAAGGAAAGAGAAGGACTTATTCGAGCAAGATTATCAGGTGCAAAGTTAGCAACCGGTGATGTGCTTATATTTTTGGACTCGCATTGTGAAACTAATGTGAATTGGCTTCCACCTCTTCTAGATCCAATTTCTAAGAATTATCGCACAGTAACATGCCCTTTTATTGATGTGATTGATGCTGACACCTTCGAATACCGTGCTCAAGATGATGGCGCCCGTGGAGCGTTTGACTGGAGTTTTTACTACAAGCGTCTTCCAAGATTATCAACTGACAGTCTTCATCCGGAAACACCTTTTGAAAGTCCAGTAATGGCAGGTGGTTTGTTTGCTATTAGTAGAAAATGGTTTTGGGAACTGGGAGGTTATGACCCTTTGCTTCATATCTGGGGTGGGGAACAGTACGAATTGTCTTTCAAAATTTGGATGTGTGGTGGACGTTTAATCGACGTTCCCTGTTCAAGGGTTGGACATATTTTTCGCGAATATCCAACAAATTTTCCGCAACCAAAAATAAAGAATTTTTTAAGGAGAAATTTCAAGTAAGCTATGAGTACTTAATAATACATCTGCAGTTTATCATCAAATTAATTAGAAATATTACTTACTCTGTTTCTGTGTTTCAAATTAAGCAATTGAGTCATAGTTTCGGGTACAATCTTGCGAATAACTCATTCAGTACTTCAACTCCATTGATCCAAACGCTGAGGAAGTGGAACTATGAAAATTGTGATTTCAGCATTGTGAAATAAAACAATAAACCTCTAAATTCTTTATACTTCAGAGCATTATTCAAGTGTTCATTTACGAAATGTGCAAATAAAAATGGACATGTTAAAATGTAGTACGAAATAGTATCTATTTTAAAGATGAACAGTCTTCTCACTTTACGCCAAGATGAAACTACTCCGTAGGTTTCACTGTTTACGAAATTGTCAAACTATGAACACTGGGACTTTTAATTGTTTTTAGATATTGATTGTGTCATACGCAATGGTCAGTAAAATTTGATTTATGAATGAAGCTCCGTCACTGCATCACCTACTTCGTACCATCATTCGTAAATCTTCAAATGAACAGTCGTTAATTAGACAAAATTTCTTCACATTCCTTGTTTAATAACTGTAATTTTATGTGAAACTTTGATGAAAATTCAGAAACATTGATCTGCTTTTTAAATCTAGAAAACTTAACTAAGGTGTAAAAGATAAATTTTAAAGCTGTTTTTTATTCCATAATTCCTCAAAAATACTTTATAGGTGCATAGTCTTGTAATTTGATTAATAGCCACTCAGTTAAAGGAGTTAATTCATCACTTATTTACAATATAGCCCTTTTTCTAATTCCAGTATATTTGGAAAGCCTAATTTTCCAATGCTTTCAAAATAAGCTATAATACCCTACTTTCTGAGGATCAAAAAGCAGAGCATCCAAGTAGAAGTATTATATTAAGTGTTATTTAGAGAAGAAATAAATAAATGTGTAGGTTTTAAAAGTCTGTTTTCTAAAAAGAGCTCTCTTTCTAATTCACCCTTTAAAAAGAGTTATAGAAACTATGTATTTGATTTCAAATTGAAAGGTTATGAGGTACCAACCCAAAAGATCGAATATGCGATTATTCAGTTCTTATAAATATACATATACGATCCATTCATCTTTTTCACCTAAACCAGTCAAAGTTTGGTGTTTCAATGTTGAATCTTTTAATGATGTTGAAAGTCAATAAGAACTGTGTCTAATAGGGACTAATCTGTTACTAGTGTGGATACACTTTATTAATGCAAAATATTTTTATTTTCGCGTATATTTTGCAAGCTTGTTGAATTTTAGGAATGCTGTTATGTATTTGTTTATGTAACTAGAAAATACATCAATTCTAGTACGAGAATGCCTTAAGACCATTGACATTTGAAAAAGAAAATTGAACCTTTACATGTTTATTAGTGATGTTTATGATATTTATCGAAAATATGATCTGAAAAGCTATATTGTAGCTTTATCACAAGATCGTACTGTTGCATTTTTAACAAGTCATACTGTAGTGAACAGAACACTGGTTGGGGACAATCGAATGTATTTAAGCAAACATTACAGACTATCTCAGTAAATTCTGATTACCAAACAATGAACAGTCAATTTGCAGATTAACAACCAATTGTTTCAATCTTCACTGTTTCTTCTCTTATTCCATTGCTCATGCATTTTCCAAACGATTGCGCTTCATTTCAGTTCTTTCCTCATCGGTCTTCTGCGAAAATACATTCTATGTCTGACCCACACCATATACTACTTATATAGATATAAGTAGACCACACCACAATACTAGTGTTTTAATTTATATTTTTCTGGACGCTCTGCTTTTGTTTCTGCATATATGCCACCTACACATAATACGCCTTAAGAGCTCCACGTAATTATGGCCACCGCACTTTGTAGAAAGTCGCGGTCACAACTCCTTAAAACAACCTTTCAATATTACTCAATCTCATATCTTTTATTTGGAGTGTACGATGTTTCAGAACCAATTATACGTTTAGTTTGGAAGTGGATTTATGATGTCGGAGAGCAACTCTATCAGACAGGTTAGGGTTACGTACATGTTGTTAAGATTTATAAAGACTCATTCTCGTTTGTTTTTAATGATAAATCTACAGCGTCTCATTTCACTAATCCACAAAAGACGGTAGTACATGATTAACTGTTATCTATTTGGATTCGGCACTAGCTCGCGCGTAACTGAGTTCGGATTTCCGAACATTACGTGAACTAATTGGATGCATAGAATAGAATAAAAATATCATGAATTTAAACAAAGCTATATAAAAACATTATGACTCTTGAACTTTTGTTTAAATTGCAACAAAGTTAAAAACTACGGGTTGCCTGAAAACTTAAAGAAAAACCCGAAGGAGTTCTAGTGAGAACCCATGACCAATGAAGTTCAACCGTGTAAGGTGTGAGGTAGTTACCCACCGAAGACAATCAAAGATGGTCTCCAAGTATCGTGGCCTGGTCGGAGTTCGATATTAACACCGTCAGCTCAGTGATCTAAAGGTTAAGCGTTCGCGCGGGACCCAGAGTTCTGAGTGCGGAATCGTGTATGCGCACTGTCTAAGGGTTCAATACTAGGACGAAACGGCCGTCCAGCACCTTCAGCTTTTCAACGGTGGTCTAACATTGGTCGGTTCATAATTTTAATGTAAAAGAAGATATCTTTAGCATCGGTCGGATAAAACTAAAAAATAGTTTCCTTCAGTCACTGGTAAGTATTTGTTTGGTTATTTTTAGACAGCTACATACATAGCTTATCTAAGTGATGAAGATCCGGTTTTATAAATATATAGGAAATACATAAAGCTTTTCGGTAGATGAATGTCTTAAAGGGTTTCAATTCGCAAGTTTTCCAACGACGATCGTAGGTAATATCTGACGGAGTATTTTAGAAATCATTCAGTTATCAAATCAATTATCCTTTGGGTCTTTACTGCGTTGAAAAAAAATAAAAAAACCGTTTAAAACACATTCAGTGCCTGCTTAATTGGCTGACGTTATTAATTTTCATTTAGCGACATCTATTAGTGAAGTCTTGAGCTTACAAAAAATTGTTAAAATCATTTTGAAGAAATCCTCTCTTCAAAAGAATAACTTCATACATATTTGTTTTTATGCTTCTCTGTATTGAATCAGACTGATATGCTTCAGCACTGTTGAATAAAATCGGTCTCATTTGAAATACTTAAATAATCTAGATAATGATCTTCCGAAACAGCAATCAAAATTTTTAAATTGTTTTTCATTTTAAATACATCGCTGTTCCTAAGGCTGGAAGTGTAAGAGACACCATACTTTTAAAATGCATTGGAAAAATTAACTGACTTTACACCTTGGTTTTATAGATTGGTTCTAACCCAAAACTGTTGAGGTTTTAATTTTTTTTTAAAAAGTATGCAAACTGAAATATCAATTATGACTTTTGTGTTTAACATTTATCCATCACGTTTAAGGAACATCAGTATTTTTATCTTCCTACAAAAAAGCTGTCAAATTAAGCATTCGAATTCATATGTTATGAAGTTTTTGTCCTAGGAACCTTATGAATTTACTACTTTCCTTTGAATTTATAGATTGAGACTTAGTACTTTAAAAAACAGACCATTAGAGTAACAGTTATATAACAAACATGTCACAACAGTCTAGTTGCAATTTTCAAAAGCAACGCCCATTATTTACAAAAGGCATATTTACAAACATTTCACTTTTTAGCTGAAACCAAAAAAGTGCAGACAAGTGAAAATGAATATTTTAACAAGTATTTTGTGGAAAATTCTAACATGAGGTAGTACTAGAACCGGTCTACCATTAAGTGCAGAATAAAACTACATATATGTGTAATCTGAGTTTATTTAAAACTTTGATTAAACGTTCCCGTAGATTTAAAAGCCTACAAAATAAAGAGATTTTGCTTATGATTTACCTTTTTTATGGATCTTAGACGTGTCGCAGAAGTGTGGATGGACGAATATAAAGAATACATATACAGAAGTTTACCGGAATGTAGAAAAGTGGACCCTGGTGATTTATCACAACAGCATAATCTCAGAAAACGGCTTCAATGCAAGTCTTTTAAGTGGTTTATGACAGAAGTAGCGTTTGATTTGACGAAAGCTTACCCGCCTCCTGAAGAAGTCTTGTTTGCTACCGGAGAAATACGTTCAGTTGCTTTTCCTTATCTGTGCATAGATGCTACAAGAGCCGTCAAACGATCACCGGTTAAATTAAGTTTTTGCAGTGCAATTAGCAAAGGGCATAATTACATGCAGAATTTCGAATATTCTTTTAAACAAGATATAAAGGCTGTGAAACGGTAAATGTGATATTATTATCTGACCTTCGTTTTTTAAAAGTTACTTTGACTTCTTAAAAATCATTTTTATTCTTGATCGTCTAGCACTTTTAAAATATTTTTGTTATCCTACCTATTTATTTATATATTCAACATTTAAAACATACTTTTAAACCTAGTGAGAATCCTTAACTAGGAGAGGTCAACCATGTTGATTGAGGAAGCTGCCAACCAACCCCATTGGAAGATGGTCGTATAACATTGAAAATTGATTGCAGTTATGTACGTAAATCATTGGATCTCATCTTAGTGCTTAGAGAGACCTAAAGTTTTTGAGTTAGACCGTGGTAGACTAGAGGATGAGTACTGCTGAAAAGTCTCTTATCAGAACTAAAACGTTATCCAGTAATTCCTAGTTTTCGGTGGTTGTCTAACTAAGGTCAGTTCGTCATGCAAACTACAAAATATTTTGAGTTGGTAAATTAAGAGTGTTAAATTATTTTAATAAGATCTGCATGACATCCCAGATTTCACATAGTTTTTGCCCACTTTTGGAACAAACATTAAATTATTTACTTCATTTAGGTGCGTGGGATTTTAGTGTTAAACCGATGGGCCTTACTTCAGTTTACCAGTCAATTCCACACTTTTTCATTACTACAGTTTTAAAAAGTTCTGAAAGTGAGTGTTAAACTAAATCCTACAATGACTAACCAGGTTATAATTGATAACCCATCTCTAAAAAAACATTTATTAATTTTCAAGTTGAATTCACGAATCCATTTAGGCCAGACCACTATTGAGAACCTGGAAGTACTGGACGGCTGTTTCATCTTAGCATTGCACTCCCCAGCAGTGCGCACCCACGATCTTTCACGCTTCCAGGTTTTCAGCGGTGATTTTGCGCAGATCGAATCGTGAATTCAACTTGAAAATACTATAATATTTACAAAACTTCATACTATTTTATTAATTTATTACTTTAAAAGTTAACACAATAATTGTTGATAAGTAAATATTTTTACTTATTTTTTCAAGAGAAAAATACATTTTGAACTTTTTGTTGAATCTTCTTTGGTCGTAACTTATTTGAATTACGATGAATCAAGTTGATTGTAATTTTTAATTATGTGGGATACACTGCTTTTAATCTAGTTTTCTGTTGTTTAGTGAATAATAAATGTGAGAATACCATGTAATGCCTTTTGATAAAGGGTTGGAAACTCTGTAAACTATAACATCACTTTAATTCTATATTAAAAATAAATACGATTCCAAGGTCCTAATATTGACCGTTCCATGGAGGTCCTTGTTTCGAATTGATCTGTTTATAAAGCGTCCAGCATATCAGAACTCTCAATACATTAGCTGAGATTCAGTTAAATGACGTGGTATCTTTCGTCTTATACTTCGAAAATCATGATAAACCACGAAATTTTGCAGTTGGCTGGCCTAAAAGCAGTCAACCGCAATTTATATTCTGTAACACTCACCGACAGTATAATGGTACTTGGCCCATACAGTCAGAAGCTTTGTTTACTGGTTTATTGTTTCCTTAACTATCTAGGAGAGCTATAAAACTAAGTAGTGATTTACAATGATTTTCGTCCGATTGAAGTTATTTTTTTGGTGTATAAGACGTTTTGGATCGAAAATTTTTACCAAGAAAATCTGTCTTATTACATATACACAAAGTAACTTTCTGACTGTACAATAATTAAAGATGTTTTAAGACAGTGATTTTTCCCGGTAAAGGAGAGTTCGACTAAATTTTTTGTCAGTGTAGGTCAGTAAGAAAGCCTTTTATGGCAGTAGTCTTAGCAAAGTGAAGTAAGTTTATCCTATTTTCATCAATTATTATTTTTAATGTCTCATGAACATCTACTTGATCATTACTATCCGTCATATGAATGATGATCAGAGTTCTAAATATTCAGATACTCTTTAGGTATGGGTTTTAGTAAAAATCGTCAAAAAGCCTCGTGGAAACATTTTCCAAGTTCTTCTAATGTAGTTGCTTACATAGGTACATGCGAAGTCATAAATGCAACCGAAATTGATAACAGGGTATTGATTTCAGTTTTTGTGGTTTATTAAATATTCTATTTCAACTGATTGAAATAAATATTCGCAGAGAAAACTCTTTTCAGTACCACTCTAATTTTTCCTCTAATTTCAAACCTCAATCTCTCTAGAAAGGAAGATGGATGAAGAATCGTTTGTTGTCTCGTTTTAAACTTTCTTCTCGACTTCACTACTTAAGGTGTGTAAAACTTAAATCTATACTTTACTAGTTCTTGTTAATTTAGGCTGTTTTCAGCCTATGACAAGCAATGTTGTTCCTATTTTAACAACTACATTTATTTTATGTCATTAATTAGCATATACATGTGATTAAAAGCATGATGAACACAATTTCATCGAAAGAAGTTTAAATCTAGATCAATAAAAGCTTAATATAATCATTTATATAAATTAATTTGGTGGATTCTGGAAATGTATGTCTATTCTAAATGTTTTGAAATGTTCTTTCAGATATGAGATTGATCTACATATCTATCCAATTAGAAGAGAACCAACTAATGATAGCTAGAGTTTGTGTTATGGATAGCTTTTTTTGAACAGTAATGAATAAACATTTTAAATTGTTTCCTAAGGCTATTCTAATTTTATTTGCTGGAATACTCTTTATGTTACAGATCATTATGTTTAGATGTACCAGATGCCAAACCTAACAAACCAGTACTATTTTACCCATGTCATGGTCAAAATGGAAACCAACACTGGCATCTACAGTCGGCTTATAGAAACAATGAAAATCCTGTTATTATAGCACATTCGACTTCCGGTTTGTGTTTAGACTTAAATCTGAGAGGTCTGTCAGTTTTTGTAAGACGGTGTAATTCGAACTTGCGTACTCAAAGATGGAATTGGAGGGATTTACGATTAAAAACTATTTTACCAAATCTGTAATAAGAGATACAATGTAGTAGTAAATGAAATTAACTTTTCCACCTATGGACATTTTTCTGTTTATTTGTAAACTGTGATATTTAACTTAGTTTTAATCAAATGTTATGAAATAAAAGTCATTGTTTTCCTTTCACATTTACCTTCATCGTCATTGATGTGGTGTACCAAGGGTATGGGAAGAATATAATCATTGCTTTCAAGTGCTTTAATTTTAGTATGTTTATATCATCTCTTGAGATTTATTTAACCTTCTGAATAGATTATTTCACATCATACTACAAAATGTTATTGTCCCCGCATTTCATTTTATGAAAATTCTCTTTTCATTGCTTTGTGCATTTCAAACATGACGTTTTCGCATTAAAATGTTATTATTATTCTTGATGATCGTCACTTTCCAGTCTTGCTTACAAGCAGAATTCTATTATGAATTGTTAATCTCAATAGTTACTAAAAGATGTTCATTTCTGTCTGTTATGCAATGCTTTACTATGTAGATTACCTAAAACCCAACATCCGTCATCAATAAATTAATTTAGCGTAAAAATCAGAGTTGACCTCAAAGTTCTCTTCCTTGTCTGTTCTATCCAAAAGGTAACTGGATTGTTTCAAACAAGAATCAACACATAGGAAGCCAACCTGAAACGGATAGTTTACAAGTTCTCATGAAGGCCATAATACGGTTCCCTTTATAACCGCCTTACAATATGGTTAAGCTGTCTTTGACTCTAATTTATGTAACACTAATTTACAGTAAAAATAAGGTATGTATATCATTGCGCTAATCAATAAATATAAATTACCTCTTTGATTTATGTTCTCCTCCTAATTTCGTTCCGTGATGTATGGACAATAGTCGGTTAATAAGCTGTATTTATAGCGGACATGTACGAAATAAGGTAGTATTTATCCAGAATTCAGTTGCGGTTGCAGCGCTGATTGATAATGTGATCTCTATGCAATTCAGTTGATCATGTCAGTGTGATTTGATTAGGCCATCGATTTTCCTACAAATCATATTCGTAGTTGAATTCTTGTTTTTAAATTAATCTGTCATTACTATGATAATGACTTACAATACTACAATCATTAGATCACCAGTGCTGTAAAGATTACCGTTGAGCCTAGTAACTTTTTAAAATTTCATTTGTCAAGAAAATTTACATCCAATTGGTTGAATTGACCCAGGGGTCTAGGTCAGAGAAGTAATCATCTAACCAATCAGTTAACTGACCACATCACACAGAGTAGAAAAATTTAAAATTCGGACTTCAACACTCTCCCGCAAACAACTTTTAAGCTGCAAATAAAAGACCTACTACAGCTCACTCTTGTACGATCTGTTTCGATTACCAGAGTAGAAAGAAGGAAGTATTGTATAAACGTCTTTAGACTACAAACACTAGGTTTCTGAATGTGTATTTTGATAGCTTTGGCAGTATGACAAGAATAAGTCTGTATATATAATGCTTCAGGTTTGATGAAGTATGGTGGATAACTGTAGTGTTTATATGAACCAGTGATTTCTTTGTATTGATGACTGTTTTGTTTTTGAATTCCAAATACAGCACATTCGTTTGCGCTCATTTAATAGTTCTTGATTAAATTGCGTTATTGCTGGGATTACTAGTTTATAATATAATTCAAATACTCGTAAACATCACGTCAAGACAGAATAACTAAAAATTTATTTCCAAATAAAAGCAAAACTGTTAAATATATGACTAAAATTTTTTAAGTATGAATATAATCCGTAAGATTCCTTCCTAGATCGAAGTCTAACTAAGTCTAGATCTTCATGTTTATCAGAAAGATGTCTGAAACTTTCAGTATTAGGATCAACAAATATATTTGTATTTTCAACCTACTCTATATCTCATTAAGTCAAGTTAAATTTTATTATCGATTGGTGTATGTTTACATTACGTCGTTCAATGAATAAACATACCATAAGTTTACACAATTGTTATATGTCAACATTTCTTGAAATGAGAGGAGTTATTGTCACAATAAAAGTGAGAAACAATATATATTCGTTTATTGAGTCAATACATTATTTTACCAAATGATAAGTAGATTACATATCAAATTTATAAGTTGGTCAATGTAAGATAGTTTTTTGTAACACAGAATGATAAGAAGTATTGAAAATAAATTCATTATTTCTTTCATTTAAGATGATTACATTTTCCTGTTAAGCAGAATTGGATGAGGTTAGAAACTTGTACCACTAAATCTTACTCTAGTATATTAGTGCTCAGCGCTTGCGGTGAATCCAGAGAGTCATAGGTACGATCTTTGAAATTGTGATGGGTTCACGCTCCCAAGGAGTCTCATGCGACAAAAAAGAGCTGTTCACCGGTCTGTTTTTTAATAGTAACCCAGCGGAGGTCAGTGTGTGACGAAAATCACCTACAAAACAAATGGAATTCGTCTTATTTTTTATGATAGTATGATTTGCAGTCAGTGACAAAATCATTCAAATCACTTTAGAAGCTGGGCGTGTTGAGTTTTTTGCAAGAATGAATGTGGTTGTTTGGTAATTTAGAATGTATACTTGCTGACCAACCGATGGACATTAATACGACAGTCTGTAGTATTTTTCAGTTGACGTAAAAAGTAGCTAGGAGAAATTTCAGCGCAAAAAGAATTTTTAGCGGCAAAAAGTTTAATAATCTTTATAATCCTAATAAAATAAGGTACTTTCTTTTGCCTTCATGACACTAGATACGTGATTCTAATGGTATTCAATATGCTTTATTCAAAAGTATAGATTGATCATCCCATATTTTTTTGCATCTGTTATGTATTTTTCGTTATTATTCACTGCCTACAAACCCAACACGCTTTTGCATTACAATCCTCTGTTTTCTTGGATAGGGCTACAATGGTGTATACACTTGAGACCACTCAACATAGAGAAAGCGTTTGGACCATGTGATTTACATGTACTGTGGAATAGAGGACTCCTAACATCCACTCGTCGTAAAGTTGCCCAGAAAATTACAGTCTGTTAAATGAGGTAATTTGTGATTAGCTTTCAAACCATATTGTCTGCAACTAACACTATTTTAATATTCTATATTCATTTCATTATTTTTCTATGCGTAACTAATTTATGTGATTGTTATGATCACGATAGTAACCACCCAGCTATTCTTAATGCTTAGTATTCTTCGGACACTACTTCACTCGACTAGCCCCCCATGCATAATACAATAGAATAGGAACGTAATTATATTTCGAATAAGGAAAGATTAAATGGGAGTAAGAATCGAAATAAGGAATACATTATTTTATCTATAATTTTTCGATACGATTCTAGAATGTTCTCCAAATATAAACTTGAGCTGTTTTGTTAAGAAGTAACCAATTAGCGTGCTGCGATACAGTCCTTCACGTCGCATGCTAACACCTCCCGTTTGATCAGGATCGTGGGATCTGATGTTAGGGACACCTTCAACCACGTGACTGAGATCTGCTTTCGATTTTTCTGTCGTTTAGGTAACAACGAAGTAGTATCACTCTTTGCTTGTACAGAGACTAACCTGTCTGTTTCAAGTGTTCCTATTTCAAAGGTGTCGAGTAGAATATCAAGAGGTTTTGTATGTGAGGTCTCATAGCTGGGTATCGAAGGAGCTCTTAGTTGATTAGTATGATGCGCCTGAATTTCTCAGCTCATTGACTCTTTGTAAACCTCATTTCCTTTCCTTTGCACTATTCGACTGATTGTCCATGATAGTGTAAGATCCATTTCGAAGGTTTTGTGTGTGAAAATCTCTCCATGCATATATTTGCAGCTTTTTCTCATTGGCTTCTTTAGTTGTACATTTTGTTAGTCTTTTTGATGCCATTTGAGGTTGCGATGTTTGATTTTATGATAGTTTTCTTTCGCTTTCACTGAGTTTCTACATCTCTTCCTGAAATGTATTTATGTTGTTTTAGTTGATATTTAATCTCGGCGGCAGCCATGTTGACTGTTCCCTCTTTGATTGTGTTGCTTGAATTGAATGATATCGTGCATTTTGATAGTGAATTGAAGCACTTTTTCAAAATTGGAAACACTTTGTGTTATAAAGCAACAAATTATTATCCTTTGAACGGATTTTTAATTGATCTATCCAGAATGGATATAATAACACTTATTTTTTAATCGATTGTTGAAAGGGCAATTATTGGTTGAATAACTGAGCGGTGATATTTTTTAGAACCGTTATTTTCCCAAATCCTTTTGTTTTGATTACAAACCATAGTTTGGATTTTACAGTTCTAAACAAATACCGATTGGTCGGAGGCGCTTGGCCAACGTTTCGTGCATATCCTTTTTAGCAGTTCGTGCAAGAAAGGCTACAAGTAGATTTGGACGGTTGGCGCATCATTCAAAAAAGAGATGTAGCATGAGGACGGATCGCCATTCGCCATCGAGGCAATGGAATGCTTTGACCGTATGAACTAAATGTAATATGTATTCTGACAACCACGCCGTTGATAAATACCCACGGCTTTTATCGCCTACAGTTGAAGATCGACGGTCTAACGTTAAGAGCAAGGGTATCTGCTTCGTGTGTCTTAAGCAAGGACATAAGGCCAACGAATATAGATTGACGAAGCGCTGTACCATCGACAGACGTACGAAAAAACATCAACTATTGCACAGTGACTCGACAGCCAACAGCTCAGAGGAGAAATTTGGTGCGGAAAACAGTTGTGGGTTTAGTAAGTCACTAAATGGTCATGTTTGTTTAAGTGTGAACCTCGGGCAGTTGAGATCGGGGAATGCTGTAATTGCAGGCTATGCACTTTTGGATAATGGCTCTGATGTAACATTGATCAGGTCAGACTGTTTGAAATCGCTCGGGCTGAAGGAGGATCAGGCGTCAGTGGTAGTTCAAACCGTAGGCGGTAACAGAACAACAAGGGTCACGAGGGCGCCTTTTGAAATATATTCTTTAGATCAATCTGAGCATGTTGCGATTGAAGGAGCTCTGGTTGTGTCACGTGTACCAGGGCATAAGCCGACTAAGTCAGTAATGAGCAACGTAGTCAAGTGGCCGCATTTATTTGATGTGCCATTAGATATTCTAGATTCTGCAGAAGTCCTATTGCTGATTGGTTGCGATGTCCCGGAAGCCCATTGGGTGCTTGACTAGCGGTTAGGTGGGGGAAAAAACCCGTACGTTGTGAAAACGTTGCTAGGGATGACTGTGTTTGGACCTGCATCATGTCTAGGCTTTAGAAAAAGAGTCATTAATAACACCAGTAAGGTACAGAAGTTAAGAGCCCAAGTACGTAAGCCTTATGATAGAAAGTTTGCCATTGTTCATTCGAGTCATGAATCAGTATCATTGCGGATACACAGATTGTGAGAAGGAATACGTGCTTCGAAAATGATCATTTTGTAGTCCCGATTCTGCGGTAAAAGATTTCAAATATGAGAAACGGAAACTACGAAGTAGCAGACAGTAGGTTACAGGGTTTGAGGCGTAGGTTGTTGAAGGATGACAACCTACACATCAGAAATACCGAATGTATTGAAAGCAATTTCACCAGCGGCTATGCGGAGAAGGTCCCTGAAATAGAATCGAGGTCAGGTTATCGCCCTTGTCATGCGGTGTCGAACCCCATAAAGCCAGAGAAACAAGGAGTGGTTTTTGTTTGTGTCACCAAGTTTACAGGGGTCGCCCCATATGTTATGATTTATCAAGGACCCAACACCACGACCGAGCTAGATTCTAAGCATATAAGTGATGAGTTGACTGACATAAAAATGAAAGCTAACAAACGAGGTAAAGGGGATCTTAATTTACAGCGAGAGACAAAAATTCTTGAAATGGAAGTATAAACAAGGTCATGATGCTTACCAAACTCTCCTTAGTGAATACCATGTTTTAGAAAAACGGTTCCAAGAAACGAAACGAGACCTTGAGGCCGAGGCACTATTCGAACTGGTTCGGAAAAAAACGAACCACTAGCTGATGGTGATATGAAGACTATTAAACGATAGAGTTTGCCATAAAAATAAACAAAACTCACTAAAACAGTAGCGAAAGCATTCCATAACTCGAACGGGATGCTACAGCACCTAAAATAAAACAGCTGTATTAGTGTTTGATGTGATTGCAGGTTGGTTATATAAAACATTTTAGCCTTGCAAGTAATAACACATTTTTTTCTGTTACTTCTCATACAACGAAACGTTCAATTGAAACCCTTTATTAGCTGCCAAACCATGGGTGCCACAAACTACTGTAACTGTGTTGTCCATCTCCCATTTTTCTTTGCACTTAATCCCAGATGAGCGTTTACATCTCAGTCAGACAAATTCAAGGAACAATTTGATACGAACATTCATTGGTTCAACTAACTTATCATACGCACGGAGAAATCGCATTGTCAGGAAACTCTCAGAGTGGTCAACGTAGAAGCAGTATAAGTAGCTATAAAAAGGAATTGGCGTCAAAGATACGACTCAACAAAACATAAATTAGTGAGATGATAAAGTTGCGAGGAATTCATGTGCTGTAAAACTGGTGGACAGTAATAATTCGATGCACCTGGTCCATCAAGTGATTATGTGACATCTCTGCCAAAGTCTCTGACAATTGCTTACAATAATCTTGAGGATTCGAATCAGGTAGTCTGAACTTACCAACAAGTCTCATTCCAATGGTTGACGTCTTCATGGACTGATACCATGTCCAGCCCACTCTATACATTATCACTCATCGACGTAGCGAGTCGTTGAGTATTCATAACACAAGTTTGGAATACTTAGGCTGATGAAAATTCGCTACCACACCAGTTGATTTTCCACCTTTTCCTGATTCCATATCCCTAACTCAACATTGTTTTGTCGGTGGTCATAAAGTACACGAGCTATGGTTTGAAGACACCTATGGTGGAATACTAGCAAAACTGGATTTAATCTATTCCTGGTGGTCGTGTTTCACATCTATAAAAAAGAACGGAGCAAGATACTGTCAAATGAACTCGCCCTTTAGTTGGGAGAGGGATATCTCACCAACTCCATAAGTAGAGCAAGTTTGTTAAGGCTTTTCGAGCCTCCTGAACCCGTGCCGAGGTTTCGCTAGACTCCAGGGTATTAGGGCTGGTGAGATTCTTAAGATAAGTTAAGTGGTCGATGCGTCCAGATGCTTCATTTTATTTTATTTATCCAGGCACTGACGTAGACTGATCCCGAGGCTATATTTTCCGTTCGAAGGCAAAAGACCTCGTCGCAAGTATGCTCCGATTGTCGTTTAAGGTGGTTAGAAGACTCTGAGTTCCGTCTGAATTTTCATCAGGCTAAACTGCACATCTATATCTACTACTGGCTCTGTACAAATCCAACGTCTGAAGTTTTGAAAAGCATTGCTCATGAACACGGCGGATAATTTACAAGTGAACAGTTGTCAATATGCTTATCTGTTAGGTCAGTAAGTTTGAAATGCCAAAATTCCGTGTGAGCTTGGGTATTCACTCCATCTAAACAACAAGCAGATAAATGCACATCTTTGTATATTAAATCGCAATGATTGATTAACGTCAAAAATGTTGCCTTAATTGTGCGTTTAGAAAGCACGCCTATTCAGATCCACCATATTCTTCGAGAACGAAGGAGGATGAGGGTGTAGCTGCAAATAATTCCCCAAAATCAATAGCTCTTTAAGCGTTCGCCATTGGATGCTGACCACATTGTTTCAAGTGAATTTGTTTAACTGAAGGCGTTCGTTCAAGCATCTGCACCAGATCACGTTACGACTCAGCGTGGGAAACAACTTCTACGTTCTTTAGCCAGATTAGAGCGAACGCTTCTCGATATATTGATAACGCATCAAATATATCTTTCCGATCTCTTCACATCTGACATCTGATTTTAACCGATTGGGGGACGCTTTGAATATAGGTGTTACTGGTTAATAGTTGTAAAACTAGAATACTGGTCTTATCTACAAGGGCACTGATGGCCTTTTTAGATGAGGAATACGGTTTCTGGTCCCTGACAGCTACTCTGATAAACATGACAGATACAGGACTACATGAATTTTCTGTGGCTTTCATCATACAACTTTGAATGTCTCTTAAATAAAGTGAGACACGTTATAATATTATCAAACTCTAAATTTTCTGTTTAGATTTTCGATACGGTCGATTATCGTTAATAAGCTTAGGTTCCTGTCCGGAGGCACTGGTAATCCATGCCTACTGGATACGGAATCTCATTAGGGGAAAGGTCCTTCTATTCCATCCAGAACCATATGAACGATTTGTACCATTTTAATTTTAGTGCTTTCAAGTTAAGCTTTGACTATTCAAATAAAATAGCGTAAGTCTATCGTGATAAAGAAGTGTTATTGCAATGTTCAATGCTCAAAATTTGTCTTTGACGGCGATCATGTGAAGAGAAATTCGAATATTTTATCTTGTTTTTCCACACCGTTTGTGTTTACGCTTTTATCGCGTGGCTATTCAAATAAGCCTGAATGCGCGGTCTATTCATCCTACGAGAGAAAAGTGGGGTTGTGCTCAAGAACAATCCTGTAAATAATTTAAGAGGGTACGTTGTCGATTTGATTTTAAACCTGAAAATACAATTATATCCAAAACTTCAAAGTTTCTGTTGTTTTTGAAACAGATCATGTTGTTGTTTGGAAATTTGGCAATTATCTTATCAAACAGAATCTGATAAGAAGTAACACAACTTAGCTGCTTCTCATGGGCAGTACAACGGTTTTTCGTACTAAGGATTGCCTTAGTTTATTATGAAACGTGTCAGATACCACTTATAATTTAACATCAATGTCCTTCATGTATTTTACCCCATGGTTGACGTATTTGTAAAACTGTTCATTATATGTGCTAGTTTTACTTCCTCCTTTGATAGGACACTGCAGTCTAATTAACTTTTTAATTCGAATATTCTTTCCGCTCTAGTATTTGTCCTAGAAGTTTTACTTCTGTGACGGTATAGAGTGATGAGTTAAAGGAGCGGATAGGTTCTGTTACTATGAATGATCTATGGAGTGACACCGTTTGTGAATATGGATGCCCGCAACTCTCACATGACCCATTTACGTACCATCTCATATTGCTCTTTGGGTTACGGGGTGGGTTTGCATATCTCATACATGTCTGAAACTAGTTTTCCCTTGAGTAAACGAAAATGCGTTGTCCAAAGCTTATATGTATATGGCAATAGCACAGTGGGAACAATGGGGGTTTCGTTAGTTGCTCATAATTCACTCATATTTTCGCTCAAGATATTTATTCCTGCTATTTGTCATTTGATAGTAATGATAACGGATGAGATACAGTATTTTCACTATTGATCGCATGAGGTTCTTGGTTAGTACAAATAAAGCGATTAATAGGTTGCGATCGAGTTCATATTTTTTCCCTAACACTGTCATTTTTTTGACCCTTCAATAAGGATTTACTGGGTCAACTTGTAGCCCATGTCATATAATAAAATACATAATCATCAGTACAGATCGATATTTCAGTGACATAGCAAGAGTTTGTATTCCGGTTGTAATGTTAAATACACTTCATAGAAATATATAAATTTTATAAGTTATACTGCTCATTGTTGTTTTCTTGGTAGGCTTTGTTATATAAACTTATAAAAAGCCATTTCATCTATTGACTTTGATAATGCCTCTTTTTATTTCACATGTTTTAGTGAAATTCTTTCAATATGCTCTTCGAAATCCGATTCAAGCGATAACAATAGACCCACAATATCAAATCAGATATCTGCTTGTCATTTTTCTCCGGGGGGTTATAAATTATACTTTGCACTAAATTCAGGTGATTTGTACTGCTTAGACTTTGTGAAGAACTGGTAAGCATCATTCATCGTACCTGTTCGACAGAAAATATCTTTAGGTATCAATTAATAGCTTCGTTGAATCGTGGTATTACATATATATGTTTATGTGAACCACGTGGATATGTGCTTCTGGGTTTGAATGATAACAGCATCAGGATCTTAGACGAGGGTAACTTTTCGCTATTTCCCAGGTTTCTTGTGAAGGATATGTTGCTAATTTTGTGCTTTGTTTTCGTTCAATATATCAGGACATTTTTTTGGATAAAATGTACATCAACGTATGATATTTGCTCATTCAGAAGTGTAGTGCCTTTGTCCTATCATCCCATATTATCCAGACACAATCAATCTATGCCCCAAAAAGTAGTTATAATTTCGACTGAAAATGATATGATTTGGTGGTTAACCATTGCAAACAATTTTAAATTTTTTTGGTCAAGTCCTACCTATCCTAGTTTCACAACTTTATGATATTTTTTACGCACACGGTTCAGTTAATTTTTACTATGTCTCAATATCTAAAGAGTAAAATTGTGCAGCTTTCAGGATCGAGTATAAGTATATCCTACTTGAATGATATATTTTCGTAAGAAAGTTGTATAATATCGTGCCGTGCAGTCTCATTCAAGGCCTCTAACCATCGGTTGCCATCATCTCGCGAATCCCAACCAGGTAGTCTACACCTACCAACATGGTTCAGTCCACTTGTCAGTGACTTCATGGATTTGTGCCATATTTTGGCCTGGCTGCCCCTAGCCTTCTTCCAACCTACTCCTACCCCATAAAGCATTGCACGTCGGGGCAGTCGGTGGTTGGGCATACGTAACACGTGTCCCAGCCATCTCAACTGATGAAGTTTTACTACTTCATCAATCGATTTGCCATCCTTACCTAGTACCCGTTTCCTAACAACTGCATTACGTACCCGGTGGTCCCAGGATATACGAGCAATGCTTCGAAGACACCTATGATCGAACACTAGTAGCCTACGGATATCCTTTTCTCTTATCGACAATGTTTCACTGCCATAAAGTAGGACGGAACGACCTGCTGCACAGTACACATGTCCTTTGGTTGCTAGACGGATATCTCGCCTACGCCATAAATGACGCAAGTTGGCGAAAGCTAGACGAGCCTTCTGTATTCGTTCTGAGATTTCGTCACACCAGACCACAAGGGCTGATGAGACTCCCAAGATAAGTGAAGTGGTCTACACGCTCAACTACTTCACTCCCTATCATTAGTTCAGGTGCCGATGCAACCCAATCCTGAAGTAACATTTTGCATTTCGAGGGGGAAAATCTCATCCCGAACATGCCTGAATAGTTGCTTATAGTGATCAGAAGACTCTGCATTTTGTCAGCGTCTTCACCAAATAGAACTATTTTATCGGTGTATTCTAAGTCAACAAGTGAGCCTCCTGGTAGAATTTCAACTGGAGATTTAGCTGTTGGAAGTGTTATCTCTAGAAGTATGTCAACGACAAAGTTAAACGAGAATGGGGAGAGTGGACAGCCCTGACGAACACCACTTGAGGTAACCAATTCTGATGACAGTTCTCCATAGGCTCTAACTCGACCACTTGTGTTCTATCAACGGAGTTAAATGCCGCCTTAAGGTCAAGAAATACTACGATTGTGGGGCGTCTGAATGTATGTCTATGTTCTACGACCTGACGTAGAGTGAATATCTGGTCTATGCAATCACGCCCAGGTCGGAAACCAGCCTGGTTTTCTCTAGTCTGCTCTTCACGAGCTTTTGTTAGGCGTCCAAGTATTATTGAAGCTAATATTTTAGACACTATATTAGTCAAACTGATTCCTCTGTGATTGTCACAGGAGGACCTTTGTCATTTTTATAGACTGGCACGATCAGTGATTGGGACCAGTCAGATGGAATTACCTCCAGTTCCCAGATTCTACCTAAGACCTCAGTCAATCTCGCTGCTAGTACTGGACCACCATCCTTAAAAATCTCAGGAGTTAACCTGTCAGTGCCTGCTGCTCTCCCTCGTTTCAGATTTCATATAGCTTTTTCAACCTCGTAGAGAGTTGGGGGATTTACGTCAATTTGCCATTCAGGAAGACTGGGGATCGTGGGTAACTGAAGTGTGTCTGAAAGCCAGGTGAACTGATCCCTAAAGTGTTCTGACCATCGATCTAATCTCCTGGATTAAGAATGAATGATATGCCCATCTTTATCTAAGATAGTTTCACTGATACTTGTTGTTCCTAATACCGGTTTCTTTAACAAGTCTGAATAGCTGTCTGCTGTTACCTATTGCCGCTGCCTTTTCCATCTCTCTAGCTTTCGCTACCCACCACTGTTCACGGTCACTGAGTAGGCCATAGAGACCAGCTATTTTAATTCTGAATACCAATGAAGCGAAATCTGTCTATCTATTACCATCATATTCTATCTTTAGAGTCCGGAAATGAGATTAATTCTTTGAGTGGTCACACGTACAGAATCTCTAATATATCAGTTCAACCAGTTTCTGGTCGTTATGGATTATCTACTGCCCTAAGTGAAGCAATATTATGGGATCTCGACACTAGCACATGTCGCTGCAGATTACATATTGGTCAAAAAGTGAATTTGGTATCAGTGAGTTTAGTTTACCATTTTGAAAAGTAATTGTAATTGATAAACTTTTCTTGTTATTTCCGAACTTCCAGATTATTTAACTGTGGTGTATTTGCTAAGTTGATAATTTTCAACATCCATAATTGAATCTTCCAAGACCCTCGATTTCCATTTATATTTATGTTCTCTCGTCATATCTTAAAATAGTTTTAATTTTCAACCAAATTATCGATTTTATATTTCACATAAAACACCCATTTTCCCCACCTTCCCATTATGATGTTAGAAATGAACGGGATATTTATAGTTTTATAGTTGTACATTCAGGCTCTTTATAGAAGTTTACTTATGTCCTGTAGCTACATTGGCCATCATATTACGCCCATCCATTAGAGAAAGAGTGAGTAAAATTCACATTTTTGTATGATTGGACCTTATTCGAAACCAAATAACACTTTTATGCTGTCTACAAGTATATTTTACTATGTGTAAAGGTCTTAGTATCGTAAACTACATGAAACAGATGGTTTGGTTTTATTGTCCATAATGTTTTTAACTTTTGACTGGATGTGTACTGTACTGTTCAAAAATACTTAATATTTCATTTTTTAGCTGTCTTTAGGTGTACCGTTAGTCTGTGAAAAAATGTAAACGTTCATCGATGGATTTTATGTCTTTAAAATTGCATAAATGAACCGAAGCTAACATTATCCTATTAATACTGAACAGCAATTTTTATACATTGAGGAATAAAATTATGTGTAAAAATCTCAGCGATTGAATTTTAAAATAAATCCAATGTTTCGCTCGTCAGTCTGGTCCAAGCTTTTTCAAGGTAATATTACACTAATTTAGCGCCCAACTACTGTGAAACTATTCGTTCAAATTTAGATGGAAGTTCATATGAAGTAATTTTTCTAGTTGTTGCTTTGTTTACATTTTAGGTAACTTTCATTCCACCTTGTGGTGAGCAAATTGTATCCTGTTTTCAAGATGGATCCATTTATGTTTGGAGTACAGATTCTCTTCAGTGTTTATTTAGGCTTATTAACAGTGATTATCCGAATCCACCGTATAGATCAATTACATTTACCAGGTTTGAGTATTTCGATTTTTGATATTGTACGGAAGTTTTGAATAACGATGTCTATGTGGATTTAAGCTTTTTATTTATTTTAAACCTCCCTTTATCAGGGTTGTGTGTCTAAGATTTTTCATCTGAACTGTAATCTAAAGAGTCACGGGAAAATTATGGTAGGTATTAAAATCTAACCTTCAGATACGTAAACTTGTAGATTTTTATTTGCAGTACAAGCTATCTAAACCAAAAGAAACCGAAAATCCTTAAGTTAAGCATAGTATTATTATTGTGGGCAAATGATAATGTGAATAATAATAATAACGGCCATAAAATTGGAATTATTCATGATCACAGTAAACATGTAACTACACATACAGCTAATTTTTTTTGAACCTGTGTTTATGTCTGTCTGTGACCCATACAACCAACATCTATTTTTTTCTAACATCTCAGTAATAGCCGATCACTGTTCGAACCGTAGTTGGTATATAAGCTACCGTTTAATATGATGATATAACCTCGTGCTAGTTTACTCACTAACTAGAGTTTCAATTGTTGTTTATGAGCTGAGTACTCCACACAAGTCTGCAGATAAAGCTCAGTTGTTAGAGCCACATGATTCAGTCATTAAGATTTATCTGTCTAATCATTAAAGCTGCTAATTCAGATAAACCAATCAAATATAAGTCTCAATATTTTCATTCAGTTTTCGAATTTCCGATTATTCAACTATGTGTTTCGTCTTTTATTAATGCTTTTTTTTCTAGCAAAGGTCATTATTTATTTGCAGCTGGTCGTTCACCATTTGTCTACTTATGGGATTTAAAAGGACATGTAAATTGTTTAAGTCAAGATAGTCCAGATTTATATGATTCAAATTCAAATAATCAGTTTTTACATGAGTTAATTAAACTTCCTGAACCATTAAAATCAGTTCGTCGAATTGAATGGATCCCTAAATCTTGTTTGGTTGATTTTAACCAATTTTACCATGATTCTATGATATCTGATGAGGTAATTGTTATTTGATTAGGTTATAAAATTTCGGTTTACATTCCAAATTCTGTTGTTATTTCGATCACAATTGCAAACCAAGATAAGCTTATTAACATTCAAATTCATATAATCTTATATTCATGATCCTTTTTAGGAGACTCTGAAAACGTATACACTTTTGTTAGTTTCGGACCAAGTATTTGATAGAAATCCAAGAATATATATATGTATATATTGAACAGTCTATTGGTTGGCATTCATGATATATCTATAATCTTAAAAGAACTAAATTTCCCCCTCAGAAATTTGAAACTATGTCACTTATTAAATTTTACTTAGTATTATTTGTTTGGATCTTCCGATTGATGTTTTTAGGACAATACTAAGTAAATTTCAACTTCACCCCATTGTACAAGCAAGTGGCTATCAGAACTCAGTAACCGAGTGGATAATGTGATGGCGTTTGAAGCGAAAGGTACTGGGTTCGAGTCCCAGAGTGTTCATCAACTCTGATATGCAGGTACATCCAGCTGACGAGTCCCAAATAGGACGAAACGCACGTCCTGGATTCCACTGCTAGCCACTATCCATCTTATGTCACTTATGGTTGCAGTAAGTCATACTACCATTGATTTATGTGGATTATAACCGACCTGTATGAGCGCTTTTAGTAGTAAATAATATGATTTTATATAGTTCTTGAAGCTGGTTAAATATTGCATCTTTTTTTGGTCATCAACTTCTTTCTTTTTACTTTAGTTATCTGGTCTGTTGTTATTACTTGGCACTGATAAACGTTTACGTCTTTTGATACGAACCCATGAATATTCTACAAAATCATTAGCTTGCACAGAAAATTCGCCAAAGCATCAATTGTCAAAGAACTCAACTTCCATCTATTGGAAATGCTTGTTTACGTTTGGATTCGGTTCATTAGAAGACCCACTGTTATCATCATTTAGTGTACCGGCTTACGGTATTTTAGATCTCTCTGATTGTCAGGGAAAACAACGGAATAAATCTTTCAATTGTCATTCATTATTGGCTATTCTTGATGATCACGGCTTATTACACATAAACGACCTTTCAATAGTATTAAACTTCCTCAAAAGCGTAAGTTATCCATTTGTGGTTTATTGTCAGGCTTTACTATTTATGTTTTTACTGTATAAATACAGCGGAACTTGTTGGTGCGAGTTATTTCAAAGTTAGAAGGGAAAAACTGTTGTATTTCATACAAACCTTAATGTCGAAGTGTTTTTTTCGTTTTTCTGGGGCTGGCACTGTCTCAGTGACTCAGTTGACCCAAAGACGCCAAGTTTTTAAACTACTAGGTTATTCAGTGAAAATTATTCATTTAAGTACTGCATGAATTTTTCTTCACAACATAACGATTTTCAAGCTTATTTCTTCAATACTAATTTGAGACTCAAACAAATGATGTAATAGGGTCACTGAGCTACATGAACTATAATCATGGTGCTATCTGCTCAGTGGGAATAATCTTATATCTTTCTGTCTGTCTTCCTGTCTATTTGTACTCATACTTATTCTTCCGACGGTTTCGGCCTTTCTGTCTTTCTACTTATTCATGCACCCATCTGCTTATTTATCTGCCTGCGGATAACAGTATTTTACTAGAACTATCAACGTTTTTCTCGAGGAAAGTTACCAGTGAGCGTATGATTATCCAATGCAATAGAATGTTTACGGAGATTATATCCAACTAGGATGCAAATTATATGTAGCGCACCTTGATTTTCAGTTATCTTTCTGCTACTATTAATCCTTGATAGGTTTTCTGAAATTTAAAAAAATCTCATAAGTTTAAGAAATGTAGTTTACAAATGTAATCGCATCTATTCATTTGTAAATGCTGCTTTGAGGCGTATAATTTCGAATATTGTTTGATAGTATTTTCACGCTTTTAGTGTAAATAAATTTCATAATCCTGTTTGTTGTCATCCATTTCAGTCATCAATACCTGTAATCAAAGTGAAAAATGAGACTTCAAACGAAAAGTCTTCCCTCAAACACATAGAAAACAATAAGAGAAACGACTTTCCAAATTTTAAAATGTTTACAAGTTATAATAAAAATATATGTACGACAGATTCAGGTTTATCACATGTAAGAGAGCCTGTAAGTTCTTTTTCGAATTTGTAATCTTTGGTCTTATTGTTTTGTCTACACCAAATAATTAGTGATCTATTTTTTTATCAAAGTATCCTTCGATTGTGTTATTAATTCTGTATATCTCGAAATTCCAGTTTCCCTTCATAAACCGACTGACTATATAACCTTATTATGGACACAGACATCGTCCTGTCTGTGTGTTTGACATTATTTTGCATAGCGACTTATGAATACGTCTACTTTGTGTGCATCTTGATCACTCACGTTGGTCGTTAACAATCTTGGTGCATTTGAATTATTTCTCCAAAAAGAAGAAGACAGTTTAGTATTTTAAAATTTTGTAGAGTTTGCTCAGTAAATTTCTAAACTTAATATTTTAAACAAATTGAGAACCTTTTATGTGAATGTTTTCTGTCCGGTTCCATGGATGCGTTGACCGTTGTACACAGTTTAGCGTGAACTTAAGATGACATTCTGTAAAGTATTTGTGTACGTATTTCATTGTTGTTTATGCTGCGTTTTCTTGTACCTTACTGTAATTCCTGATTATGAATAACTATGTATTCTTCCAGTTGGAAACTGGATCTACATAAACTCGATTGGTCGGACGACTGAAACACAAAACTTCAATGATAATCCGCAACACAATATAAGACAATAAGAGGTCAAGAAATCAGAAATAAGTTTGGTCATGGGACAACTTTTCGTATACAAAGACCGATACTGACCTTAAGACACAGTGTGGTTAGAAAACTAAAAGTAAGAACAATCAGTCAAATAACAGTAAAGGTCATCGTAGGGATATAAAATGAGAAAACGTCGCGGTTTTCCTTGTTCGTAAGAACTATCATTTGTTAACAAGAATTAACCTGGTCTTCCTAGCATCGCCATTTTTTGAATTAAAATTATCTGTCTCATAATACCGGTTTCGATTTGAAGTCCGCCTCTTCTGAGACAATGAAAAGAATAAGTTAGGTAGTTTCTTGGTTCTCTACCAATATTCAGGTCGCGGATAGCCTTTCCTTATAGACAAAGCAATGACTGAGCGGATTTAAGCCATTTATACTTGGCTGCATCTCGACATCAGTTGACACACGGCTGAGAGGCCAGTCGGCAAGGCGACCATTAACATCAGCTACGACGTATTCGCAAGATACTGGGGTGATATTTACTGGCATGCTTACTGACTTTACCACCACATCACATTTGGTCCCTTGATGACTGTGTGAGTGTAATTTATGGAAACACTGCACCACAACGCTAAGTTGGAGAGTTTTGGTCCTCTCTTTTAGTGACCTTTTCCAGAGGTGTTATGGGCAGGTGAGTTATGACAACTTCAAATCACGACCCGATTCACAATAAACTTCATGAATTTTCAGACCACCTTGTTACCCTGACTAAATCAGTTCACTGTTATGGTTGATATTTGGAAACAACATTTCGAGTGGTTAACGTAGTGTTTTAATAGATGCGATGCAGTAACCCAGAGCTAGTGTTTGAAGATGTGTTAGGAGCAAAAAGGTACAGAATAAAAGCTTTATCAATTTTCACAATCGTCACTGTTAAGATTCTCATTGTAGTAGAGATCGTTGCAATAACAGATTCCCCTTTCGTAATGAGACACCCTCTAGTTAGGTGAAATAGGAAGTCTGGCTGACAAAATCTATTCGTCATTACTGTGTGTTGGAATCGTATCTTAGTAGTGTTATCTCTCATCGCTGTGGTCGATTCTCAGAATGCTAGAGCTGCTAGTATGATAAAGGCTGCTAGTATGGTCTTGTAGTCTATCAATAATGTGAAATTTCTTCCGCAAACATAGTCACTACTTGCCGATAACTTTTACTCACTGGTGTCCGTGTTCTGGATGCGTACAGTTCTTCCTTTTCTATTGTATTTGGAAATCCGTGTAAAATGGCGGTCCTCACCCTGTTTGTAAACGCATCTGGTTCAATTAGCGATGTCTTCAGATCGTAATATGCTAGGAGAAGACTAGATATAAGTAGTGTTTTTAGTTCTCCAAAGCTGGTTGACACTCCATCCAGTCCCACTTAGTATTTTTGACGAGAAAATAATTAAGTGGTATTCGTCTCTTATGTAGGGATAGCAAGAATGCTTAATGGTAATCAATAAGTACCAAGTAGGCAAGTAGAGTTGGTACATCATGTGGTACAATCATTTCTTGGATAGCTTTAAAATCGTACTTTAGAAATGGTCATTTTTTCTATATTATGTTTACTTAGTTTCAAGTAAACCGGAAGTAGGAACTAGAATGGTGGTGATGGCATTATGTTAAGCGGATTCTTATTCTAAACCGTCAAACATTTAACCTGACCGGAAAAATTCTCATTTTTATGAGTGACTGTGTGTTGATTTATTTACATTTTTCCTTCCTTGGGACAATTTTAAAGATGTTTTCAACTCATAGCTTTCACTGTATTCAGGGTCATCGCGTGTTTAAAATACGTGAAACGTACGAGGTTTGGTCATCTTAATATATAATCACACCTTTCATTGAGAATTTACAGGTGTCAAACGACAGTCTCATTTATTGTTCTTATATGTAGTTGGTTTCTGTGGCTTGGCACGCTTCGATAAATACATCATCTATTCTTCTTACTAGTCTGTGGAAAATATTGACGAAAGCTCCAAAACTTCAGGAGTATTTAAAAGTTGTTTAACCTGCTCTATACTTCAAGAAATTGATTTTTAAAACTGTTAGTATCATCAACTGGTTATGGTAACCTTCTGCTGTAAACAGGAGAATGATAGCATGCGTATTTGAGTGAAGTGCTTGTTGTGTAAAGTAAATAGTGTATTACAGCTATCTATGTTGAAGGTTATTAGTCTTAATGATAAAAGTAATCGAAACCCTTGAAACAGAAGTAAAAACACGTAGGTGTGGAGATTGACACTAACATGTTATCCGTAAAATGCTTCAAATTTTAATAACTACTTCTGGGTACCCAACAGCTTACAGTAAATTCACTCATTACTTTACTGTAGAAGATATATTTTTTTCATAATTTGCCAAAATGGTCTAATTTATTTGCAATTGTTTCTATCTGTCACTGTTCTTAGACTAGTGCTTTTTTGGATCGCAAACGTTTACGTTTATTACTTAGAGAATTCGGGAAGTTTCCAAATAAATATCGGTAATCTAATTTATTTTGAAATTTTACATTGTTTCGGATGTTGATCATATAAATTATAGTTTATTTTGACCATGTTTTAAGATTATTCATAGAATCTTCATACAGAGATTAATCAGAACGACTTTAATTATACGAAGTACACAATATCAAAAATAGAGCGCCTTAAATAATCCATCACAGTGAAATTTGATACTAAAATACTACAGTAAATTACATCAAAGATTATGTAAAATAATCAAGTCCTTCGTGAATTGATTAAAACTGGAAAATATTGTCAGTGATACTGATTGAATAGTGTAGTACTGGTTGAGAAATCTAAAAGTCTTTGGTTCAGTGTTGTAGAGCTTGGTATTAATCCACTTATGATATGGCAGGACGATGCAGTTGTTGTGTTGAAGACGACGTTTGGATTGCAGATAAAGCATATTTATCCAAATATTGTAAATCAATTTACTCAAACTTAAGTGTGTTGTTTTCTGCATAGAAATTTCTGTTTTCGTTCTGATGCTAAATTACTTCACTACTTTTTCTTTCGTGTAACACTTCGAATATTCTTTAACCTAGAATTTTCTAAGGGTACTAAAAGACATGGAGTTGTTCACCGTTACCCATAGCGATGAAGAAAATTAATCCGTTCTGCAATTTAGGCCTGTTCTTCAAAGTTACTTAAATAATGAAAAGACTAAAATGGAATACAGAAAAAAAGCTACCTACTTTCATGTCAATAATCCATCTAGTTATCCACCACATAAAGTGAATAAAAAGCAGAAGTAACAGAAATGAATAAATCACTGCAGTTAAGCGACATTATTTTTCGTTATGATTTATTGAAGGGGACTGTCTCTTGAGAGTTCATCGTTGATATGATAGGTGATTCTAACCTTAGGCAACACATTTCGAGGAACAGTTTAATTACCTCACGGCTAATCTTCCGTCTATAACTCGATCACATCTGGAATATAATATTGCCATTGACCCACAAGTACGTCTAAAAACCCAAATTTCTGTGGTTGGTCTGGAAGGAAGCAACAAATTAATATATAGCTATCTGGTACTGAGGGTTTTTAAATATATTGGTTAGGAAATATCAGTGTAACGAAGTAAGGTATCGGCTAATGTTAGTAAAATAAAGAATAGTCTCCTTAAACACATCTTAATTGTTGATGACCCTTTGTGAGAAAGTGCTAAAATACTCTTTTGATAACTGTTTAGCACTAAACTAACACAGTCCTTAATATGTTAAAGCATATTATCATTTAATACATTACTGAAGTTCTGGAACGCCAAACCTAGGAAACTTGGGCTGATCTTATGCATGATAAACGACTGTCCACTAATTATATACCTTTCTGTATGCTTAGAACTCAATAGTGTTTACTGAAAGACCCAAATAAAGTTGTCGATTTGTCAGCGAATGCACTTGGCTCCATTGATCTGGAAGTTTTTTGATAGTACATGGTTTTCAGGAGTCTCTCAAAATACATTATTGCTGAGGGGCTCCTAGTTCATATTAATACTTTTTCATAACAGCTTAGATAAAAGTCTTTTATGGTGGCGGTAACGGGTAGTATTCATCAAGGTTTTCTGTTATCATTTTTGTTTCACTGCATTATAGATGTGACAATCAAAGAGGAAGTAGTTTACATTCTAAATTCCATTGGATTACCTCCCTACAGATGCCATGATATGCCTACATTATGCGAATAATATGGTTTTCCTAATATCTTGTTCCGAAAACTTGATAATGTTGGACATGGATTTTTCATCCACGTATTGAACTAGGCTACATTTTACAGGGTTTGGAAATAAGAAGCGGAATGATTTCAGATATTTTCTTACTTAGCTTACTTTAGAATGTCACGCAACTTCTGATTAGGTAATTGATTATTAAATACAGAGACTGATATTCCATTATCGTTTGCAATTGATCACAGTTGACTGACTAGACTGAACAGTACTTTCTTTCGTTGTATGATTTCGCTTAAATAACATGATCAGCGTTCACGTATATGGAAAATATATCTACGTGTGATTTGTTACATCCCTCTACTTATTTTCAAATTGTTTGACAATGAATATGCACTATTCATTCTGTGGTTTTAGCTATTGAAGCACTTTGTGTGCACTGTGATCATGCTCTATAAACAGTAGTGAAAGATCTCTGTTTAACCGCAGTGGAATAAGATGCTAACAAATCTCTATTTTTGTCTGTTTGAAGAGGCATGCATATTGTTGTAAAGTGCATTTTTACTTTTGTTATTCTAATGCTAAGTATGATACAAGTGAAATATTTTCCAAAACAAATAACTATATATTATGCATATATATACTTTTTTGCATTAGGATTATGAATCTGCCTTTTCTTTTTATTTTTCCTTAAAACTACTACGAACGAATGTATTGTAGAAGTATTCGTAAGTTTGTCTTTGAAGCAGTAACTTGTGTATACAGTATATCACATTATAAAAATGTTTTTAATAAATTAGATTCTTTTTTGATTAGCAATACCCCTCATTCTATTTTATTTCTTAGTATTATATTTCATCGTAGATTTCTAACGAGTGCACCATTCGGGAAGTACTTCAAATTCACGATATATATATATATATATATATATATATATATATATATATATATATATATATATAATTCTATGCTTATTATATTTTAATAACAGGTTGTTCATTTGGCGTTCTGTTTTGCAAATTCCATGTAATACCCAAGCTTTTAGCATTCTACAGAAGAAAGGTATCCATCCAGCCTATGATTTATTATCTATGCGATATCCTATGCGGAGTCAAAGATTACTGAAAGCCCTGCAAAAGTAAGAAATGCTACATCATCTGTGTTGTTTTCATCGACCATTTGACTTTCCTTATCAAATGCTCACCTCTGACGCTAATATGTTGTCTGTTGTTTTTATGAAACAATCGTTAATCGACAAGGTTAGCTTTCATCTATAGATGTAAGTATCACTGACAGTTTGTTTCTTCTGATGGATATAATTTGTCTGTTTTAATCGACTTTCTTTCGGTCACGTACCAAGTATGACATTCTTTAGATTTAAGTAATGGTAATGAACTAAATTTCTCATCGATGTAACCATTGCTTCCATCCATACCTTATGGAGTTAGTTATTACATATTAAGCTCAAGTTAGATATTTTTAAAGCAAGTAAGTCCCATAATGTTAACTAATTGATTTAAATGGTCTTCCGGGATCACTTTTACAAATCTGTCTTACCTGTGATTACTTAATGCTGACTTGTAAGAATGCCATGAAATTTATGGAAATTTGTTACATCTTGTTTTTGGTCAAGTTGATATTTTAGTTTCATTATTTTTTATGTAGTGTAATTTTATCGAAGTATTTTACATTTCCAATTCATTTGTCATCAAACTAAGAATGAAAACATCTACTTTTATGTTTGTTAGTTTTTCTATACAACATTGAACATACTGTACACTATGGATTAAAACTATCATCTCTTCAGTTAAAATCTATTGATGTGTTTGTACATGTGCTGATAATGCAAGATTGAAATTTCAAGTAAAACTAATATTGACCTTTGGTTCTACAGTATTTATTCGATTTTGGGACTGAAGGCAGTTTTGGTGGATTCGTAATTGCTTGTTATTTCGTTTAACAGACAATCGTCGAATATTTGATTGTCTTGATGTTTAGCGTACATCATATACGGAAAGTTGTTTAAAAAAAGTGAACCACAAATTTCTTGAAAGTCAGATTCAGGTTCAAATATTGTTCCTGTTTGTGTAATTTCTTCCGATTTTTACGAATAAATTTAAATGATGTGAAATAAGAATCTTATAAATTATAGATGAAATTCAGCTACGTCTAAATTAAAACAATAACACATGAAGAAAGAATATTCTGTTCAATGAATTCTTTTCTGTTTCTACAGTTTTGTATCCAAATTAATCATCTTGAAAGTGGCCAGCTTTAAGACAAATCACATCATTTAAAATTATAGCGTATAAATTCACGATTGTTTATAAAATCAAATCAAATCGTGAATGTTAGTATTTAGATCCCCAATTACAAATGCTCACTATGGGTGAATAGCTAGTTATTCATAAGTATAATTGGGAGTTTCCTTATTTCCCAAAAAGTAAATTGTTCTGTGGTTTGAAACATTTAATATACCTTTCTGAAATATTCCATTCCTTATGTCAGTTATACGATATATAATAAGTGATAGCTGTGACAAATAAAACAATTTCACTCCTATACACTTACTGAATCGCCAAGTGTTTGTTTGTTGTCAAATTTCTACAAACATAATTCGAATTTTTGTCTAATGGTTACTCCAGTAATATGCCATTACTATATGGTTAAAGAACTGTTGTTCCTGTCCACTAAAATCTGAATTGTTCGAATGTTGAAAGTTGTTTGGTTTCGGTAAGAAGCAGCATAGGAGCGCACAAACTAATACACATCAATTAAATGCGGTTGTAAACTAGGTATATGGGTTTATGGTTGCATGAAGGTTAACACAGAGAGAGGGAGAGAGATTTACTTGTACAAACCTGTATAGTTGATAAAGCTTACTGCTGAATATTTCTTATTGTTATGATGGAATACACGTTGACTTCAATATTATCAACTGGTAATTGTTACTCTTTGACTTATTGATCCGTTTGCTGGTTACCACCATCTTTAGTATTCTTTGTCGCTTGTCACTCTGATAAGTACAATGACAAAATAATTTGATCCCTATTATAGTCTCTAAGGTCTTGATGCTTCACTATACGAAAAATATTTCTGTAGCAAATACCCATTGATGATATACAACGTGCAACAAGGTGTTTGCAATCACTTATTCTGTCCAATCTAACTTATAAAAATGTTTCTCTCGAATTCTTCTTTGTTATATTTTTTGAAAAAATTCAATTAACACTAACAAAAGAACTTGCTCGGCATTGGCTTATTGGTGTCCATTGTTTGGTGAAACAGATTGGTTACCGTTGTTTGTTTTTCCTTTTCTAAAATTACATCAGAATAATCTGTTGCATGCATTTGAAGTTGCAGCTACAATACTGAGTAAGTGTTTTATAGTTACTGAATTATTAAGGCGGATGTTGTGCATAAAATGTGTAACTAAGAAACAGTCTTCTTTATAGTTGCGTATCAAAATCGTTTCCCACTCTTTTCAAAATGTATGGTCAAACGTTATTTCATCATCTACATGATAAGTCGTCAGTCATAAATTTATCCATAAAATAAAAAACCAGTAACTCCCATTTATCCCACAATCCATATGACCTATTCCCGTAGTTATTTTTGCTAAATAGTCCGAAAAGATACAAAATGTTTGCTTTCAGTTTTCTATCAGTTGCATCCACCTTTCGAATATCACGTAAAATTCACTATATTGTTGTTTATAGTCTGATATACGATAATCAGCTCAGGGGGAGATCAAAACATTTTGATATAAAACTGTATTTACACAACAATGGATGGAAAAACATGAAATAAAACTACTAGTTAAAAAATGGGACTAGTAAAGTAAACTCAGTGTTATTTCATCATAACAGGGTATTAGCCATCCGTTTATGACGAAAAACAGTAACTATTTCAGGAAAATGTTTCGACCAGTTGCGTTATCTACTTTGATGATAAAAGTCTCAGAAATGGACGACTGAGTTTCAAATCCACGAGAGCGGATAACGAATGTACCTGACGAATTTCAGCCATATTTTCCATTAAACTGTTAATGTTACTAAAATAATGCTACAGTTATTTACTAGCCTCTTGGTCCACACTAAAAATATCATAACGCTTACTCTGAACAGTGATAACTTATGGATGGAGCCTTGATTGTCATTTGATTTTACAAGTTTCACGTTTATTACATTTTGTTTATTTATGTCGCCCTGGAAGGCGTGTTTCGATTGACATGAACTGTTTAACCTTGAAACTATTAGGGAATATTATAACATGAGTATGACGTGGTCGTTTGGTTGTAATAGAGTATACCTAGGGTGTAGTTTATGGCAAATGAATTGGAATTATATAACTTCAAATTATTTGTACACAGGAGATAGGTATTTTGGTGCAGGAATGTATTTATGCTTACTTTCTCATGTGAGTAAACGATCTTGACCCATGAATAGTTCAAAACAAAATTGCATAGAAATTCATTTTATGTTTTTTTTTCACTTATATGTTTTTGCGCACAGTCAATTGGTGCGGTACTTGGTTTGAATTTTTCCCGAATCCCCCAATTAATATTCTTTGCATGATTGAAAACATTATCGCTTACGCTGATCCAGTACTGTATCGTCATTTTGTGCAATATAACATCACGACCGAGGTAAGCGTATGTACCAGTTGCAGCTAATCTCAGTTAACCAGTTTACTTTGTGTTTGAACGTTGTTTTTTTTGTTTGTTATTTTTTATCTCCCATCTTACTATATTTTGTGATTAACTTGGATTTTTTAAATTGCTCCAGATTTATGCCTGGCCACTTCTTCAAACTGGTCTAAGTGAAGTATTTAATGAAGATGAATGGTTGTGTCTTTGGGATTCTTTAATATGTTACTCACCTAGTCTATTACTTGCTGTAGTTGCAAGTTATTCTATCTGCTCTCGAGGATCACTTCTTATGGTTCAGAATACTGATATATTTGAAGTATGTAATGTAAATGTTTTACTGTTGGTATTACTATGTAAACTATAAAATTATCGACATATTCCAAATGTTATTTCTATTCAGTAAATGTAAAATGCAAATGTGCATGTAAATGCAAGCAGAAATGGATGGTGGCTAGCAGTGGCGTTTAGGATGCGCGTTCGGCCTACTTTGGACTGGTCAACATCGTTTTTTGTTACATTTGTTACTGAAACTCTGTATGAATACAAAATATGGCTTATTTATTTATTTGACATAATTTTCGTCAAATTACCTCTCAAAATTATCATCATACAAATTATTATTTTCATCATGATACAAGTTTTTTTATAAATCATACTTGTCTTAATTTTTGTGTGCTTTTACAAAAGTCACCATTTTCCGTTTTTCAACAGGCATACTACCATAGTCAAAGTACTTTACAAATATCAAATATTATTGAGCGTGCTCATCAATTACTTACTTCAACACCTTCAAATATACATCCAGGAAGATTATTGTCTTCGCTTATGCAAACGGATAGTCAAAATAAAAACAAAGAAAATACTTGCTCATCGTTTCAGCCACTGACAAGTCCCTACTATCCGATAATCACTCGTTATCCTAAATTCATTGTAAATTACCATATACAAGAACGTGAACGTATTCGAGAGGAAGAAAAAGAATATCTCAGGCAAAAGTAAGTTTTCTTGTATCTTGAAGCAGTTTGTTTCATTTGGTTCTTCATACCTAAATGTTTTATATTTTGTCCTTTGTTATTTTGTTTCTTTTCTCTTATGATTTTCTCATTCATTTTGATTACTTTTCGTTCCTGATCACTTTACCTTATGAACACTTTCATAAAATGTGGCAACTTAAATTATTACAATCGGGTTCAACGTTCTGTGATATGGTGACCTTCTTTCTGTTAGATTACTGTTTTCTTCTAACTTTCGGTTCATTTCTGAGCAATTTTCCTTGCTTGAAGTACGTAAGTTGATACTTGATCTCATTGAGATTTTCTTGTTTTAGTAATAATAATGATAATGAAATATTATAAACTCTGTTTTGATCAGTAATTAATCAACATGAAACTCATTGAACATCACCAATGATAGATGACTACCCTTATAAAATAAGTTTAAAATAATGAATACAACTTTTAATCTTGATGTTCCCCTCATGGCCTATGAACTTGAATTTTTAAGTGTCACTATTTTAACCAGTTTCTTCTCTTGTAACATGTCGTTGTAATTGAAATGAAAAGTTTCTGTATTGAAAGAAAACAAAAAATTTAGGTAGTTTTAGAGACTTTACTAAGTGTGCTGTAAAAAAACAACGAAAAAGTGTTTAATTGTTTTGCTCAATTATTCAAGTTTGATGCACCATATTTTTTTCGTTCTTAGTTTGTGGAATGTAACGACTTGAATAGACGATAAAAATGCAGAAATATTAGGGTAATGGTAGGTGGTTATTATATTACTTCAAAATATTAATTAACGTTCACTACTAATTCGAGATTTTACGATATTTATATTTATGCTGGCTATCTTGTTTAATATAGGATTAATAAATAATTTTGTTTGTCTAAATAAAGAGAACACAATGTTGTGGATAGTTTATTGATACTAGAATTCAAATTAAGCTATGGATTCATAATCATTCTTTTACATGAATTAAAGAAACAGCTTGGAACTTTAGATCATTCTTTGCGTAGAACTCAGTTAGTTGGGGAGCTGACATTATTACTGATACCTCATTACATAATATTAATCCTGATGCTTTTCTAGTCAGTTGCAGATTAGTGGTCTTATGTTTGTGTTTAAGTAAGGCTATATTTTAGAGTATTGTTGGGAATGATTCCGAGAACTACGACGGAGCCTCCAGAGGCCTCAAAGAAGTCGAAGAGCTCCCATCCAATCAGAACATGGTGGAGCTTTCTAGAGTATCAACGTGGCATGCTACTGTTGGACAATAGCACAAAATGCCTCTTTGCAGATTAGCTGAATTATAATGATGTTATAAGAAACGCTAAGATCTATAAATGCCCATGATTTTCTGTATATTTTGATTCTTACTCAACAAACACTTCTCCAGCTTTCTTTGTCTCCTGATGTTGAGACTGCGGGATTCTAAACGTTCGACTGCCGTAGTTTTATACCGTATTCTGCGTTAATACAGCAGCGAATATAACAAATGTGAGAAAACTACTTTCAATATCTACTAGTTTCTAAATATTCAGCTGAGAAGTTTCAAGTGTTTATATTCGTAGATGATTTCGATTGGTGCCATAAAAGAAGTAATTAGAATTATGATATAAATTTACCATTAGGAAGAGGAATATAAATATTTCCAACTTATTGTTTGTCGAAAGTGTATTGAGTCAAAAATAACTATTATTATTTAAATTTAGTCTGAACATTCACAGTATTAAACGTTCAAAACGTTATGCACAGTCGAGTATCATGGTTTAAGCTTTACTGTATAAAATTGATATTTAACCACTTTATTAAAATCTATCCCTTGATAGGAAGATTGTTTCAAAGTCTAATTAGTTTTCTCATTACACAATTGGCTGTTAGTTTACTTTGGACGAATATATACACTAGATGCCTTCTCAGTGTCTATTCTATAGGTCTTCAACGCAAATCAGATCAAGAACACGTTACTAGCCTGACTATAACGTGAGTACATTTTCACCACAACAATCATAATAACAATAAAGGTAGGAAAATATATAACGCATATAATACCTATCAGATTATCTACTAGTCTAACTAGGCAAACAACCAATCATTATTTCCATCGCACATACATCAGCTGGTAATACCATAAAAATTTGACTCCTTCCCTTTACTCACTAAAGTATTCCATAACTCGACAATCACCTTTAAGATAGTTTAGTATTCAGTAGAACAAGTTGATACATCTCCAAACTTAATGCAAAATAGTAATCGAATGTATTATTGCACCAATTCAGTGACATACAATAGATAAGAGTGTGTACTTTGGAAGAGACATGACGTTGTTTATTTTTTTAGTTCGTTCACACAAAAACAAACTATTATTATCACGACGATGACGAATGCGGTAACCTTCAGTTTGTCTAGAGAAGGATTTAGTATAAATTTGTTTTCGTTACCTTTTCATTGATTTTAACTAGACATAATTGCAAAGAGTAAACAATTAAGATAACATGATGTATAACCCTTGAAATCATTTTCAAATACTATTTATTTTGAGGCAGGCTTTGTCAAAAACTACATTCAGCTGGAGAACCTCTGGAAACCAGGACATGCTAAACAGCTGTTTTACCTGGTTTCAGAGTCCATAATAGTGGGAATAGTTGTCCAATGGCATCTTGTTTTCAGTGTATCTGTAACCGATATCATCACATATTTTCAAACTGACGTGGTCTTCATATATATTTGTTAGTTCAGTTTTCTAGACACGTTGAAGAACAATTTCGGAAGTGTTTTTAAATTTATTATTTATTTAGAGCTACTGTCGAAGATATGCAACGTCGAGCTCAATTAATGATGAATGAAGAACACAATTGGTTAGTTTTTATCTAAATAAACTATAATAATACCTAAGCAAGTATTTCATGTATTCAAACACTTTGTATATGCTATGTTCTGTTTCACTAACAAAGCGGTTATCATATTCTGATAATACTGAGTTTCATAAAATAAATAAGTACTTTTTTGCTGTTTTTCATACACCTTTGACTAAGATTTCAATGTAAGTCAAAAATTTGTTTCAACAATATGACTTTGAAATAATAAGACAAGTATATTACTGTATAAACTAATACGTATGAGTTGTTAGTCTATTGTGTTGGGGTTGGCCCAAATCATTATGTTGGTTTGCTAGTGTTGCTACAACATATATATATATATAGTGATGCTACTCATTTATTTATATTTTCGTGAAGCATCATAGCCGGCTTGAAAATCCGATTTTTGCCTTTTTTTATTCTTGTGTGATTTTGTTCGTCAAATTTTCGTTCTTTATCTCTACCCAGTCAGTCTTTCATATTTTGGAACTTTAAAAAGTCATAGCGCCGTGTCAACCAGTCAGTTAAAATTATTTTTATGGAAGCTTTCTCAAAATATTCCTGAGAATAAAATGGATCGAATGATAGCTCGCTTAAAATGTTATCTAAGCTATGCTAGATTTTTTCTTTTAGGACTATTTTACATGATAAAATCATATGGTACAATGTGGTAAGCAGAAATGAATAGTGGCTAGCAGTGGAATCCAGGACGCGCGTTTCGTCCTATTTGGGACTCGTCAGCTGGATGTACCTGCGTTTGAAGCGGGGATACTGGGTTGGAGTCCCAGAGTGAACATCAAATCTGAGATGCAGGTACATCCAGCTGTTGAGTCCCAAATAGGACGAAACGCGCGTCCTGGATTCCACTGCTAGCCACTATCCATTTCTGCTTACCATGCTTGTGAATTGAGGTATATCGAGGCAATGCGCACAGTATGCACATATGCCAATTAGAGACTGACCAGTTGCAGTCCTAAACACATCGATGGGAAGATTCAAACAAAGAATACTAAGTGAATATGGTACAATAATTTATTTATTGCACATAATTTCTTCTAATACGTTAATGTAGTCATTTTCATGAGTTTATATTAAACTATTCATTTTTAGTGTAGATTTGTTCTGTTAACCCTGCATAATCGATTTGTTGTTCAACTGGATACTAACATGATTGATGATCGTTCGGAAGTCGCAAAAAGCTAATCGTATGTGTTGACTGAGTATTTTGTTGCCGACTTGAGTAATGTCGTGTAACTGCGAACCGTTGGTACTTTTTTGAAAGTCACGCATAACCTCGTTTCGTTTTATCGATAATTCCAGCCTTGAAATTCATTGTTCTTTATTTTTCCAGGTATCGCCAGCAGCAGTTACTTTTAGATGCTGAGGATCATCGAAGAACATTATTAGCTGAAGAAGAAAATAAGCTGCGTGAACATCGAAAAAGGTTATTTGACAATTAGTCTAACTTTAAATGTCATCCTGTTTTATTAAGTACATTTGTTAGACCTTTTATTTATATCCTTGCAGGTACTTAGTTGCTATGCATCTACCTGCCCAGCGTTGAGTGCGTCGACATTGAATGTCGTAGTCATAACCCAAAAGTATCAAAATTTAACACTGGAGACGATTCGCAGAATAGGCGGGAATGCCAGATTTTGAACCGTAAATTATGAAAACAGGCTTGTGGTTTGTTGGAAGAGTAAATCTTGGACCGTACTAGAACTTGTGGAAACGACGCACTGCAAAGACATAGACGAAAGACTCTTTTCCCATCTGACCATACTTTTCTGTTGGAGTTAACGTGTGGGATGCGTGCATGATAACCCTTTCTGTCGCCCTTGGAAATTGATGTGGGATAAAAACACCGAGTCCAAAATCCGAAGCGTCCACAGCTATGATGATTGGGATGGACGGATCATGGTGCGTTAATTATAATTCCGAACTGATGATCGTCTTCAGCTTGCAAAACGCAGTTTTGCATTCTTTCATTCAGTTTCAAATGGTATTCTTTTTCAGAGGACAATTCAGTAGGACGCGGATGTCATGCGTTGACAGGACAAAAGCCGAGTAATAACTAACTAGTCTCAAAAATAATCATAGGGCAGAAGCATTGAGGGAAGGGGGGTAGGCATCAATTTTAAAGGTCAGATGTTTTCAAGATCTGCTCTGCGGCCTGCAGCGTCAAAGATAAAACCCAAGTACTTTACCGACTTTAAGAAAAACTGGATTTTTTCTGGACGTATTCAAACTCATTATTACTGATGCGTTGTAGTATAGCTATTGCGCGTTTCCGTAGCTGTTCTAGCGATGTAGTAACAATTAAGATATCGTCAATATAAGTTTCAATTCATAGGATATCGATAGGATGAGATCTATCAGTTGCTGGCTAATAGATGGAGAGGTCTTAACTCCCAATAGTAGACGATTATATTAAAACAAACCACGATTAGTATTGATGATCATTATCTCTTTGTTCTTCATCCATTTCCACTTGTAAATAGGCATCAGCAAGGTCCAGCTTTGCAGAGAACATTCCACCGTTTAGTATAGTGAACAAATCTACGGGAACTGACAGCGGGTATTGATGTTGTTTAGGGCTACGTTAAGGACTGTGAAGAAATCTGCGCATATACGTGTTGTGTCATTAGCCTTCTTGACAAATATAATGTTTACCGCCTAGTCGGAATAGGAAACGGACGTGATAATTCCTTGTAGTTGGAGGCGATTGAGTTTTTCATCGACTTTTGATAATGTTGCTTTGGGTACTGGTCTCCTTGGACGAAAAACAGGTTTTGCCTCAAGTTTCAACCAAAGTGTTGTTTTCATAACAGAGCACCGACCCAACACAGGTTGGAAAATGGTTGAAAACTCAGTCATTAACTTCGTCGTATATGCTTCAGGTTCACGGGGTCGCCTTACCAGATGACATACGGTGCTTAACGGGACGTCAGCTGGTTCAACCAATCTAAACTAAGTAAATTTAGATCAGCTCGTGTTATGTAACATACCCCAGTGAATGTCGATTCATGGAAAGACACTACAATCTAGTCCCGACAAACGCATATAATTACCACATGCCATGAGAGGCTTCTGTGTTCTCGGTGTCATGTGCGGGCTGCTGATTTCGATCCGGAATTCCCTTAAGAGAATGGTAATGTATAACGCAGTATCTATTTGCAGTGTAATTGGATTCTCATTGATATTAATGGTAATAAATCTTTTCTCACCTGGGATTAATATCTGACAGAACGCTAATAACTTCAACAAATTTGTGCAGAATCTGGAAACAGGCGTTTTAGTACTTCTGGACCGATTTAGTTTATTCATTTGACAAAATCCGTCTTTGTGATCAACAGGTTTACATTTCCTGCAACGATGTTGTTTAAATGGATAGGCTTATACATAATGCTATGCACTACAGTGTCAGCTGAGAGCGGGAGGATTAGTTTTCGTCCGTTGTATTGAGCTCGGATGAAATGAACTAGGAATAGCAGGGGCGAATTTGTCTGTGTTCGATAGTTGTTAAACTGCGTGAACTTCCGTACGATCGGAATCACTACACCGGACCACTGTAGTGTCGCAATACAGATTAATTAAACTTTGATATTCGTTTGCAATATCTGTAAGAGTCGGTTTGGGATCATGGTCCAGTCGGCACATTTATCGTGTTCTAATGCCACTGAACGTTTTTGTTTGGAGGCTACAAATGAGGGCTTTAAACTGATCTTCATTCAGTGACTTCAACCGGGAGCGTTCGCACATGCGTCTTCGTTCGTACCAGCTCCAAACATCGATAACTTGTGTTGAACGTTTAGAAGTTATATTCAAACTGTCGGCTCAATGACTGGATAATGTCCGAAAACGGGCGATCACATGGTTTCAGAAGCAAAATCAAGTTGCAATACCTGTCCAGCTCACTTAGATCCATCTTACGAAGTAGCAACTGGATCCTTCAAACATCATCTTGGTTAGCAAAATCAAATTTAACGAAGTTCTCATGGCGCAGACATCATATGTCAAAAGTAACATTGGCTTCGGGATCGTAATGAAATTCTGTGATGCTGCCTGCGATGCCATCAACTGACGCGGTAGTGGAATTAGAAGTGCTAAGTTGTGTGTTAGGTGTAATTTTCGTCTCTGCTAACTTTTTGGCAATTTTCAGTTGCTGTTCCAACAATAATTCCACTTTTGAAAGATCCATATTTGCACCAGTCTCGTCACCGAATCGCTATGCTTGAAGGGGTTATGAGATCACCTAAATTTGGCGAACAAAGCGAAGGATCAGCTACACAACAATAAGACAAGCTAAACTATTCGGATGTGTTTCAGTCCTGATAAGTAGGAGGAGAAGATCAAGTGTAGACGAGGGGAAAATTAAATTCCACAAGCAGCCAGAACAGCGAACAACAACAAGCAGACAACCCAAGCGCATATTTACAGCATAAAAATGTTCTTTGGAAACGTCACAAAGTAGCATAATAAAAGAGTCAACGAACCAATGACATTTAGGGTCCTTTCAAATAGGAAATACAATGTAAAGGTAAAAATTAGTGCTTTCGGCGCAAAAACGAGAAATTCAGATTTCCAAAATAAATTACATAAATAAGGCGTTTATCAAGTTGTTTCTGAGTGTATAGCATCCCCAATATTAGTTTTGAATGAAGGATTTACTTAGAGCCTAGTTCGCAACCGAATAACCGAATTCAGTAGTGGACTGAACAGGCTCAATAAACGTCAACAGTTGTCGAAATTCTATATATCATCTACCGTGTTTCAATCGGCTACTACGTGTATAATAATTTCGTAATTTTATCCTTTTGGTCTCAGTGTATCGAATGACAACTTTTCCACCCGAATTGGTTTGTCACCATTTATAAAGGTCAGTAAATAGTTACCGTTTCTCCCGTATTACACACATCGACCGTATGCTCCTTTGCTGGCTTTTGTATGTCTGGGTCTCACTTGATGCAGAAATCTTGAAACAAGAAAGTTTCTCATAGTTCAGTTTGATGAAAATACCAGGAATGTATAGCAGGGAAACCATGTTAAGCACTTGCTGAAGCTTGAGATAGATTCTGATGGGAAATGGTTTAGGACGAGCGTCAGTTATCTGCAAAAAGCACTAGTAATTATTGTTAGTCTTTCAGAAAATGTTAGAAATTGTCGGTGAATCATATTTAGCATTTTACAAACTATTTTTATGAGGAAAATCTCATCAGACTGGGCTGTGTACACAAGAATTGAAACCAGTTCCAATCCACAATGATAAAAGGCTTTTGTTCTGATCAAGAACAGCACCTACTAGTTAAGCTTCTGCTTAAAAACTAAATAACTTTTATTATTGACCGAATTTTTAACATTTGTTTGTTATTTTTATCACTTTACAGATTAAGTGCATTAATTCGCGAAGTGAAATTACATGAATTAAGCTTAGCTGAAGAATCTCGTTGTCATTTTAGACAACTCGATATTCGACGTCGCCAGTGTGAATTAAACAAGTTAGAACAAGAGTTAACTCGATTGGTAAGCCGGTAGTAATTTATTTCAATAACAGAGGCTGCATACTCTTTCGAGCAAATATAATTACTATGGTTATATTAAGCATCCTGAGAATATAAATTTGTAAGTGAATGGATATAATGTAGTAAAGATAGCAGTATCCCAGCATTTACTTTTGGAGATACGAAAAATGAAATTACTGACAAAATACACTAGTTATGGTCCTAATCATAAATTCATTTATAGTCAAAGGTTCTTTACTATCCATTTAATATGTTGGGAGTAGTTCAACCCCTAAGTACGATTTTTGATTGTCCTCCTTTTGTTATGTGGCTACAAGATGCTGAATTATCAGGCTTTGAGATTTTCTGAAGACATTTTACAGTAAATAAATGTGATCGAAATCAATTATTGATTTATCAATAAACGTTGTAGCCGTCCATTAGTTATCAAGGCTTTAAATTTTTTGTAGTATCATGTCTTCGAATCTTACTCAATCTTCTTAGATTGAAATAGTCAAGCATCTAAAATTGTGGTACATGAATCTGTACATTGTTACTAGGCTACGTTATATTTAACAAAATATATCCATAGAAGGCATTTATATGTTGAGTTACTTAGGTGTTGTTTTAGGCCACTCAACTTGAACTTAGTTATACAAGTTCGAAATATAAGTCTCATGTAAGATGTGAATGCTTATCTCATGGATAATTGTACTGTCTAGGACCAAAGTATAATTACGTTAAAATGATTGTTACAAGGTAGTATGTTTTTTTCGACATTAGTGTTATTCCTCTTTTTATTCCATTGTAGTTTAAGTTTTCCATGTTCACGCGAATTTTAGGATGATAAATGAAATAGCAAGGGTTGAAACTATGCAGTAATCTCTAAATTGATAAAATGCTTGTCAGTCACTGAAACCCTAACACACTTTTAAAACATCCGAATCACTACTTCGTAACATATTTTATGTCTTTAGACTAATTGCCGTATCGACGAGATAGATTCAGCTGCTTACGCTGCAGAATTAGCTGACTTATGTGAAAAACTACACCAGAGGCGTGCAGAAACTTTAGCTATTATAAATGAACAGCTACAATCACGTGACAGAAACCAACCATCAAACAAAGAATGTCTTTTTCTAACAATCTCTCCAAATACCAATGATTCAATTACCCAAGGCAGATATCTTGAGAGGAATGTTAATGAAGGTTATTCAGACAGTCTAGACTATGTGAAATCACCAGTTGATTCTGATGTGGCAAAGTCAAACCTAAAACGTAACAGTTCGAATAATAAGGTAATAATTTACACTTGTGAAGTATGATTATCATTTAAAATTAACTTTATTTACCTTAAATATTAGACTTCTGTTCTATTTATGTTCTATCTCATGCTTCATCGTATTTCATTTTATTACTTTTTTTATAGACTAGACTCTTGTTAATTATATTACTATTTTGATTTCTGTCGATGCAAACTCACGCAGTGTTAAATTAGGGAGCCAGTTTTGATAACATGCTACATGGTTGATTAAAGATGCAAATTATAATTCCTTATGATAGCGAACAGGATTATGTTTAATTCTGTTTATTCATATTGATAGAAATTGAAGGTGGTTAAAAAATATTTCGGAAAATACCTTTTTTTTAAAATCTAATAAACTGTTTACTTTAGGCTGTATAGAAATCAAAGAATATTTTTTGATAAGTTACGTGGTATGATTTTCTGTGTCATTAACTGTGTGCAAACTTTTGAAATTAATTTAAATCCTCCTAGTTGAAAAGTGTTTCATATTTCAAACTATACTCTACAAAGCCATCTACTATTTATTTTCATTTATACTGGATTTTGTGCTTATCACATCCTGTTCTTTTGTTTGAATATTTGTTCATTTCAATTTTGTCTTCTGGTTGTTGTGTGTAAAATACAAGGACTTGAATTGGAGTAGCTTTTTGTAAAATACTTTTCATCTGCTCTGTTGTCGTTAAAGGTTCGGATTGGCAAGTAAATTATGATATCTATCAGCAAATGAAAATATCTTATGCATTTAGACTTGAATATAAAATACCTAGAGGTGATTTCATTTTAGAGCCGACAACAGAAAATGTTGTCATGAAAGTATATCATTCGTCTTGCGATGAACATGTTTATATCGTTGGCTTTTTACAGTTGGTTGATTATTGAGGAATGACCAGTGTCCTGTATGTTAAGTCTTTCTTTAGTGCCACTATTTTGTGTGACTCAACGTCGCATGTAGTATGTTGAAATGTAAAGTGGTGTTGTTCAAAGTAACAGACTACCTCCAACCACCACATCACATCTTATACTGTTTGTTTGTCTTTATTTTCTATCATGAAATCATTTTATTGTTATGTTTTAAATACACCCTGATTCTAGAACTTGGAGGCTTTCTTATGAAAATAAAAGCGTTGCATATCGCTGATAAAAACTAATGCTTTCATTTGTTTGTAAAACCACGGAAATCTAAAGTTTAAAAGTTAAAATGCAGTTGTTCTGGTAACATAATGTCATAACATTTGATCTAATTCACATTATCGAGGTGTCTACGCTACAAAATTAGTAATCCACATAAACTTTGCTATTTTTTAATATTTTCGTTTTTGAATTTTGATTGTTTTTCACTATTATCATATGGTTAACATTTTAAAAATCATTTCATCATTATACATTCAACTAGGTTTCATTTCCAACCCTTAGTTTCTCAACCAGTTAATTTTCTCTTTTTTGTCATACCAAGTAAAAAGTTATTATCTGAAATCTAAATAAAGGTAACCTCGGTATTAAAACCATCAGCTGTTCACTATGATCGAAAATTTTTCACATATCAATCATTGGAACTTAAGCAGTTGATTTACTTTTCAATGTCAACAGTACTTACTGTTATTGATCATAGAATTCATATAACTAATCATACTTTTTGCTTCGTTATGTGGTTATTACAGTTCAACTCAGTAACAATGTTTCCCTTCACTTCGACCAAACTCGGACCACAAACTGTCGATTAATACCGGCGTGAAATATATTCCTATGTTACTTACCTTTGGAAATTGTCGTGAATGATCAAGAAAAATTTATTTACGGTCCAGTTATTTCGAATCCTCGTTGTAGTCGAGACAGCATTAATAGCCAATATTCTTGTTTCAAGTATGTTGAAATTTTCACATGTCGATGTGTTCATCAGTAGCTCAGGTTGTCCGAAGTTTCTCTATCCTCTCAAAAATGTATAAATATAAGTAGTTTTTTAATTGAACCATCTTTATGTTGATCTTTATTATTTTTAGATTATTAAGGGTGATATTGTCAGCGTCTGTTATGAAATTGAAAATTGGATGTCATCGCGTTTGCTAGTAAACCTAACCATATACAAGTAAAAACAACTGAACTACTTCTTCCATTTGATGACTCATATCCGTGGCAATGAATGACTATCCAGCGACGAGTCTGAAAGTATAGAGCCTAATCACATTATGTGGCAGGAAGTTGGTTGATTGCAATGTGAAAAGTATAAGGTGATAATTTAAGTGTTAGGAATAGAGGATTGTTTCATGAATAGCAAATAATTCAGTCAATTGATAATGTTTAAGAAGATGGAGTCTGTTTTCGTGTGATTTACGTTTTAACCCTATCACCCACTTGGTTCCCCTTCTTTGTATTTGGTCTAAGAGATGTATATCTATTCTGAAGAGATGGAGGCATGGACTTTTTGGAACTCAGGGTGAGGTTGTGCGTACTTCTTAGACGGTCTTAGGAACAGCTCTGGTGTGAATGCGCTTAAAGTGAAGAGTTGCGTTTGCATTTGACGCATACCTTATGTAGTTTGTGCTGGTGTCCAAGCTGGAGATCGCGCTCTGAAAAGACAATCGGGTGAAGATTCTTAGGGAGGGTGTGAGTGCTTTGTGTCAAATGAGGCAGGATGTTCATGGCATGACATTTCGACGGGTTACGTTTTAACCAATTGTCATCTCCACATCTCATTATTGTTAGGTCCTTGTAAAGCTCAGGTGTATCCTTCCCGCTTGTTATGTACCTCCATATCTTTGTGTCGTCTGCATAGGTCAGTGCCGCCGAGCTAATTTTATCTAACATGTTAAAAAAGAGCAGGAATGGATCTAAGGTTATTTCATGTGAAACCAAATTAGTGAGATACTTTCCATTTCGTCCTATAAAGATCGTCTGATTCGTAGGCTTTCTCCGAGCCATGAATCTGTAACTCTTCTTGGGCTACTGAAGGTTCCAAACCCGGGTTAAGGAGGAGGGTTGGGCATTCAGTCAGCTACCCTATCATTTAGAAAACAACATTGATGGGAAAACACCAACCAGATCAAACAAATTAAACCATCTAAACTCTATTCTTCAAGTTGATGAAAGAATTATGACGCCTCATGATGAAAGCCTACATTCTTCGGAAGTCACTAGATTTATGCCCCTTATAACATTCAGAACAACAATTAATATGGATACATGGAATGTCAGGACAATGTGGGAGACCGGGAGGAGCAGTCAAATAGCAACGCAAATGAGGGAATTCATTTGGCGGTTCTCAGAATAAGTGAAAGCAATCGGACCCAAGGTAGACAGAAAAGGTTATGTTCTGGAGAGATGCTGCTCTACTGTGGTCACGAAGAAAAAAATCCTCGCACACTCAGGGAGTTTCTCGTAAGGCACTTATATGATGAGAGTCTCATGGATCCAGAATCATTAAATCATTTTTCAAAACAAAGAAGGGGATCACAATGAATGTTATGCACTCACCGATGTAAGAAACAACGATGATGAAGATCAGAACTAAGAGAGGCTGCAATCGACCATAAAGAATTGCTCAGAAAGAGACCTGACTATCCTGATAAAAGACCAAAACACCAAGGCCGGAATGAACAACACCGGGTATGAAAATATCACGGGATGATATGGACTGAGAGAAAGCAACGAGAATGGTGAGAAATTTGCGAAGGTATGTGCCTTCAACAAAATTGTTGTTGCTGACACTATATTCTCCCAAAAACGTATACACAAAGCCAAACGGGTTTCACCGTATCACGATACAGGGAATCAGATCGGTCATATATGTGTCACTAAAAATTCAGGTCAATGGAAGATGTGAGAAACAAGAAAGTAGTTGACATAGCTTCAGGTCACCGCCTGGTTGGTGACAAGGTAAAAATGAAGCTAAAGAAGCATTGAATAAACAGCATTATAAAGGCTCTTTACTGCCTTCTTTTGAGATACTGGCAAACTCGACGAATTCGATGTAGCTCTCAACAACAGGTTCCAAGCCTTAGAGGATCGACTGCGAAAAGAAACTACGATGAAGGACAACTGGAAAAGGATGGAAGAAGCACCGACTTCAGCGTGTCAAGAGGTTCGGGGCCTGAAGACGTATCATCATAAAGAATGTATTTCTATCGAAACCCTGTTTTGGATTCAAAAAAGGAAGAAAATGTGAGAGCAATTAACAGAAGCCGAACAAAAACAGAGAAAGTCAAGGCGCAAGCAGAGTATGTTGAAGCAAACAGGTAAGTGAAGAAGAGCATTAAACTTGACAAGTTAAAATTCATGGGAGGACTAGCAACGACGGCGGAAAAAGCCGCAAGAAAAGGGAATATAGAACAACCATATGATACAACGAAGAAAGTAGCAGAGAAATAGTAAACCGGAGATACCAGTCAGGGACAAAAAATGAGAGACAAGCACGGAGATTCAAGAACAGAGTAAAAAATGTGTAGAATACTTGGAGGAACTCTTGAATAGGCCAGCTCCATCGAATCCACAGGATATCGGAGCTGCACGAACATACCTGGTTTACGAAGACCTCTATATCTGACGGTAAGCGCGAAATAAAAAGTACATCTTGAATGCGGCTAAACTATTTGAACTACACAGATAAACTATCCCTTCTATCCCATATATATAGCGACAAATGCAGGTCAAGACAAGCAGTTTGGTAGAAGCCTACGCATCAGTTGGCCTCAGCGTACACAAGGAAAAAAGCAGCACCCTTGGATACAACACATAGAACACCAACATAATCACACTTGATGGAGAAAATCTGTAAGAGATGGAGACTTTCACGTACCTGGACATCATTATGGAAGAACAAGGAGAATCTGACGCAGATGTGAAGGCAAGGATTGACAAAGCAAGGACAGCGTTCCTACACTTGAGGAATACATGGAACTCATAACAACTACCATCCAACTTCAAAGTGAGAATCTTCGATGCGAACGTCAAGACTGTTCTACTGTACAGAGCTGAAACGTGGAGAACTATCACAACAATCATCATAGGTGTACAAGTATTTATAAACATTTGTCTACGCAAGATACTGAGTGTCAATTGGCCGGATACTATCAGCAATGGCATATTGTGGGATAAGCTTCGACCCCTGGAGGAAATTAAGAAAAGACGTTTTCAGTGGATAGGACATACATTGCAGAAATAGTCAGACTGCATCACAAAGAAAGTGCTTACTTGGAATCCTGAAGAGAAACAAAAAGAAGGACGGCCAAAGCAAACACTGTGTTCATAATTGGGAACATGAACGGAAAGGATGAATAGCAACTGGAAAGGATTGCTGAAGTTAGAGTTATATGGAGAATGCTGTTGGAGGCCCATGCTCCTACATTATGGTGGCAGGCGCAAGTAAGCAAGTATAATCCACTTCTTAATGGTTAGACAAACGAGTCGGATATTCAACGGTTAAAAATAATCGACCTGAAATATATTAGTAAACTCATTTACCATTAAGAGATGAAAGTGAAGCAAAGGTTTCATACAGTTATGATTTATATTTAGGTATTTCATTACATATTTTGAACGGACTGTAAACAGTCTTTCTCAAAGATTTTTACTAATAATCCATAGAGTTAGATGGAGAGAACTGGTGGGCGGCCTATACACTTCATCGAGGTTTAACAGGAATAAGTAGGTAAGTAAGTTTACATTTCGACTGTTAGTTTGACTTAAAAACATCTACCGTTCGAAAATTCGATATTGCACCTTTTTCTCAATGCCAATCAAGAGTTACAGCCTTAAACCTTCAGGGAGACTTACTGCATGTGCCAGGTTCCCTGTTTGACCTGTTGTAAGTGTTTTGTGCCTTGCCTTAACCAGAGTTCTCGCTTACTAAATGTTTACTTATCCTGACCATTTGTCAGTGAATAGTCTAAGATTGAGGGTCATCCGACCCTATCCCATCTCGTGTAGTCACCAACATATTCGGCCAATCTTGAATTCCTTATGAGTATGACAAGCTACTTATCGAACCACCTTGTGTATGTTATAGACTGTTTGTTGAGACTTGGGCATGGGGTGTTAAAATATCTAGGTAGTAATATTTTGTCATACTCTAGGTACCACAGCTTTACTGTCACCTGTATTATCTCATTTTTTTTATGTGTTAGAAGCTGTTGGAGCTGCTTTTTTCCCCTAATCACATGCAGTGTCTTGTTCACCATTATGACTCTGTCACCTCCCTTATTCGCAACTGCGTGATATCGCGGCTTTGAAGTGACTCTTAATGTATATCGCCACTCCACTTCCTCTATTGTGTTACCTACCGTATCATGCCTTGCATGTTCACTTCTCTATCCATCATTTTGGATAATAGCCAAGTTCCAGTTAGAACTATGATCTTCGGATCTAACTGAAAGCGCATGTTTCTCATTTCCCCAAGTTTACTCTTTGGCCCTTCTACTTTGCCATAGGGATGGTGATTTTTCTAATACCTACCGCTGTACTGTAGAAACATCTGTTCTTGATTTTAAGCAAATTGTTTTTAAAGGCGTGTCCCATTAGAAGGTCAGTGATCTCTGTCTTCTAGCCAGTGGGTTACTGATCAAGATCAACCGAAATCGAAATGTGTTTTGTTGAGCTTTTTCTCCGCCTCCCTGCCGATCAGGGTTAGCTTTCGAGTCTGGTGTGACAGGAAAGGTAGTTTTTTCAAATTGTGCCAGTCCTTTGGGGTCCTAATTTATCCCTTTCAGTTTCTGAAGTTCATAGCCTTCAGACGCAAAGACTTGTAAGATGTGAAGCATGACGGTCATCACAACTGTTGCATATCATGTGTCGTTCTTCATCCCAATTACTACATACTAGCTCAGGCACGCTATGAATCCCAGTGCTAGTTAGTTCGTGGAATTTTGCTGATCGTCTTCCGGAATCTCTCGCATCCCTCACTGGTTGACGTATCGGACTTGGATTTGAGAGGATTGTTCAACTGATGGTCACTGAGTTATCAGTAAAATGCCC